AATTCATTTCACACTTGGCGACTCCCCGCATAAATCTGTCCGATTCTTGTCACCTGCCTGTCGCCGCATAATTTGTTAATAATTTTACGGCCATCCCATCCACTCGCCCACCCACTTGATGTATTCATTTTGTATTTATTCCCCTGGCCGCTGGCCAAAAATAATTTGTATCTCGTGCTTTGGACATATGTGAAGCCCAAGAAAAACAAATACTCATTCGGCTCATTCTTGCGTGTTAAATTGCTGAAACTTTCCACTTTGCACTCTCTCTGAAAAGTGATTTTATGACTTGCAATCCATTTGATCTCTGTCCTTTTTTTTCGGTTGTAGGTTGTAAATTGAATCTCGATTTGTATGCCTCACCACGCAGGTCGATGGCTTTGTCTAATACACTTAAACACTTTCAATTCCGAGTTCCGAGTTGGTTTTTCCATTTCCCATTTCCATCTTATGTCTATCGAATGGATCTCTGTCTCCGCATCGAATCGCTTGGCTTGTCATTGCTCGGTAATTTTGGGAATGTTCGGGTTTCGGTTTGGGTTTGGTTTTGGGTTGGGTGGGGAATTTGAATGGGGGATACATGATTGGAATTTGCAATCGGTGTGTTGCATAGCTGAGATGCCGATGGAGCATAATGGTTTCATTAGCAAACCAAAATCGAATTGACTCGGACTCTTGGTATTTCATCACTTGTGGTAGAGCTCTCAATTCAACAAAAGAAAAAGTAGTAAATCACCAGAACATTTTTGGATTGCATACTTTTTGAATACCAAAATTCATTTCATTTTATACTCAAACATAATTATCAAACATAATATACTAGTCACAATTATAACAATAAATAAATAATAAAATCAAAAAAAAATTTTAATAATTATATTTCAAATTTCTATAAAAAAGGTACATATGTGGATATGAAATGGATCTACATTTACCTAAAGTATTCTAAAGTTTTTTTTTTGAAAATTTTTATTTCTAGTTATCATTTTAATCATACCGATAAAGATATTTCCAATAATCTTAAGCAAAAAAATAAAAACAAGTAAATGTCCTTAAATTGATTAAATATTTCCTTCCTTTCATGTATCTTCCTTAATTAAAGTTAAATTGTGTTTATTCTTACCCAAACTTTCTATCACTCTTTAAGAAACAAAAAGAAATGTCAAAATATTGTCCTAATGCGAACCTGACGTGATTTTCCAGCGTTCCCCAATAGGTTTTCCCCTTTCCCTGGCCGTCATTTTCTCCGTCGCTCTCTTCTTTTGTCTTCCTGTTGCAAACATCCGCGGTGGAAATGCGGAAAAGCGCCTATTGGGCCGTGCCTAGTTCCTGACTTTTGGCAGCGGCTTTTCGTTTTGGTTTTGGATTCCGTTCAGGGCCAAGAGGCAAGAAGCAAATTGGCCTCGATATGAAAAATCATGTCTGGGCAGGCTTGGATGGGTCAGTTAATCAGATAACACCAGCACACACATGAAACAGAAATTCACATATAGCGCAGAACAGCAGCGGTCAAAATGCTAGTGTTAATTATTAAGAATTTAAAAGAAAATACAGCTTTTAAATAATTTATAATTTTTATTTATTTTGTTAGTTTTGAATTTATTTTTCTAACTAATTTAACATCCTCCAAAATATTATTTTTGTCATAAATCAATATAATCAATATAAAATAAATACAGGATTTTCCAAAAACAGAAGAAAATATAAATATTTCCTATACATTATTATATTGTTTCAAATAATTTAAAACAACTATTTTCCTGACCGCAACTGTGTGTGTATAGGGGAAAGTGGGCAGGGTTGACTTGAGTCTAATTGGCCATTTTGTTGTTGTGCGTTATTCTGGCCAGCAACTTAATTCACTTGGCCTCTAACTTTTTCCGCTGGACAACTTTTGACAAAGTGAAATTTTACACACACACACACAGAAAGCCCACACATACATGCATACGTGGAACGAATCGACGACGCCTTCAAGTATGCTACGAAATGCTAATTAAAATGATTTATGCCCACTCATCCCCCTTTTTTTAGCCATATGTGCGAATGGAGGCTGTTTGATGCTCGTAATTCGAGCTTCACTCCTTTTCTTGCCCTTCCGCTCCCTTGCGAATTGGGCTTAATTAATAAATAAACTCAAGGCTCAAGGAGCAGAAGGGAAACAAAGCCATAAAATAGATAAATGTCAATTGCTCTTCATGGCCAGCTCGTCAACAAAAGCAATTAAAACTTTATATTTTGCTGCCCCCGAAATGTGATTTTACTTTAAGGCAGCTTATCTTTCGAATAAAAAATAGTTTTAAAAAAGGGAGAAACCCAGAAAAGATGACGCCATGAACTAAGTATTAAAAAGAAACATTATTTTAAAGACAAATTTTAAGTTTAAACATTTTAAAATATTTTGAAAAAAATCTTTAAGTTTTTATAACACTTCTTTGATTTCATTTAAGACAGTTCTTTAAAAGCTATTTATAGGGCAGGGAACTTTTCTGTAAACCAATCTCGAGGAGATCAAAAGTTTTTTTCGCTGGTCAAGTGACTGAAACTGATTTCCGGCTGGAAAAAGATTGAAGGAAAAATTGTGAGAAAACTTGAATGTCATGTGATATGCTGATGTGGACAGTTCCGTTCACGTCCCAGGATTCATTTCCGTTGAACTGTGACTTTTTTTGAGGTGGGTTAAGGGGGCGACTCTGGGGTTAAGTCAATAAAAAGTAAATTGTGTGGAGTTTTTTTAGAAGTCATTGACATTTTTGCTCTATTTTTTTTACACCAAATACGATATTGTATCATTACAATTTCAACAGCATTAATTCAATTTTCTTCGGTTTATAAAAAGAACAAAAAAAAGATCAAGCGTTTGAGGCCTCAGAAAATCAAAAAAAAAAAACGGAACATAAAACAAATGCTATGCCCCAATGTGAATTTGGTATAAATTTGATGAGCCATTTAAGTGAGAAGTGCGCATAATTGGCCAACATGTGGTGTTGTGTGTGGCGCAGAGATTGAAGGGTTCCGAAAATTCGGGGAGGGTCGTTGGGTTGGGGTTGGGATTTCTCGACAATCCATATGAATGCGAATGTGTTGCCTGATTAATGCATGGCTTTTGTGTGCCAGAAATCTGCGCAAATCGCCAGATATATCAGCTAGGTGTTGATAGCGCTGGGATAATGAGTGGAGGGGTTTCAGGAATCGCAGGGTGAAACTCAATTTGATATAGCCCAGAAATAACCAAACATATTCAAGGCGCCATGAATCATTCGAGTTGCCAAGGCAGTCATTAGAAGTTCATAAAAATAAAATTAATTTACATAGAACATTTGTAATATTTGTCAGAGAGGAATTCTTAAAAATGTATTTAAATTATAAAACAACTTATAAGGAAAAAAAAAAGATTTTTAGTATTTAAGAAAATTTAAAGTCGAAATAAATATGTAAATATCTTTAGATAGTTTCCTAAAAATGGCTTTAAAATTAAATAATTAAAAAGAGGAATTATTGAAAAATGTATTAAAATAATAAAACAACTTATAAGGAAAAAAAATATATTTATAGGTCAACTTAAAACGAAATAAATCAGATATCTAATAACAAATGAGAGGAAAACCTTTTTTTATTAAAATTTCCAATATCTTAAGATCATTTCTGAAAAAATGCTTTAAAGATGGAATATATAAATAAGAAAAAATCACAACCAAACAAATAGCCTTCAACAGTGGCTTCCCCAAAGCATATATCAGACATCCTCGATAAGCTTCGACATCCATTCATTCAGCTCATTTGGCCCAACACCCCCACCAGCATACCATATACCATACCATATATATCCCATATCCCAAGCCCATCCATTCCCATTTCCCAGGCCCGTAATTGTCGGTGCTCGAGGAAATTGAGAGGCAATATAACAAATACCTTTGCGGCACGACACTCGGCCATATGTCAAGTCGTGGGACACAACAATTAGGACGCTCGCCTTCGACTCCCCCGATTAACTGCAGCTATTTTGCAATCATGAGAGCCCAACTGACGGCATCAGTTTTATACATTTCTGTTTTCTAAAACCACGACGTCATTGGCCAAAATGTAAATGTTTAGACAAGGCCAGAAAAAAAAAGAAAGCGTGCTGGATGCAGTTCCTCCTGCTCCGCCAACCGGGCAGACAGATTTGGGCGTCTGGATGGATATGCACAGGCAATTAGGGGAGGCGGGGCACTTAAATGTACAAAATAGTTTTATGACTTAATTTTGGGATAATTTTTAGTATTTCCACTGCAATAAATTTTGGCTCTGTTTGGGTCATTGTTTTTATTCTTATTGGTACAGTGAGATGTTGATAAAATCCAATAACAGTGTTAAAAAAATTCCAAAATAATTAAATAAAAAGCTATAAATTTACCCACTTATTAAAAATTTCTAACCTATAAAATTCGTATTTTGTCCAACATTTTAAACAAGTCTTTTGATTTAAAAATTAAATATTTAATAATAATAATTTTTAAAAATGTATTCAAAAGATGTTTGTTATGTTTTAATTAAAAAGCTCTTTATATTTTTGATTTTGTTGATTTTCACATAAATTAAGTTGGCAATGAAAACTTAATTTTAGCAATTGCTTTCCTTCTTTAAAATGTATGCTCCAGAAAAAAAAAGAATTTTAAAAGATGAAATGCATTTTAAGCCACTAAATTGGTTATTTAAAATTGTTTCTTTGTTTAAAAAATATGAATTTTAATATATTTTAAATCCCAGAAATCCCCTTCTTCGATCGAACACTGTATTAATGTGTTTTGCTTTTCGTTCTTGCTCCAAACAATTTTAACGCTCGCCGTTTTCGGCTTTTGGCCCAACACAAATCATTTTGCATGTTCGCGGCGAAAAACCAAAGCCAAAAATCCAAAAGAAAAAAAATCAGAAAAAAAAAGAAATACATGGAAAATAATTAAATATTTGTTTAGTTATGTTCAGGTCTGGTGGGGACGTTCCCGTTGAGGTTCTCTTACCAATCCTCCCACGCCGCAGTAGATGGACAGCGAGACGAGCAGTCCGATGTGATTGAGGGCCGACTTCCATTTGACCGACTGCCAGCAGGCGAATCCTGCGGGGCTCCTCCGTCCGCCGGCCGCCCCCTTGGCCACGCCCCCGCCCTCGGCGGCATCCACACGGCGGTCGAGATGCTTCAGCTTCTCCAGCAACTCGGTGCTGGCCTCATCCTGCGAATCGTACTCCTTCACCGCCACCTTTTTGATCGGCATTTTAATCTTGTTTATGCCACACTTAATATTTCGATTGCATTTAATTTAATTTTATTTAATTGATATTTTTATTTATTTATTTAGGTGTGTTGGGTATTTATTTAGGGGCCCGGCCCTCTTCGGTCCTGTGGGTCCAGCATTTTTTGTGCAGCACTCACGCAATTCAGGCAATTTTCGAAATTTCTCGCACTCGCGCCAAAAGCTCGACAAATCGACGCAGCCCCAGAATCCCGAGGAGAACCAACCGTCAACAAGTCAAAGTTGCGACTGTTGTGTTTTCGCGCTGAACCGGATACACGGGCTCCCCAAATCCCCAAAAAGGTGGCCACTTTGGGGGCCAAACATCTGGCAACGTTGCTCGAAACGTAAAATATGTGCAAGAAATTCTTTAAAAAATTCAACAAAATGATAGAAGCTTATTAAATAAAATAATATTAATCTAGATTACTATTAGATTTAAATAATAAAATGTGGAATTATCTAATCTGCTCTTTGTTGAATATTGAACGTAATATTCTCAATAATATACATCTTCATAGAAAATAAAAATGTTCAAGGTGTACTAATAATAATTGTTAAGAAACTGTTAAAAATAAATGATTTTATTTTTAAATATTATAAATTGACAACAAGTTTAAATTAGAATTTGATATATCGCGCCCAAAACTTCTCTTTCAAGCAATATGGCAACTTTGGAAAGCGCGCAAATTTTAAAAGAGTAAGAAAAAAACCCAACTACAAAAACACTTGAAACATATTTTATACTCTGTTTTTTTTTTCTTTTTACAATACATACATATTATTTTGCTCATTAATACATTGAATTTACAACTATTTTAAGATGATTTTTACTTAAATATATTTATATAATATATGTGCAGTAGAATGCAATTTTATACTTAGGAAATCTAGGTTGTCAAAAAAAAGGGGGGAAATGAACAATACGTATTCCTTTAGCGCGTATAACTAACATAACGATCTGTTTAAGCAACTTAAACATTACAAATTAATTATATGTTTTTTCTTCATCTAAAACTTCTTTAATTTTCCTGACTAATTAATTTATTTCCACAATTGTTTCTTGTTCACACAGAAATATGAGTAATTGAGTTGTGTTTAAGGTTTAAGTCCAGTTTAGCTGACTAGATCAGCAACCTATTTGAGTGCAAATTATTCAAGTTTGCCAGCTTTCAAGCTTTCTCTTAAAAAAAATACTTTAGTATTTTTAATTTGAGTACCGTGTGGAAAATGAAGGTGTCTTTAAAAGTAAACGTACGACTATTTCTTGATCATTCGCGGGGAACATATTTAAAAGCCAGACTAAGTTCAAACCTAATCGCTCCTTAATTCACCTTCTAATCGCTTCTGTTTGTGGATGTGAGTGTGTATCTATGTCTGTGAATGCTTCTCGTGTATCTGTTAGTTGTGGATGCGAAATTAGCCAGCTTCCTAGGATTCTAACGCAGTCATTATGTCGTCCAGAGTGCCCCGGGAAATAGCATGGCGGCTGGAGTTCAATTGAAAGTCGGGCTCTGAAAGGCAAAATCACACAATTTAATTAGCAAAGGTTGCGTATAAATTAATTTATTAGTGAGCAGTAAGGTAAAATTAATTAAAAAGGGTCTTTTGGGGGAATATTTCCAAGCATGGGAATGTGAGTAACGGATAATCAAAAAGTTTTCTATAAAGAATGAGTTTGTTATCGATATTTTCGATACGTTCGCAATATCGTTTCGATAATATCGTTGTTGTGAAGGGAAAACATATATTAAATATGGTAAATTAGCAAAATGTTGATATTTTTTCTTATTTTACAAGAAAGTAAATTTTTCATTAATATTTTCTCGATTGATATTAAGAGGCTAGAGTGATATCGATATCGATATTTTCTATATTTTCACAATATCGATTCGATAAAATCGTTGTTGTGAAGGGAAAACATAGATTAAATATGGTGAATTAGCAAAATGTTAATATTTGTTCGTTCTAAATTTTTCATTAATATTATCTCGATTTAATTAAGAAGCTAGAGTGATAAAGAGCAAAAAAAAAATGCCTAATTGATGTAATAAACTCTTTATAATTATTTATACGATTTAATATGGTAATTTCAATGAAATGCGGCGTAAATGAAGCAGAATAAAATCAGTAACGTACTTGAAAACTTAAGCTTCTCTACTTGTAATCTACAAAATAAATATATTATATTATATGTGATGCGTGTGTTCAGTTCGCCTCCCACTCACCGACTAGCTGGCCAAGGACCTCGTCGTCCAGCGTGGGTATGGACTCGATGGGCGAGTAGTAGGGCGCCGAGGCACTGGATCCGCTGGTTGGATCGCCGCCATTCGTTGTCCTGGGCGCCGAGGGCGGGGTCATTAGCTCGGCGGGCAGTTCGTTGGCGGGCAGCTCGAGTTCGTCGTCGGTAATGGCAGCCGCTGTCAGTTGATCCTCGAGGGTTTCCTCCGCTTGCTGTTGCTCCTCCTCCGCCTCCCGCTCCTCCTGCTCCTCGGTAGCCTCCATTACTGCCGCCTGCTTGTCGTGATCGCTGGCGGACTTGAAGCTGCAATCGGATTCACCAGAATCCAAGCGACTGCGCGGCTTGGGCGTACTGAGGCGGGATGAGGGCGTGTGCAGCTGGCGGACATCGTCCAGGGACGTCTGTATCTCGAGGATATCTTCCTCATTATCTTCGGTGGCGGACGGGACGAGGAGTGGTAGTTGGCTTTTGGGGCTGGCCAACTGCCTAAGCTCCTCCTTTTCCTCTTCTTCCCCGGGCTTTTCCTCTTCTGTGGGATTTTGCAGGGATTCATTGAGGTTTTCCGAGGTTTCCTCCGCATTTTCTTCAACTGCTTCTGATGTTTCCTCCTTTGGAGCCTCCTCTTCTTGTGCTTCTTGTGGATTTTCCTTTGTTTTGTCTTCTAGTTTTTCCTCTTCCTCTGGCTTTTCCTCCTCACTTTCATCTCGCTTTTCCTCAGCTGCCTCTGTTTCTGATTTCTTCTGCGCTTCTCCGTCTCTTTCTACTTCATTTGCTTCATTTTCTGGCGGTTTAACCTCCACTTTATCGGCGGCTTTAATTTCGGGCAAGGGCAGCTTTTCCTTAACAATCTCATTGGACTTTTCCTGTTTTCTCTCCTTCTCCTTGTGCGATTTCTCAGCCTTCTTGATGACGCTCTCTTTGAGGACCTTTGGCTGCTTTTTTGGGCCATCCTTCGGCTTCTTTGGCAGCGGCGGCTTCTCGTCCTCGTCGTCGCTGATGGTCGTGGTGAAGGATATCTTCTTTTTCTTGAGCGGCGGAGTGGCAGGTCGCTTGATGCCCGGCAGTTCGTTGGGTACTGGTTTTAAAAATGATTAGAATTACATTAGTTTTGGCTGAATTTTAGAATTCTCTCCACGTTCTTCTTATAAATAAAATAAAATAAAAATTGACGGTTCGTTTTTGTAAGACTTAACGTATATTTTAAAAAGTATTTGAGAGGTATTAGAAAATGTGCGATATTTATTTATTCCCTAACCAAAAAGAGTGACAAAAAATGAAGTAAAGGTTGTAAAGTTTATTTGATCAATCCAACGAAATAATCTTCTTTAAATTAAAATAAAAATTCATGTTTCGCTTTTGTAAAACTTAACGTATATTTCAATTAGTATTTGAGAGGTATTAGAAAACGTGCTTGATATTTATTTGCATTCCATAACCAAAAGAGTGACAAAAAATGAAGTAAAGTTTGTAAAAATTCAACTAAACAATCTTCTTTTAATTAAAATAAAAATGCTCGGTTCGCTTTGGTAAAACTTAACGTATATATTTCAATTAGTGTTTAAGAGGTATAAGAAAATGTGCGATATTTTTAAACGAAGTGCTTGATATTTATTTGCATTCCATAACCGAAAGAGTGACAAAAAATGAAGTAAAGTTTGTTAATCCAACCAAATGATCTTCTTTTAATTAAAATAAAAATTCACGGTTTGCTTTTATAAAACTTAATGTATATTTCAGTTAGTATTTGAGAGGTATTAGATGATGTGCTTGATATTTATTGGCATTCCATAACCGAAAGTAAAGTTTACATGCAACATGTAGCTTGGTCAGTACATCTACGTACCTATGTACTCCTCGTCCTCGCCGGAATTGGGCCCATCGTCCAGGCGCAGGCTGGCCAAACTGGAGAGCGGCAGTCGCTGGTGCGGCCGCTTGAGCCGCCCGCCCATCGGTGAGCCGTTGCACGACCGCCGTTTGCCCTTCTCGCGCGATCCGCCACTGGAGGTTGAAGGTCCCGCGCTTTGGGCCAGCGGCGTGAGCGGCGTGGAGGTCAATGCTATGTCCTCGAGCACATTTCCCGTGGCATCGACGCGCTGCAAACGTGTGGGCTTCGGCGACGACTTGGCTGATATCGAACCGAAGGTCGCCCGACGCGAATGTCCCTCGGCGCTGCCCAGAATTTCGACGGCCTCGCTGAAGGACACCGATAGATTGGATTTCCTCGAGCGGCCCTTCTTGCCCAGCGGATTTGGCCAAGGCGTTCGCTTGATCCTCACCACGCAGTCAAAGAAACGGGCGCCAAAGCGCTGGATCAACGCCTGGCTGGCATTGCGGCCCCTCAAGGGTTTCTTTTGCTTGGCCTTAAGCTTCTGTTTCGGTTTCTCTGGGGATTTATTCCCACGACGCGACAAACTGGGCGGCGGCGTGTGTCCACGGGCCAACTGATGATGCATCGCCCGCTTTTTGGCGCCATTCTGCAGAGGAACTTTGATGTGGATTTTGTTCTGCTTTTTCTGGGGCGGCGATGGGTTGGTTTTCCTGGGCCTGCCACGCCCCATTTTGCGAGGCGAGGAGTCGGCAAAGGGTGACTTGGCCAGCGATTCGAAGGCGGCATCTATTTCTAGTTGGGTGAGGCGACGCACCCGCACCCGGCACTCCCTAATCTCGGGATCATTGAACATCTTCTGCTGGGCCTTGGTTTTGGTGGGTCCGGGATTCTTCTGCTCCTCCTCGGAGGAGTCCTTGGAGTCCTCCAGCGTCTCCGCTGCCCTCTTCTTGTGCGGTTTCGCTGGGGACTTGTGGTATTCCTCGCTCTTGCGCGGCTTCTTGAACGTCGGTTCATCCTGCTCCTCATCGGAGGAGCTCTTTAGATCTATGGAACCGAGTTCCTCCTTTTTCTTTACTTTTTTCGGCATCTTAAAAGGCGATTCCTCTGTTTTTGAGCTCTGGTTGGAAGGTAAATGAAAGCTGGAATCGTCGGGAGTAGCCTGCTTATCCAAATCCTCGTCGTTCGATAGATTTCCACTCTCCAGAAGGTCTGAAAGGAAATGATATAGGGGGGATATGATATGATAGATGATATTTAGGGAGCCCCATATCTTAACTCACCCGAGTTATAGGGAGAATCTGGCGCTATTGGCGACGGCGTGGAGATCTTTCGGTCCACCGGAGCTATCGTTTGCGGCGGCGGCGCCGCTTTTACCATATCAAAAATGTCCATTATCGCAGAATGCCGCCCGTTGCGATTTTCCCACAAAAAATGAAAAGCGCTGCGGAACACTCGTTTTATTTGCCCAATTAGCTGCTCGTTCGCCCGCTTAAGGGGGCTCCTTTAACCGCCTACAATTCCTGGCGCGCGATTTTAGTTTATTTCGCCCACCCAATTACCGCATGCGCCTCGAAAATCGCGTTTTCATTCAGCTAAAACGCTGATAATTTTTAGACTTTTAAAGACGCCATCACGCGGTGTGACCGTCGCCTGGGAAAATACCCGCGAAATTGCGGTATCTTTCGGTATACACCCGCCGCGGCCGCGTTTTTTAGGTTATCTTTGGCGCCAGCCGAAAATGTGACTTAATAGAGAGCAAATTGGCGCAAAGATTAATTAAAAATGTGCTAAAATGTCGGTTTCTTACTGTTTACAGGTCTAAAAGAGCCTTCTCTTACAAATTATATTGGAGTATATAAGCTGTAAATCTATTAAAGTTATTAAATAATGTCAATAGTTCCATTTTTGTACACAAATAGTTGTTTGGTTATTTGTAATATAATTAAAATAATTCCTTAATTCATAAACTACTAATTAATGAAAAGATTCTAAAACTTAATTTTAATAAAAATAAAAAATAGCCCACTGTGCCAATGGTTTGAGTCTACGCTCCATGGTGACATGGCTAGTATATTTCGGTATTTAAAAACACCCCCACCTGGTATTTTTTAGCTTTCGCAGCGGGGTCACACAGAGTGGGCGAAAAAAAAACATTCGTCAATTCACCGTCGTCGATCGAACGCTGTATTTTTTTCCAGTGCAATATTCGGCCGATGAATAAAAAGTGATTTAAAGTACTTCTTAAAAAAATAGAATAATAAAGTAAATAAAGTCAGAACGAACCGCAGTGAGCGAGAGAGAGAGATAGCGCGGAGAAAATTGCTGCTGAGGTGTGTGCTTTGCGCGTGTGTGTGTGTGTGTGACGTTTACAGCAGCAGAAAGTTCGGTGTCGTCAAAATTTTCGAGTATTTTAAAGTTAATGCAGGCGATTCTCGATCGGATATGAGTTGATCGCGAGTCATCGATTTAATAGGATGTGAAGAAGTCTTGCTGATTGCAAACAAAACTAGGAAAAAAACGATAAACAACGGCAATTTGTTGCTGCCGCAGCAGCAACAACAAAAACAACAACACCAGCACACTAACACCACCCCCCGTTCCAGCCTAACGGTTCATTCACAGTGGCCGAAGAAGAAGAAGAAGAGGTGAGTTCCAGCATCTTTATTTATATTTTATGTGATGTGTGTGCGTCTCTTCTTCTTCCGTTGAAAACTCTACGTGTGTATGTAAACATTATCAACGAAAAATGGAGTGAGAAAAAATTCAGAAACTTTCTTCGCTGTCTATGTGGATTTTTGCTTGCTTGCGTGTGTGTGTGTGCGAGAGTTGGGCTCTTTTATTTTTTTACAAATTAGCGAAGCAGCAAACGAAAAAATTGGTACAAGTTTCATGTGCATTAATGTAATTAAAAGCGTCCATTGTCCATCGTCGTCCATCTTCATTCATCATCGTTTCATCGCCACGCAGCTTCGCTGGGAAACAACAACAATGATAACAGGGCAGTCCCAGGAAAATGTCCTTTTTCCACTTCCATTCTTATTGCGATTCCCATTGCCCACTTCCACTTCGCTTCCCTTTCTACCCTCTTTCTCTTCCTCTTCCTCTTCCACACCCACCACATCAGCTGCTGCCCTGCAGTCGTTGTTGTTGCGTTGTAACCTTGTCTTGCTTTCCACCCACTTTTCGGTGTCCCATCGTACAGTGGGTGAGTTCAGCCATTCTAAGCATCGGTTAAAAAATAAAAAATTAAAGTAAACAACTTAAAATTACTTCCTAAAAGGCTGAATTTTTTGTATTTTAATTCTAGCAGACACTGCCTTTAAATTCAATATAAATTCCTGATAATAATGAACAAAATCATTACACTTTTTATTAAATAAAATGAAATTACAACTTTATGCAAGCTAAACCGGCCTACATTGTCCACCGTGCATCGCTCCATCTCGCTCTGGCCCGCTCTGCGCCTGCGCATTGCCAACTCGGCGACACCTTGCACACAGCCCACGTAGACGCAACGTACAGTGGGGCGGAACAAAGTAATACTGTTTATTAGATGATATATAAATATTAGTAAATTCAATGCCACTAAAGATTTTATCCCAAAACAGAGGCTTGTGACACTTTTCTTTGTAATCTCATTTTGTAGTACTTCCTTGAAATTAGCTCAAAGATTAGTGAACTTTTGTTCATCATCTGCCGGTTTGTGATAAGCTTGTTTTATTTTTGTTTCCATCCGTATGTAGATTAAATCTACGTGCAATTTAATGGTTTTTGCTAAAAGATAATGAGATCTTATAGATGAGAAAAAACAGAATGTTACTGAAATTATTAACTTCATATTAAAACATGTGATATTTATCCTATTACTTTGACCGCTGCTGTACCAGACACATAGCACTCCAGTGTTTTTGTTTTTGTGCGTGGAGATGTTGCGTGCTTATTCAAATTTCAGTTGTGCTATTTATTTAAATCACGAGCATTAAAACTAGTGGAACACATGGAGCAGAAAGTCATCGTCATGTTAATTATGATCATAAATTTGCAGAGCGCGTGGTTGTGGGTGTATCATCTGTCATTATGTGGGGAAGGTTGGAGCAGGATAGCCTTCATTCTGCCGTTTCTGGCCAAAAACAAAAGCTATGTACTATTTTTTTTTTCGGCTCATTCCAATTCCAATCGGAATTCTTTTTCGCCTTTAGCGGGTTTTTCAACTATCTGCTCAAGTGTTTTCGCCATGTTTCATTATTTGCATTGTTTTATGATATTTTGGCGGCTGTTTGTTAGTTATTATGTTGCTCATTTCGACCTTCGGCGCAGAGCCGCGAAAAATATATGGGCACTTCCAAAAAAAAGTCCACCAAGCCAAAAACCTTGAAAGTTGAATAAATCATATTTTTACATGATTTTGCCCCGATATTAGTTTCTAATTAGTTGGATACTGAGCTTAACTACAAATTTGGAGTATAGTTTGATTATTTTTATGACAAACCCCACCAATATACGCAAAAATCAGTTTTTGGCTATTTTTTTGTTATTTTTTGGACCTGTCTTCTGTTGTAAATTTATCCTATAGGAATGCTAATATGTGACATTTTTCTGTACTGAATGCTTCATTCACATGCTAAACTATTAAGTTAAAAGCAAAACATCCAGCAATTGAGAGATAGAGGTAAAGAAATCCGCTTTACAAAACAGTCGGAAAAAATGTCCCGAGCGACATGTCCCGAGCGAATGTGGTTGAAACTGCATAAAAAAAAAACGGCAAAGAATTTTTGAGTGAAACCAAAAGCATTTCACAGCGACATGTTTGAACAACATTCTAAAAAAAATCGCATTCAAATATTCCATCAGAATTGGCTAATTTCTGGTGTTGTATGAACTTCCCCGAAATCCACTTCTATTTTTGTCCCGAGCGAATACGGCAGTTTTTTACCGATATCTTAAAAACTAAAAGTGGTACAAAATCAAGATTTTTACCAAAAATTGAGCTTGGGAAGTGTGAAAAGAAAAGCCCATAATTAAAATTAAAATCTATTGTTTTACAATTTTTTTTCAACTTTAAAGGTGTGCAAATGTCCCGAGCGACATTTTGGAAGTGCCCATATGTTAAAAATAATTTGTCGGTTTTTTTATTTAACATTTTTAACGGATCATAACAAGCGCTTGCCAAAACATTTTCGCGCAAGCAAATTAAGTAAGCCAAATGGAAAATTACAGTAATCACTAAAAAAACAAAGACTACAAAATAAAAAAAAAATTTTTGTTTGTAATAAAATAAATTAAATTACATTTTAGTTTTAATCAATGGAGTTTGATTGAGTCTTTAGTGGCCTCCTCTTAAATTGTGTGTTTCCAAAAAAATTGACAACCTCATGCTGTCTCTTGCGATTGCGCAGCTGCTGCCTCTTTCTTATGCCGTCCCTTTTTGACGGCGCAAAAAGTGCCGTTATGTAAAAATCCGGCAATAGCTTCCACAACATACAGCCAAAAAAAATATCGAAACAAACAACAATGGGGCGGCGCGGTATCCACAGCATCCACAGTCGGAGCCAAGGTATTGTATTGTGGTATTGTGGCCACTCGGCCAACTGGGGACTTACCTGATTTACCTGCCCCAAAGCATAGAAAATCAGGCAACAACAGAAGCGGTAATAGCGATAGCGATTCCGATATGTGTGCCAATCTCCATCCAGACGTGCTGGTATTTCGGCCCACAGTAAATGTCCGATAATTGCGACCACTTTGGTTTGGGTTGAAATAAATTTCTAGACAAAATTTTAGTTTACTTTTTATTTATTTGTTGAAATATTTTCAAAACAATTATTTACTTAAAAGTTATTCATTATTCAACATTTTTTTCTTGCCAATATCCACTGTATTTGGTTAAATTCCAGATTTGAAGCAATGAATTTACAGTTTCGACAACAATGTCGGTTGGTTTGTTGTTGTTTGTTTCTTTAGCCAGTTTTCTTTCCTGATTTGTTGGAGTTTTGGCCGTTTCTCATATTTGTTTGTTGTTTTTTTTTCAGTCATTCAACAGCAATTGCAGACATATCGTTTTTGTTATTTATTATTGCCTGGAACTGAAGGAGTTTCGTCTGTTTCCATTTCCATTTCAATTTCAATTTCAGTCTCATTTTCGGTTTCTTGCGGCTGTTGAAATCCAAAACGGCTCAAATATTGCGTTGAAAACACTTTTTATTGGAGCACTTGTGAATGCTACTGGCAATATATGTATGTTTATTTCAGCCAATAGCAACTGAAACAACAATGGCACTAGTACACTGCCAGAAATATTTTTCTGAAATTAATTTAGCATAGGTGGAATTGAAAAGTGTAATATTTTTAATCGTGTCGTAAAAATCCTTTATGGAATTGAACTTGACATTTAAATTTGTTTGCTAATTAAAATTATTGAGCTTAAAGGTCAAAGATTTGTCGTGATTTGCTTCGAATTCGAAATGAAACCAATAGTTTTTCTGAGTGCAATAGTAGCATACAGCAGCATTTCGTGAATAAATTATGTTAATGAGTTGGGAGTCAGCAGGGGCTTTAGTGGGGTGGCTAAAAAACTCTGGGGAATTGTGTTTCATAATTTCATTTTGCGTCTGCTTTTTCCGTTTGTTTCATATTTCGAGTTTGCTCGCCTCTATTTCATCGTGCCGCCCATTTTATCCGCATTCTCATGCACTACAAAAGTGTTTTAAATAGTAGGATCGTTTTAAAAATATTTTTAACCTTCTGAAAAAAAATAAAATAAATAAAAAGAATGATTTAAATAAATATACAATTAATTGGAGTGGGTTTCTTTTAAAATTTTAAATTAAAATTAAAAGTTTAGAATTTTCATTTAAACCCAAATCGCTTCTATTGTGCTGACTGCATCTGTAAATGCAATTGGTGCGATAAAGTTTCATTGTTCTCAAAACGAAAATTGTACTCTAGCGGAGTGCGTCTTTCCACTGATTGAAGAAATCGTCGAATTCTTATCGTCTGGGCCGCCCACTCTCTACTCTCCTCCCCTGGGGTTCTATTTCACCCTTCCTGCTTCTGGTTATTATTATGAGTATTATTATTGAGGGTACTGCGCCCTATCAGTTACTCTGTTACACTTGTTTTTCACTTCTTTTGGATTCGTGGCAATAAATGGGAAAATGGAAAAATGGAAAATAGGAATTGAGTTCGAGCTCGGACGACACTCGGGAATTACATTAGCATGACCACTAATTGTGGTAAGCAGACAGGTAAATGCATTTTGAAATTACCACCGGCATACAGTGGGCACTCGTTAGGGGGCAACATCAAGTTTTAATAGATTAACAGGAAAAAAAGAACAGATCAGATCTAAAAACCTAAAATCTTAAAGCTCAAACGTGAAAAAAATTTTTAAGAAATATTATTATATTTCCAAATTATTTAGTTTTATCAATAACTTATTATTTTAAAAGGGTTTTATTACTTACTGCTTGACTTATATTATTTAAATGTTACCTAGGTTACCTAGAAATTCCTCAATATCGAGTGACTACTGTCCCTGACGTCACATCATTGCCAAGGGCTCAATTGCAAGTGCGTCGGAGCGAGATAGCCAGTGAGTAAACAATTCAAATTGGGTTAATGAGAGTTGGCCAACTCAGGGCTTGGTTCTATACGTATGTATAATCTACATGTATCCGTGTATCCCCGTATCTGTGTGTGTATACAAGTGGGCGGGGTTGGGGGCGTGGGCGTGGCATTCATGAATTTTTGATGATTGGGCTTAAATTACATTGGGGACACAAAAGGCGGAGGCAAACAAACTCTGGCCGTGATATTGGGGAACATTCTCATACGGGTCGGTCAGATGTGTATGATTAGGATTCTGCCATCATCCCACTGGATTAATTCATAACATAAATAACAAAAACAAGCCTTTGAGAATTTGGACCAGAAATTCGGGATAGAAATTGCTTTGCGCTTTCTTATTTAACTCAGATTAAACAAGAGAGACTATCAAATACCCGTTACTCAGCTGAATGAGTGTGAAAGAGATGGAAATAGGCAAGCACTCGCTTGAAAGTGGCGCCATCTATCGAAAATTCATTATTTGCTCATAACTTTTTAATGAATGGTCCAGTTTAAGAATTTTCTTTTACATTTCAATAGGTATTGATAAACACTGCAAAATATGTGACTTATTTACCATCTACTCTGCATTATTGATCCGTTTAATCTCCGGAATGCCCGTATGTGCCTTATAGCCATGGATGCGACTGTACCAAATGGCATATGGCTCGGGGGCGTGACTCGAGATGCATTAAAAAATGCAAATGCAAATGCAGATGCAAATGCGATGTGTGTGCGTGCGCAAATTAGCAAGACAACAAATGAACTCCGCTAAATGCTATCGTCCCGCCGGTCACCCATGTATTATTCATTTTGTCCGCGAAAAAAAAGCCAAACAAAAATTGGAATCAAAACAAAAATCAAAAAATAAAATGAAAACACAGCAAATGAGCAAATTGTGATTTGTTCGAAAGTCAAAGGAGGAGGAGAAGGAAGAGGTTTGTGGGGGGCAAAAAATTAGCTAAAGCTAAAGCATTCACCATCAGATTTCTGACTAATAGCCCCCCGGTACAGTGGGGTCCATTTAAATTGGTCATACGCACACACGCCACCAGTGGCACAAAAGATGTGGAACAGATGTGACTCTGTGGTCGTCGCGGCAGATAAATATAATTTAGGCAAACCGCAGAGATAAAATAAAATAACATTGCAATGAGGCTGGAACAACACTAACTACAGATAGCTTTTCTCGAATATTTAATGCTCTCTTTTGAAAATATTAGCGTAGAGTAATAAATAAATTTAAAAAAATAATAATAAATTCTAAAAAATGTCTCATATTTCATTTAAAATTGTTATAACTTCAATATAACAGACTTTTGATACAATACAGGACAAAATATCACATATTCCGTTTAAGAAAGTAAATCTATTGATTTCAGTCAATTTGTAAAATTGCAATAAAATTTAATATACTAAAAATTCGATACAATGCACAATTCACCCAAACATATTTTAGAAATCTATAGTGAAAGGGAGAGGAGAACAAGTTTTGGGAATATTTAAGGCACATTTAAAAGGCCATGAGTCACAAACAAAAATTCGATCGAAAACGTTTACCTGCGACAAAGCGAATGGTCGGATTAAAATACCCTGAAAAGAATCGGAAATGGTGATGTTGTTTTTGTTTGCCTTTTTCATCTGTGGGTTGCCGACGTCTAACGGTTGTGCATATATAATGCTAAAACCATGAGTCGGCTCGGAGTTAACGATTCTCATAAAAGCCACCGACTTCAAACTAAGAAGAAGAAGAAAATAAAAAAGAAGGCGAAATGTGAAGAACTTTTTATGAATGAATTAGACTGGAAATAGTGCAGAAATATCTGCTTCTGCCAGCACACACACATGTGAGCGTGTGCTTCAGTCTATATATGCTGCCATGATATTATACACATATATATATATATATATATATAATATTATATGCCATGCCTGCAGTCAAGCTTAAGGCTGTAGAAACTTGAGAGGTCTTAGAACCCACAGTGGGCGTTAATAATTAAGGGGCCCCAGCTCATAGACCATGCAAAAAAAAAAAAAAAAAAAAAAATGTATTTTTTGCCCTCTGTCGTTTATGTTGAAAACTTAAAGAGCGTTTTTGTTTTTCTTGTTCCCCCATTAAGATCCATTAATTTGTTTCCAGAGGCTACTTTTAATAGTTAGCAGAGTGTTAACATCTGTTAACAGACTGTAACTACAATTAGTTATCGTTATACATTTTGTATACTTAAGTACACTTGTCTGCTGGCATTATTTTCGCTCGATTTGTTGCTGTCGCAATTATCTTTGCGTTGAATTGATAGCGTCAGTGAAATACTGTTACTGAATTGCCAATTCAGCGCAGAAATATACATACATATAGTACAGTAGCCTCTGGCTAAAAAATAAATCTAAAATAAATGAAAGAAAAAAATGTTAACCAAAAAAGGAATATCAATAATTCCCTGAGAATATTTTCTAATATTATAAATTACTATTGCTTTAATTCTACACAGAAAATTTAATTTTAATCACTTTATTCTCAACTATAAATTCAAATTACCGTTGTCGCACTGTCACCAAAAATTAGACAGCCTAAAAGTATGACGACTTTGAATGGCAGTCAACTCGCAACACAATTACTTATTGATTTTCATTGATCAGGAAATCAGGTTAAATTTCTCGTGTGACTTTTGTGACGTCAAAGACGAAAACTTTTGACAGCACATTCCCAATTTTCTTTATATGGCATGGCCCAAAAGTATACCTTAAGTTTGTTTTGTATTTCTAACACCGCTCGATGTGTGTGAGTGAGTGATAAGCGGCTAAAATGGTGTTATCAGTGGATCCCCGCAGCAGACTGGTCTACATAAGCAGTTATGAACGAGAAATATTAATGAAAAGCGCGCCGGAATAGTGACTATCAGTTTACCTTTTGGTCTTTGCTCTCTATCTTCGATTTTATTACCATTTTCGAATGTCATTTATATAGAAGAGTTTTATTTGATCAACTTGTTTGAGTACCTGTCAAAGATAATCCCAACCGATGGGAAAGACAGACAGAAAAAAAAATGAAAAGCTGGTTAATATACTGTACAAAATAGTTTTGTGGTATTTATAATTTTTTTTCTACAAAAAATAGTTAATTTTCTCTGTTAAGAAATAGTAAAACTGTGTACTTTAATTATAATCATTGTTATCATCGCCAAATTGACCTTTAGTTTTTATATATGATTTCGAGGTACTTATTTTCCATCTTGTTGGGTAACCGTAATCCCTTGCGAGCTGTTTTTCCTTTTTTTTTCATTTCTGTTCAGGGTTAATCTTGCCAATCGGTGTTTGTATTAACACAATTATGAAGTCCCCACTTGAACATCGACCAGGTGCGTTTCCCCATTTGCCTTCGTGTAGGTGCCTCCTCGACTTTGGAGGCCCCTCAAGGCCCCGGTTTTGGGTTGGGGGCTGCTAAGCTGATATCGATAAAGATCGATCGATTGGCATGCAACCGGATGAGCGAAGAATTCGAATTTGTGGATTTGCAAAGCTTCGTTTTTGGTTTTTGCGGTTCAAGAAGATCGTTTCCACGGCAACAAAAAACACCTGCCTGCAAATACCACTTGTAGCCACTCATAATCTTTTTTTATAACGTTTTTATTTGTTTTATTCGTCTACGTATGGGTCTTAAAATAATTAACACTATCGACCGATTAACAAACAAAAAAAAAGTAATAGAAACCAACTTAACCAACTACTTAAGTGCATATTGTGAAGTTTTTTTTTTTTTTTTTTTGGGCGGATGGAAAAATTACAGATTGCGATTGAGAACTATGAGAATGGAATTCACTAATAATAGAAACAGAGATAACTTATTACCTAATAATGTCAAAAATCGTATACTTTGAACAGAAAAATATCTTAGGAGTTATGAAGAGTTAAAAAATGTATGATAACTGAATGTGTAACAGATTTGGGATTTTTTAATAGATTTACCACCTTTTATTTGGTTAGCAATGATTTTTATATATATTTGGTGTATGTATTTGCCTATCAAATTCCCCTACTTTACTTCCCAAGTCGTCTGATAGTTCTGAAGGGCACTACTATTGCACAGAAAAAAACCGATATGATTTATGTCAAATTTAAGATTCAAATATATCAACATGATATTTTATCATATCATAAAAATACCAAATTTAGTATTTTTTGAGCAAATAATATAAAAAAAAAGATTGACATAATCTTTATTCATATCAAAATGATATGACTTGATCTTTAAAAAATATCAAATTCACCATTACGATTTTTTTTTTCCGTGTGACTACCGACTACTGACTACCGACTACTGACCACTGGTGGTCATCACATTGATCAGTCCGGGCATCACTTCCGCCTGGATGGGTCCGTAGTCCACCCGTTCGCCATCCACAACCAGGATGCCATCGGAGCTGCTCGGTTCGATGCGGAATGCCCGGCATGGGACGACCTTGATGAAGGGATCATTCTCGCCATCCTCGGGCAGATGGGTGCCCGTATTCAGGCTGAGCATGAAATTGAGCAACTGATGTCGGCTCACACCGCTCCTGATGATCACCAGATAGATGAGGCCGTCGTCTAGCCGGGATTCGGGTGCAAAGAACACATCCGACGAGAGGTGCGTTGTGTAGGCGGCATGGACCATCACAAAGTCACCCTCCTCGGAGATCCAATCTTCGCAACCCTGAACTGGAATCTGTAGACCGGGAATCGTGCCCGTTGGCACTTTCTCAGCGAAATCCGCATTGGCCGCCTCGATGCGTTGGCTCAAACTCATTCGACTGCGATTGGAGCGCAGACTGGGTCCCCCAAGGGAATAGTAGGCCGTTCTCCTCGACATGGCCGAGTGCCAGCTGTCGGCATGTTGGCGATAAACCGAACGATCCAGGGAAATGGCATCGGCAAACTGTTCATCCTCTTCCTCCTCCTCGGGTAAATCCCGAAATTCTCCGTTAGCATTTATGGGTAAAGAAGAACGTATAGATGGTATACTCTCCTTGGCTTCCCTGGCCACTTCTACTGGCTTCTCCTGATTCTTTTGCTTCTTCGACAGCAAATAGGATACCCTGCCCTTGTAAGTTCTCAGCGTAATCAAACGCTTAATGGCCCACAGGGTAAACCGTTGAGCTCCAATCGATCGCAGGCGCTCACTTTCTATATCGATGTCGGCTATAAGACCCCAACCGACGGACAGAAAGGAGTACATCACATAGTGTTTATCCCTCGGCGCCAATTCCACCCTGACCACATCCATGGGAGTACTCTTGCCGGCAATGCAGGTCAAGGTGGCATGGAGAATGGGCTTGGGTTCGTAGGGTTCATTGCAATGATGGGCCACACTTTTGGCCAGACCATTGCCCGAACCGCAGGGTATAATGCCCAAGGGAAGCTCCCGGCAGGCACGTCGCCAATCCAGACGTTCCATTAGACCGTTCAAAACTTCATAGAAGAGTCCATCGCCAGAGGCCACTACTATCCCGGAATAGCGTTCCAAGAGATCCCTCCTCGTTCGCACAAACTCCTTGGCATATTGCGGATGTGTGGTGATCTGCAGATCGTACTGGGCCTCCGCTTCGCTCAACAGTGGGGCCACCTGTTTCTGGAAGAGTTCGCGACCCTTGCCCGAACCCGATTTGGGATTTAGTAGTATAAGCAGCGGCTTGGGAGAATCCGGAAATTGAGATCCGGAACCCCTCTTATGCCTGCGAATCGTATGATGCCACTGCTCGGCGGTCTGAAGATTGACGCCATAGTCATTGCTCGATCGGAAGCGTAGAATCCTGAGGGTTTGAACCCTCCTCAACGGCTTCTCCTTCTTCAAATAGGCATAGATGTACAGATAGGCACTATTATCGCTATCCGGTTCGGGTTCCTCCTCCTGTCCCGTGGGCACCTGGGGATTACGGCAGGAGGTCAGGCCACCTCTAGCGCGTTTTTTAAGACGAGGTCCATAGCGTGAACCTATGATATCATCGATCCTGATCAGCTGCTCGTTGATGTGATCATCCTCGTCGGTCTCGCGACGCAGGTAAACGCCCTCGGGGCAGAGTTTCACCTGGATTTTGATGCTCTGCTTGCGCCGGCTGTTGTCCACGAAGAAGATCTCGCTCAGTTCGCTGGGTAAAGTAGTTGTATCGGAAGTATCCGCGGTATCCAAGGAGGAGGTGGGCGTGGAGGGCTCTTGGGCGTGGCCACCATTTCCCAGCAGATGTTCCTCCGACGTCGCTGTGTTGGCCGTCATTTTTCTTTACTATATTTCTGTTTTTTTAGCGCTTCTTTGACCTTGTCTTCACATGCAAAAAATACAAAAAAATAAAAAGAAAAACAATGCTTAAAAGGAGGTGCAAAAAATAAACAAAATATAAGAGTGGTTTGCAAAAAATTGGGCTATAATAATTATTGCCAACTTGAAAACTCGTTTATTTCGGTGTTTCGCTTTTACTATTATTATTTTTTTTTTTGTGTTCCATCTATGTCAAATTGGAGTGTTTGGAAACTGGTTTTTGTCCCACCAAATTATATACAATTATTTCTATTTGCTCTTCGTCTTGTGTGCCGAAATTTCGGAAAGCTCTGCGATTTCAGTTGTTAAACGATTTCACTTGAATGTTACAAAAAAAGAAGAAAAAACAAAAACAAAAATTGTTTTTGGGCTTTGTTAAATTGTATTCTTTATTCTTGGTAGATTTGTTAAAAAACCAGTTTATGATTGAGTTCCTTTATACCGAATTTTTCCCTTTGTTTTATCGTTTCCTTTGTGTTGCGAAAATAATATTATTTGTAATAATCTTTAGTTTATTGCTCACACATTATAATACTCATAATACTTTTTTTCTTAAAGCTATCGAGCATTTTTTCTTAAATTGTTTGAATATTTTTAATGATTTTTTGTTTCAATTTTGTTAATTGGTTAATCGTTATAATTCTACCAGTTGTTTTGTCATACTTTTCATTGCGCATATAAAATGTATTTGATAGGTTTTTATTTATAATTTGTTTGTGTTATTTCGTTGTTATTTCATTACTAAGCAAAGGGTTATTTTTTGTTGATAACTCGGTGGCTCGCTATTTCCGATTATTATTCGCGCAGCCATTCGCTATTTACTATTTTTATTTTTTATTTTTGTTTGGCATTACATTTAATTGTTTTGTCCACATGCGATCGACGCTATTCACCGTAAAGTCTGCGATGCGAAGTTCGTTTATATGGCAAGAGTAGTACATATGGGGGCTCCGATACGATACGATACGATCCAATCCGATCCGGGTTGCGATCGCTTCCTGTGCGCTTGACACGACAATTCGTACTGAAACTCTGAATCGCGAGGGTGAACTAACCTTATTTTCAATGGAGATTTGGTTTTACGATTGCACTGTTGCTGCTGTTGTTGCCTTTTTGCTTTTGCTTTTGACTTTGCCTTTACTTTCTCACATACACAAAAAGCACACCCCACACACTTGTTTTTTGTTTTGTCGTGTCGAAATCTAATCAACACGTATCGTATCGATGAGATATTACCTTTGGCTGCCTTTGCCCATGTCTTTATCTTCTGCCAGTTGCTGCTGCTCTACTATTATGCTTTTATTTGTATTTTTATTTTTATCTTTACTTTCATTCGATTTACTTGTTATACCGCCCATAACAATGCAGCTTTTTTCAGTGTATCAACGTTGCAATTGAACAATTTGCCTTTGACTTTGGAACGAAAGCTTTTTGGCATTGCCTTCTGCGATGCGAGAATGTTGCATTTTAAACTCTCGCTGGAGTACAGTGGGTAGTCGATATTATTGCTATAAAAGGAGGAGCATTTTAAAGGGGAAGTTGAAACGATAGTAAAAACGGTTAAAGATAGAACACTAAAAAAGGAAACCGAAATTCGGAAATAATATAAAGTATAACTTGATAAAATAATTTGAGGATTTTTATATGAATTCTAAATGATATATTTTTTTTTTGTTTTTAAAATAAATTTATTATTTTTTTTATTGCCCCTGTACACTCACCTTTAGCATGTTATAAAATTTGGAATACTATAAAAAAGATTCGCTATAATGCTAGACCACTGTACTTGTTTGCGCCTGCTACATGCTATGGCAATGTACCGACAATGCAATTGTTTGCTTACATAGACAATAAAACACCACTTAACCCTTCGCCTGTGTGGACTGTGGTCTATTGTTTTAATCGATCATTTCGCGTGGGATAAGTGAGTAATGGTGAGTTAAACAGTGGGGTGGGGGTGATGCGGCACCTGTTGCGTATACGTCACGTTGGTCCTCAGATCTTATCGCTTATCATGTGTCCTAATGATAGTTGGCGCGAATCAGTGAGTCATCGAATCACAATTCGCACCAAATGTCACATTTTATGCGTTTGGCACCCTAATAACCATTTCAGCAGAATTGCTTGGCAGGTGTTTGCTTTGGATTTGCTTGATACGGTTTGTCAATTTGCGGTTTTAAGGGCTTGCCATAAATAAATCGCCATTTCTTCAGAATAATCAAATTTTTTTTATTTTGTTTGTTTGCCTCCTCTGGCAGGTGCACAAAGTATATTTTTAATATTTTTGTTTTCTATTTGCTTTTTAACTGCGCGTTTGTTGATATCAGTAGAAATAAGATTGTTAAAGTGTAGTGATATTGACGTCGGTCATTCTTGGACACATGCAAAGTACAGTGGGGACTGTGAAAGAGTTACAGATGCGATGGAAATATGAATACAAATTTGAATAATATTTTTAAAAAATTCACGTGGGATTTTATTACTTTATTTACTTTTTTTGCTCATTTTAAATTTAAAGAATTATACAATTATCAATAAATTGGTAAAAATTATACAAATAAAATAAACGCGCCTCTAACAAAAATATGTGAAAATAATAAACAAATGTAAATATTTTTTCTGTTTTTTGGGTTTTTTTTTTATATAATAAAAATATAACTTAAACACACCTAAGTGCCCATCGATTGCAAGCAATATTGACGCAAGTGACTTGCCTACCTGATTTCTACTGTAGTTAAATCGAGAGATACGCCTTGTAAATGAAGACACGCCAAAGTGGAATTTTTAATGGGTTTAAAACGTTTTCTGACTGATTCATGGAAGGTTTTGCGTTCGCACCTAAGTGAATCAGACCAAAAAAAACGAATGCAGACATAAAGGCAATACCACACATTCACCCCTGTCTCTCTCTCTCTTTGGTAATTATAACTCGTTCATTAGTCTTAAAAACTTTGATTTATCATTTGAAAAGGGAACCACTCAAGTGGTTACTGACTGCACCATACAAATACCACGCTGGGTTTATATATAGAGCCACATATGAATGCACTTGCTCACGAAAAGCCGTATATTCCACTGGCTTGTTGTTTATCGTTTCCTGACCTACATATCTATTTGAATTTACTTTGCCTTTCAATTGTATTGAGACCGAAGACTGAGGCAGGAGCAGCAGCTCTTTCTGCCTCGCAGAGGGGTGCGGCATTGTCTGGCCAGAGGAATCCATTAGATAATGGCCAGACTGAGCAGACACAAGCCCAAAGGCGGCTCAGAGTGCCTCCAGATATAGACTATAGACAGCTGTTTTGGAGAGGGGTTAACTCTAGGTGCTGATGGACTACCAGTGTTCCCATTAAAAAAAGTAAAAGTACTCCAAAAGATAGGAAAATGTATCTTATTACTTTTCTAAATATTTAAAAATGCATTTCTAACGTTTTGTTGGATTGAATATAACATTTTAAAAACAAAATAAGTGCTGATAAAATAAATACAAAAAGTAATAAGTTAAAAAAGTTATTTTTATAAATGACAGCTTTGCTTATCAGCAGAAACGAAGGTTTAAAATTTGATTCCTATCGATAAGACCATTTAAATATTAAAATAATTTACCTCTTGATGAAATAAAAATTAATATAATGCATTAAACCAAAGGACCCGCTAAGTACTCAATTTTCTAAGAATCGCGTAATGAGGAATGTCGGATTAATAGAAAAACCAAAAGTTAAGATTGTTAGAAATGCGATAAAAGTGTCGTTGCTACGAGTTCAACTTTACCACTACCAAAATGTTAAATATCCGCAGTCTTCTACTGCATTAAAATCGCACTGATTGATTTTGGTGGAGAATAAAACTTATTACTTGAAATTACCAATCTTTAAAAATAAAACCAAAAGTGCGTCTATTATTGTTTTTCTCCCCTACTTGCCAATCTTTTGCTCTCCAAAATTGATAACTGTTACTGTTTTTAACAAGTTTGAACTTCCTTTGGATTTATTTTGCTTTTGCCGAGAGAGAGAGAGAGCTAGAAAAGTCTAAAATTCTTGATAATAATTTTTGGGGCTCTCTTTGGCAATGCGTTTTTGTATTACAAATACAGTAAAATCTCAGTAATCATTTGTACTGGTTGGGATGGTATTTAAATTTATAATTTGGATTTTAGAACCATTTATTTTATATTGTTAAAAATATTTTACAAAATTAATTATACATAATTTATACGTTTTGGCTACTGAGAGTGAAAAAGAAGAAAGTTAAACTTGATCTAGTTGCGTGGTAAAGTTGAATATACCCGGTCGGAAGAAATTGCCGCCAAGGCAATCAACAGAAAGCCCTGACAGCTTTTTCCATTGTTCAGTTGCAGGTCCACCCGCCTAACCCCCTTTATAAGCACGAGTTTTGTAGGGCGCACGAATAATAAACAAAACAAGAGAAAAACAAAAACTCAGAGGCTGGCAAACAGACTGGAATACTTTGCACTCGCCTCTATTTGTTTTATATATTTTGTAGTATTTCCATTATGTGGCACATGCCGGAGATCTCGAGAGGAGTTCATTTCGCTGGGCTCTCGAATTCCGGTAACTTCGGTTTCGCTACCAGCTACTATCTACTACTATCAGCAATCTGCCTTATTGAAAGGTTTTCTTCTGAAGAGCTAGATATATATAAATTCTAAAGATTGTATTTCATCTTTCGTTTGCAGTGTGCAAAGCTGGGAGGAGCATCATGTGGCGGCTTTAGAGGATCAGCTAAGGATTAATCATCACGAATCGGGAGCACTATAGATCGGAACGAGATCGAGATCGAGTTAACCAGGAGGGAGGCCAAGATTCAGCAGGGAGAAGGAAGTATAGACTGAGATCCGGAGATCGTCGTTCTGCGTCAGAAGATGACCCTGACCACAACGACCACTGCCTCATCAGCCGAGAGCCAAGCGAAAATGGACGTCAAGGGCGGCGCACTTCCCGGCGAAGAGAACCTGCCCACCTCCGAGATGGATCTGCTGGCCAAGCTGGAGGCGGCCAACAAGCTCATCGAGAGCGATGCCAAGTCCCTCAACTCTCTGCACTCCACGCACAGTCGCAAGAACTCGGACACGAGTCAGATTAGCCTGACGTCGAGTGAGTATATATGATCTTATATATGATATGATCCTAAAATAAAATGATTCTATTCTAGTATTTTGATTATTTTCATTAAATACTGTGAAAAATAAAATTTCTATTGTAATAAATAAGATAAAAAAGGTTAGATCTGTTGAATAGAATACAAATAATGATTATTTTTATTAAATACTGTAAAAAAGGAACATTTATATTGTAATAAATAAGAAAAAAGGTTAGATCTGTTGAACAGAATAGAAATAATGCTAGTTTTGAATTTCGATTATTTTCATTAAATACTATATAAAAAATCAATTTTTATTGTAATAAATGAGTAAAAAGCTTAGATTTGTAGAATAGAATTTCATTAATATGATCCTAAAATAAAATAATTACAGTCTCGAATTTTGATTATTTTCCTTAAAAACTGTACAAAATAATATTTCTTTTGTAATATACGAGTAAAATGCTTAGATTTGTCTAGAACTTGTAGGCTGTCATGATATTATCCTAAAATAAAATGATGATATTCCATATTCTTATTGCACTTAATGAGTTTTGCCATATTCTTGTGTTACAAATAAATTAAATTCCGTAAGAAATCACACTTTTATTGCAATAAATAAGTAAAAATATAATTTCATTATATGTAGTAAAACAGAAAATTCACATTGCAATCATTGTATAGCAAAATCCACTTAAAAAGATATTATCGATAAGGGATTCCATATGATAGCTTAATGCTGACTAGGCTGTGACTAATATTAAATCGGTTTCTGACGAAATTCGATGACTACACATGCTCGCAGTTCGCATAGATACCCCAAAATGTACTAGCTTTTTTCGTAGATAAATAGGGGTTATGTATGAATTGAGTAATAAATTTAATTGAATTTAATTTAACAAATAGATCATCATGATTAATCGGGAATCCTCTTTACAGGCGGCAACTCGGTGGCCGAGGAGGACATCTGGACGACGTGGGCGACCATCCTGAACGACTGGGAGGGCGCGCTGAAGCGCAAGAATCCCTGCGTGAATGAGCTGGTGCGCCGCGGCATTCCCCATCACTTCCGGGCGATCGTCTGGCAGCAGCTGAGCGGAGCGGCGGAGGCGGACAAGAAGCAGTATGCGGAATACATCAAGGCGACGAGTGCCTGCGAGAAGGTCATAAGGCGGGATATTGCTCGCACCTATCCCGAGGTGGAGTTCTTCAAGGAGAAGGACGGACCGGGCCAGGAGGCGCTGTTCAATGTGATCAAGGCCTATTCCCTGCACGATCGCGAGGTGGGCTACTGCCAGGGCTCCGGATTTATTGTCGGCCTGCTCCTAATGCAAATGCCCGAGGAGGAGGCCTTCGCTGTGCTCGTCCAGATAATGCAGCAGCATCGCATGCGGCACATGTTCAAGCCATCGATGTCGGAGCTCGGGTTGTGCATGTACCAGCTGGAGAATCTGGTGCAGGAGCAGATACCCGACATGCACATCCACTTCCAGCAGCAGGGCTTCCAGACGACCATGTACGCCTCCAGCTGGTTCCTCACTTTGTACACCACCACGCTGAATGTGAATTTGAGCTGCCGCATCATGGACGTCTTCCTCAGCGAGGGCATGGAGTTTATTTTCAAGGTAGCCCTGGCCCTGCTGCTCACCGGCAAGGAAACGCTGCTCTGCCTGGACATGGAGGCCATGCTCAAGTTCTTCCAAAAGGAGCTGCCCGGTCGCGTGGAGGCCGACGTCGAGGGCTTCTTCAATCTGGCCTACTCGCTCAAGCTGAACACGAAGCGCATGAAGAAGATGGAGAAGGAGTACCAGGACCTCAAGAAGAAGGAGCAGGAGGAGATGGCCGAGCTGCGGCGGCTGAGGCGCGAGAACTGCCTGCTGAAGCAGCGGAACGAGCTGCTGGAGGCCGAGAGCGCCGAACTGGCCGATCGCCTGGTGCGCGGCCAGGTTTCCCGGGCTGAGGAGGAGGAAACTAGGTGAATTTTATAGAATTAGGATTAGGAATGAGTTAAAAAAAATATTTTAAAATTTGTTTCTTGCTATAATACTTTTCAAATATATTTAACAAAGATAAAATTAGCAATTTTGTATAAAGAAATAATCAAGTAAAATGTTATCTAAATATTTGTGGATTTTATGAACGTCAATAGTGGATTTGAAAACATGAAGAAGGAATTTTGTAATTATCTTGTTTATGCTTAGTAATGTTTAGTATCTTACTAGGGTTTTTTTCTCAATTTATATTTGTTTTAAAGAAATAATTAATGCCGTCTGAGAATATGTTTTTTTCCAAATATATAAATGTTATCTCAATATTTTTGTGAAATTTACGAACGTCAAATTTTAGTATCTTACTAAGGGTTTTTTCTTCTCAATTTATATTTGATTTAAAGAAATAATGGCGTCTGAGAATATGTTTTTTTCCAAATATAAAATGTTATCCCAATATTTTTGTGGAATTTATGAAAGTCAATAGTGGAGTTAAAAATATGAAGAATTAATTTTGTAATTATCTTTTATATGCTTAGTAATTTTTATTTATATTTTTAGCTATGCCATTCAGACGGAGCTGATGCAGTTGCGGCGCTCCTACTTGGAGGTCTCCCATCAGCTGGAAAACGCCAACGAGGAGGTTCGCGGCCTGAGTCTTCGGCTGCAGGAGAATGTGAGTATCTGGTGGTCAAACCCAATGATCTCCAACGATCTTCAACGATCCCCTTGCCTCGGTCACTTGTCCTGTAACTAAAACGGAATCTGTTGCTAATCTTGTGTATTCTTTTCTATTTTATTTGATTTTTCTTATGGTTGTGGTTCTTCAAAATACACCCACAAAATGTTCGCTTTAATCCGAAAAACAAAAAAACAAAACAAAAATTCGAAATAAATATTACAAATCACATACAGAATGTATCCATCGACAGCGTAAGTATCTTGTAACCTTGCTTTTGTAGTTTGAACCGAACGATTGTTTTGCATGCCTATTGTTTTGCCCTAAAAAAAGTAAATAGAAATTGATAGAGTATATTAATAATATTTGCCAATGAATAATGAACTAGGATAAGTACATACATTACTAATTAACTGCATGCCCGAAACCCACCGAATGCCATGAAACTAATCTATCGCTTCAACATTTAGAACAACTCCCGGCAATCGTCCATCGACGAGCTCTGCATGAAGGAGGAGGCGCTGAAGCAGCGCGACGAGATGGTCTCCTGCCTGCTGGAGGAGCTGGTCAAGGTGCGTCAGGGCTCCGCCGAGAGCGAGGATCAGATCAGGAACTTGAAGGCCAAGGTGGAGGAGCTGGAGGAGGACAAGAAGACGCTGCGCGAGACGACGCCCGACAATTCGGTGGCCCATCTGCAGGACGAGCTGATTGCCAGCAAGCTGCGCGAGGCGGAGGCCTCACTCTCTCTCAAGGACCTCAAGCAGCGGGTGCAGGAGCTGAGCAGCCAGTGGCAGCGGCAGCTTGCGGAGAATCAGCGCAGCGAAAGCGAACGCACCACCAATGCCGTCGATTCGACGCCCAAAAAGCTGCTGACCAACTTCTTCGATAGCTCCAAGAGCAGCGAGCACACCCAGAAACTGGAGGAGGAGCTGATGACCACGCGCATTCGCGAAATGGAGACGCTCACCGAGCTCAAGGAGCTGCGGCTGAAGGTCATGGAGCTGGAGACCCAGGTCCAGGTGTCCACCAATCAGCTGAGGCGGCAGGACGAGGAGCACAAGAAGCTCAAGGAGGAGCTCGAGATGGCCGTGACCAGGGAGAAGGATATGGCCAACAAGGCGCGCGAGCAGCAGCACAGGTTGGATTCTTATTATTTTTTAAATATATGTAATTTTTTTTTTAACAATTTAAATGCACCTTCAGATACTCGGATCTGGAATCTCGCATGAAGGATGAGCTGATGAATGTGAAAATCAAATTCACCGAGCAAAGCCAAACGGTGGCCGAACTGAAACAGGAAATTTCCCGACTAGAGACCAAGGTTATTATGCCCCCCATATATCATTTTACTCCGCAATTTATTAAATCCTCCTCTTTGTTTTGCAATCACAGAACTCGGAGATGCTCGCCGAGGGCGAACTGCGCGCCAATCTGGACGATTCGGATAAGGTGCGCGATCTGCAGGACAGGCTGGCCGACATGAAGGCGGAGGTGAGCGAGGATTGCCATTCCGGTGGCCATAGCATTTGCCGCTAATCCCACCCACTGCTTTTGGTTTCGGTTTCGTTATAAGTTCATTCAAATGCCAACAGCAGCAGCAGCAGCGAGCATTCAATAATAACACCAACCCACTTTACAAACACCCACCTACATCCACCCACACCCAAATGATTTATCCAAAGAACAGCTCTAAGTCATATTTTCCATCTGGAGAAGCACGCTGTAGCCTCCGGCAGGCGATTTTCACCTTAAATATGCATTGTATGCTAGCCAAGTTCAAGTCAAATCTGTTTTGTAATTGAGGGTTTAGTTCAGTTTATTATTATAACATTTTTAAAACTAAAATCTAAAATCTATCGATGTTTTCCTTTTAAGTATCGAGAAATGACAAACTGTCGAGAATATCGACAAGCTCTAATTATAAGAGTTATTAAAGTTTGACAGCAAGATATTCAAAGACAAGTTAACAATTCATTCTCCAGCTGAACATATAAATTTTAAATATAAAATATATATAAAGTCAGAAGCTTCAAAAGTTGTCGGGCTATGTTATGTTTTGTAATCGCCTGCTTGGAGGCCAGATATAATGCTAAATGTTTTTTTCCTTAATTTTAAAACACTAGTTATAGTTAGAAGATATTTCTCTATTTTTAAAACCCGCTTGCTAACTGTGGCATACAAACAGATTTTTGAGTTTGACAAGTTTTACTGTACTACACCGTTTTTTGTTTTTTCTATTCTGTGACTTTATTTTTCGTTTGATTAATCGTTTGAAACCCCTTCCCGTAACTCACCTGCTGTAAGCCAAGATAATAATCTTGTATTTCTCATTGAATTTCTTTCTCACACGCAAAAAAAAAAAAAAAAAAACAATGCGTTGTTGGTTTTGCTCTATAGTATCCCACGCCAATAACCAGCCCCGACACTGAGCCGTGGAAATGGATAAGCTAAACTAATTTTAACACAACTCGAAAACAAAAACGAAAACAAAAAGAAAACCCATTTGAATGAAAAGGAAACTAAGCGAAAAAATTAAAAAAAAAAAGAAAAACAAAGTTACCGAAACCCAATTCGAAAAACAGGAAGCCATAAATATCCTCTAATCTCTTTTGCCACACACACACACAAAATTCCCGAAACACAAAAAATATATATCCAAACTCAAGCAGCAGGCCAAACTACCAAAGAATCCAGGTCTCTATGAAACTGCTCAAAGCATTCTCAGTACTTTTAACCATTGTAGCGTTTTTTGTTCCATAGCCTGAAGACCCTCGTCATAACCATGTTTCCATAACCTGGAGTCCCCCATTCGAAATCGCATGAATGATTTTAGTTTTAAACTATTTGGATTTCAAAATCAAAAAAATAGTTTCTTATGCTAAACTTTTAACTGATAGATTTAAAAAGTAGCTAAACTCATTTATTTCTACATTATAATTTAAAAATTTTGCATAGCATTTCGCTTTTTTTTTTAAATATTTTGTATACAATAAAAATCAAAAAAATCGAACTAGTCTAAAACAAATAATTCAAGCAATATAACTTTTTAAAAAAATAGGATCTTTTTTTAAGTTCTAAGAAATAAAATATTTGTATTTTAGGGACATAAAAAAACATGTCAGAGAACTTTTACATTTTTCTTAAGTTTATAGTATCTTTATAAATTTCACCTGTTGCCTAGTGTAACTGTCTCCGGATTCCCAAAGCTTTTTGCGAGCTTTGAGCTTGAACTCGAACCATTATCCGACAGTAGTTCTAGTTCCGATTTAGTAGATCTATGCTTTATTTTGATGTGGGTCAATAACTCCACTCGCATTTGTTTTAGATTGATGGCTAGTTGTTGCCATGGAAGGTGCCTGATTTGAAACGATCTTCGCTGTTGTTTGTTTTGCATACTTGTAATGACGTACTGCGATCGTTGGTCTTGACATATCATCATCGGTTGATGCTGTTTTGACACGTGTTCGATTTGACCTTGTCAGGCATTTTGATTTCTAATTGAAATGTACAAGTCCCCAAAGGGAGTGTTATGTTTCGAAATGCATTTTGTAATCTTATTAATTTTCTGCACGCTTGCATGCCTATTCCTATTTAACAGACATATTCATAGCAACTAATCAATAAGGTATTTAAGACACGTTTCTGATCGGAGCTATATATTTATTATTTGTAAATTACTAGGCTAAAGCATTTAAATTTTTGTTTTTTAATAAATGGATAATATTTTATTTATTTTATTTGATTTAAATGTACGAGTTAATAAATGTTTTACACTTATTCGCCGCATGACAAAAAATGTATTAATTGCTTTGGCCTTGTAATCGTCAAAATATACATAGTTTTTGCCTATTTATTTCTAAACAATATTTTAAACAACTGCCTACTAATGAACCCTCTTCGATTTCCCTTAGCTGACGGCGTTAAAGAGTCGTGGCAAGTTTCCGGGCACAAAACTGCGCAGCTCATCGATCCAATCGATCGAATCAACGGAGATCGACTTCAACGATCTGAATATGGTGAGGCGCGGAAGTACGGAGCTGTCGACATAACCTAGAGATCGATCCGGAGAACCAGCAGATGATCCTCACCAACCAATAGCCACAGCCACAACCAGGAGAATAGCAGCGAGTGAGAGGGAAGAGAAAAATCGGGGCAGTACAGGATACACCCATATCTATATGGGGAATATTGAGCAGCAGCGAGGTGAAGCCGATTTATATATATCGATATATATGTAAGGGCAGGCCTGTGATCACAAAAGCGAAAGTGGAAGTAATTCAGAGGAGAAAAGGAGCAAGGTAGTTGGCAGAATAGTTGCAATCCCATAACAATATTATTTATGTATAATATTCGTTTAAACCTTACTATTACGATACGAAATATTTTATTACGATTATGTTTATCTATTTTTTTTTGGCAATAATTTTATTACTGTTATGTTTTCGATTTCGCAATCGAAACACACTCATATTTATTTATTTTAAATCCTAATTGAAACGATATTGTGAGAGTATTTTAAACCCCCCGTGTACATTGATCGATGGCAACTGATCTGGAGGAGATTTGCATTTGGATAACCCCTAGATATATGTATCTATATATCACAATGCAATACAATGAATTTTATGTAATCCCCCGAGACCCCAAACCCCATACCCATTTCCAACCAGGCAACCTGTGAACCCCTTTTAATGTAAGTTTTAAACGAATCAAATTGTTCTTTGGCCAGGCGCGAAAAAGGTTTTTAATCAAAATGGAATACTTGATTTGTCCATTTGATTTGTATTATGATTTCATCCTGTAGAATGATATTAACTCTCAACCATACACACACATTTGTCTGGAATGAATTTTGTAACTCTCGTATATAGTAAGCTAAACCAATCTAAAATCTAAAACTAAAATAAAACCAAGTGCGAAAGACAAAGTAACAAGCGTGGCCAAATGCAGAGAGAAATGCACGATGATGAGAAACTGACAAAACCAATATATAAACAACTATTCAAAATAGTTAAAAACGATATGTGAAAGAACCACGAAATAGGGGACCCCCATTTTCTCCCCGCTTAAGAACGATATTACGATAACGACTACGATATTCACACTACTTACGATATTCTACTTAGTTAACGGTAGCGCTTGTCTATATACCTAAAAACAAAAGAAGAACGTATGATTTATATATGGTTCCTTTAACCCATAACGATCTTAAACGATTTGGCAGCTGGTCGCAAAAGCCGATTATCCACAAACAATATAATAATAATTCAGGTTGAACCGTTTTCCATGTGCAATATTATCTACCTATATTCTTTTTTTTTTGTTTCTTAATTAAATTAAATTTCTTTGTCTATAAGGAGTTTATTTTTTCGTTTTATCATTTGTTTGCATGACGTCCTCAGTGTTTAGGTTTGTTACTTACCGCGTTTAAGACCGATGAACTTAATTTGTGTAATTCCATTGAATTGACCATCATGACAAAGCGAAACTTCTTCCATAAGAAGTTAGAGATCGATGTAATATGTTTCGTAGCGTGTAAGAATGTAGGAATGGCGAAAATGATGTCACAAAACTTTGTTATGTAAACACTAAGTATATGTAATGCTTAAGTTTTGTTCCCGACTTTTGCAAAACTATTAGCATTTTTTGTTCTACGCGATAATAATTAATTATTAACGATTATGATTATGTGTAATGTATGTACTGTATATGTATTCATGTCTGCGGCTAAAAGACGAGGCTGCTGGGGGCAGTATTAACAATCAGCGAGCAGAGTTAACAGACATTTTAATATATACATATAAAAAAAAAAACATTCCCAAGAAAGTTAAATTTAACCCCCCAGAAATCAGAAGATTCCCCCGACAGCCTCGGGTCTTAAGAAATTGGCAAGTCTAGAGTTAATTGCGCATTATGTTATATGGCAAGCGAAGGCACAAATTATACGATATCTAAAATCTAAAATAGTTTATACAAATTTATACATGCAAATATGTGGAGCATTATTGTTGGCCAAAGTCTAGACTTTTTGGCCCGCGTATATAGTTGGTGTTAACCGATTGACCAATAAGTGTGGAATTTGTGTGCGAATTACTGATCAAATAATTGAACCACTTAGGTGATGAGTCACAAAAGTCGATGGCAGCTAAATTTAATGGCTTGTCAGTTCGATTTGATATTGATAAATGTGAACAAGAAAAGACTTTGCAGTTTATCAATTCGGCTTGCGAGTGCCAACGACATTTTGGCCAGACAGAAAGCAGACGGCAACGATTTGTTGACCCTGCCAGACAAAACGGTCGAAACTCCATTGAAACCAATTAATTAGCGGGCACAACCACTCGCATATAGCATATACTTAATGCAAATAAATCAAGTTCAGCTTCCAAAAGGCAGTAGTCTTCAATGTTCATTTTGATTTGCACTTATTTATTGCGTCTTGCGTTTCTTGTTTCATTCATTGTTGATCATTGAGCAAAAAAAAGAACAACAACCAACCGACAAAATTCAAATCACAAAAAATGGAATGTAGTTGACAACAAAATACCACAACAAATAGTGTTATATACTTTACACATACAAAAAAAACAATATATATATAGATATATATATACATAACTATATCAATATAACGATAAAACTGAAAACTGGAGAACAGAAGAGAGATAACTCGCAGCATGAAAGAAGTAACATTCGACTAAAACTACAAAAATCAATAAAATTAAACAGATATACAAAACGAAATCAAAGTTACAATTTTTAGTATTAAATAAATCAAATGAAAACCAAAAGAAACGGTCGTTTGTATTGGGGGAATTTAAGCTTATCGGCCAGGGAAAAAAGGCAACCCCATCAATGAACTTCAGTTTGTATACTGATTGTTTGATTTTACTTTATTTTAATTTTAAGATCTTTAATATTAGATCGCTTTCATTTTTCCAACTTTATAAATAAGGTTACTGGTTTATTTTTAAATCTTTAATTTTAGATCTTAAGGTTTATTTTTTACTTCATAAATAAGGTTATTGTTTGATGTACTTTATATTCATTTTAAAATCGTTAGAATTTTCCAACTTTATAAATATAACCTTATTTATAGTTTTATAAATATAACCTTATTTATAAAGTTTGATTTTACTTTAAATTCATTTTAAGATCTTTAATTTTAGATCGTTAGATTATCGCTTAATTTTATTTTGTATTCATTTTATAATCTTTAATACTAGATCTTTAGAATTTCTATAAAATCGAAACCACCAACCAAATCAGTGAAAGAAAATCTCGTTTGTTGTATTTTTTTTTATTTTTTAGTGCATTTACTTAACTAGAGAGTATATGTATGTAGTTTAGGATTAAAGTTAATTATTTAATATCATTAACAAGTAGGGGCTAGGGTCTTTTATAGGGTTTTCTCAGGGGAGTGTTTGATACTAGAGCTTTATGTTTTATGCTTTTCTTTTTTTTCTTGTGGGGGTGGTGGGGATGTCTTTTTTGGGTTCTTGCTCCTCATGATCTCATCTTCTGGTCCAAAAAAAAAACTCATACTAAAACCTAAATAACAGCAGCTACAAAAAAAAAGAAAAAAAACTTGGGGAAATATCAGCAAGAAGGGGGCTGCCTTAGGGTTCTAGTTCTGGGTTCTTTTCAAAAAATACGTTAGGTAAAAACTAAGCCTACGGTATGTATATAACTTCGCGTTCGGTGTTTTCGGGGTGTTTCGTGGGTCAGTGGATCAGTGGATCAAAGGTGGTTTAACAACAACATCTATAAATCGATAACAACTGCAAATGGATGAAGCCATCCATCCGATTCCATCCTATTCATCCAGGCAGATGGTGCGCAAGATGGCCTCCACCACCGAGTAGGGATCGCAGTTGGAGCTGGGGCGGCGATCCTCGAAGTAGCCCTTGCCATCGTCATTGACGCCGCGCGGAATGCGTATGCTGCAGCCGCGATTGGCCACGCCGGCACTGAAGTCGTTGATCGAGCTCGTCTCGTGCTTGCCGGTCAGACGACGGGCATTGTCCTGGCCCTGCTTGGGATCGTAGGCGCGGATGTGACGCTCGTGGCACTTGGACAGCTTGGCCACCGCCTTCTCGATGTCCCGGATGCCGCCATCCTCGCGCATCGCCTTCGTGGACACATTGGTGTGGGCACCGGCGCCGTTCCAATCGCCGGGCATCGGCTTGGGATCCAGAGTGGACACAATCTGTTGGGAAAACAACAAGAATTTCCACATTAGACTACATTATTCACACGCCTATCTTGCATTGGGCACACGGCGTTTCTTCTTTGTATCGCTGTTTTTTTTTTTTTTTTTTTGAGTGTGAGTTTTGAACCAAATATCAAGTATAACTTACGCCAAACTCCTCGGAAATGCGGTGCAAGAGGAAACGGGCCATCCAGAGATCATCGCCGATGGAGATTCCCACGCAGGGTCCCACCTGGAATTCCCACTGGGCGGGCATCACCTCGGCATTGGTACCGGACACCTTGATTCCGGCGTACAGACAGGCACGGTAGTGGGCATCCACAATGTCGCGGGCGTAGACCTACAACAAAAAATGGTAAGTGATATGTTTAAAAATATTTGAATGTACAAAATTACGTATACGACCCATTGGCCTTCTCCTATTTCTTATTCTTTTTCTTTTTTTATTTTACCTTTTAAAATTTAGGTTTAAACATGTTTTTATTACACATCAAAAGTCTTTAAAAATTATTTCAAAATATATTTTTTTTTTATAAAAAATCTGAAAATTACGTATACGCCATATTGGTTGAAAGCAGAAGAAAATAGATATTGAATTTTTTAAATGTTTAAATATGGTAAATAAGGATAAAATACCCTTAAAAAACGAATATGTTGAAATGCGTTAAATTACGTATACGCCATATTGGTCAAAAGCAGAAGAAAATAGATATTGCTTTATTTTTAATGTTTTAAAAATAAGGAAACAAATTAAGTTCTTTAACTTTTTGAATTTTAAATTTAAAGTCTATATAAATCTATATAAAATAAAATGCAGTTCTTTAACTTTTTAAATTTTAAATCTTAAAATATTAAAAAAAAAAAAAAGTTTACCTTATTGGCACCAACGCCGCAGTAGTAGGGTCCCTGGGGTCCGGGGAAGCCGTTCTTGGGCCAGCCGAGTGGATGGCCATCGAAGTCCAGGAAGGTGTACTCCTGCTCGATGCCGAACCAGGGCTCCTCGCCGACGCACTTGTTGGCCACCTCGAGGCAGGTCTTGCGCTTGTTGGTGTCCGTGGGGGTGCCGTCGAACTTGTAGGTGTCGCACATCACCAGGATGTTGTTGCCGCGGCGGAAGGGGTCCTTGTAGATGGCCACCGGGTACAGGTAGGTGTCCGAGTTCGATCCCTCGGCCTGGTAGCACGAGCTTCCATCGTAGTTCCAAACGGGCAGCTCTGTAATAATGTTAGAGGAAATGCAAAATAAGTAAGGGGGTTAAAGGGGTTCGGGTTCGGTCTATGACCATTAGTTGTCGCTGGGGGGTTAATTTTGAAGGGGTGACCTCGTCGCTCACTTAGCATGCGATACCCTCGAATTAAATATAATTGACGGCAATTGACCGGGCTTGGGGATTGGGGTTCCGTTTGAAAATTCACATCTCCCCATTAGTAACCCCTTATTTCAGGCACCCTCCCCACTCGTTAAAAAAAATCTTAAAAAATATAGATTATTTCAAACCTAAGTATTTTTAATTATTGCTAGCCATATATTAACAAGATATATGGATTTTCAAGTTTTCATTTAAATATTACTTTAGTTTGATTTACAATAAGCTTAATTACTTGCTGTTTAACTAAAGTGGGTGGTAAATACTGGAAGCTAATATAGTAAACAAAAGTTTTAATTGTTAGGACTAAACTGATACATTTTTTAAAGACAAAAATAATTAATCTACGTTTGTTTGAGCACTTTTTATTTTATTTTTAGAACTGTACCCTTGCTTATGTAAGTGCGTGCATATTCAAATGAATGAAATTATTGTGCCTATTAGGTTTCAAAACGCAAGCTGTAAGCTTCTCCTCACAAAAACATCATCACATCTCACCCCCTATTATTTTTTTTTTCCAAAACTCGCCTTGCATTTTGATGATCCATCAAAAAATAAGGTTTGTAAGTGAGATAAAAGCCGAGATAAACGGGGAGGTGTTGGGTGACGGATGTTTGTTTACTCGGTAACTCGTTTCCCCATTGCCCGTTGTTTATTATAATAAATAGTTAATTCCCCGTATGTAAATAATGCTAATGAAAATATTTCACTTATGCAAATTTCTAGGGGGCGAAAGGGGGAGTGCGGTGCATTGTTGTAACAGGCGGGGGGTGACCTTGAGCCAGCGTTTTCATTTACAATCTGGTATCTCGTGTTGGTTCTCTATCTCTATCCCTCTTTCCCCTTTAAATGTGTGTGTTGTGTACCACTCGAATTGATAAACAGCTGTAGATTTTTCCACACACACGGTGGCCACACAACTGGTTCTCAACTACGACTATAGAATGTCAGTGTGTCACTGTGCCAGCAGCGGCAGCAGCACTACAGTTATTAGCCTTGCTCTCCACCCACCGCCTACCGCCCATCCAACCCCCTCCCTATAAACATCGTACCACCTCGACATCCACCAAACACTGTTGCTATTTGCTTCCGATTTCTGTCCTACACGGCGAGACAAATAATTCACTATCAGTCGTTGGAGATTGCACTTCTGAGATCATTGCTCTTGAGAGCTTACACTTTTTCTATAGTAATTCATCCGAATAATCATATCAATCAGTTGACCTTACAGATTACATTTATTCAATAATTAATGAGATCATTGATTTCGATGGAAAAAAACTATTAGCAAAAAAGACATTTAAGTTTTATAACTTTCAATTAAATTAATATGTAAAATAGATCGTATGCAGAAGAATTATATTTGTTTTAATTTTTTCTTGTTTTCAGGGAAAATCTTTTTTCCCAGTGTGACCCTTTCCATATTTACAAACTGTACTTCTCAGTCCATCCTTGAAGTGACTGGCAATTTAGTGGACTGAAGTGTTTATAAATGCAATCGGGTTACAAAGTTTTCAATTACTTTTGATTGCAGCTGATATATTGGCGTTCTTGCGGTTTGGCGGTCGAAAGGCAATGACGACAAAATCGATTGTCCTTTTATTGAATAGAAGGGGCACGCATCGGCGATTAAATGTCATTTTGTAATTTGTATTTTGCCCAATTACAATTTCACTTTGAACTTGAAATGTGAGAGGGTCCCTTCCCATTTTTCCCATTAGGGTGCGTCACTTACTCGCTCGTCAAAAAACAAATACAAATTAAAGGCCGCTTTCTCTCACACCTACGCTCCATATGTCTGTCCCTTTCCAACGTCCGTCCAATGCACTGTGTGCGAGTGGGACAGAGCGAGTGTAAGTGCGCTTCTTAATTAGTAATTGTGCGCATTAAGTCATTTGTTTTTATTTGTGCTTTGCTTTTGCTTTCAAGTGCAAGTGTAATTATTGAGGTGACAAGTTCGCGTGCTGATCGGGGTTTTGCTAAGTTGGGGGGTTTTTTCTTAAGTCGAACCGACAACTCTCCGTCCTTGTCGCTCGGCTGATTGGGTTTGCGGTGGCAATTTACCGTTGCAACTCCTCCAATTGAAATTTGAAATTAGTTTTTTTTTTTTGCAAATATATATTTTTATTCAAATTAAAAAAATAGTAAAAAATCTGAATTAATCCTTCTTATTTTAAGGATAGTTTTCCTTTTCCTATTTATATTATTTTAAATGGATGATAAAATAAATCTTTTAGGCTTTTACTTAAGTTTGAAATCTAAATATTCGTTTTAGATTGGTAGTTAATATCCACAGAAAATATTAAATATAATATGAATATGATGAAATTCCTAAAAGCAGTTAGAAGTCTTCATAAACTTTAGCTGTGCTAAAGTTAGAAAGTTCAAAATTAGTTTACAATACCCCAATACCCACACTCCTAAAATGCCTCCTCTTCGCACGCCGTGGGTAATTGCACATTAAAACGCAATCAATTAACACTGAAATTAAAACTCTTTCAAGTCCGGACGGCCTTTTATAAAGCCCCCGCGATTAAATCGCATTATCAGACGCGAGTCGTGAAAATTCTGTTTTTAGACCATAAAGCGAGCACTTCCCAGACGTTCGAAATGCCGAAGAACCGCCGCCAGAATCGTGCCAAGGCAAAGGTCATCGCTGTGCTGGGCTGGGGTTGTATAACCCCGTGAGAGGGATCAATAAAAAACCGCAACAGACGAAGCCGTTCATTGCCACAATTTTTCGGGGCGTTTATGGGCTGGATTTTCAGACGCTCGTAAAATCGCACAGATCTATTGTACATAGTATAGCCCCATATAGCATATAGAGCTATTGCGTAGTAATTGCTGGCGAAATGCGAATTTAAAACGAATTAATACAGACAATTTGCCAGCTAAAGATAGTGGACATACATTGTCATGCTCCACATATAAATAAATAGTTTTTTTAAGCGGGAAAAATGTATAAAATTAATATTATCTCTACGATTTATTGAGTGTTTATCCTAACGATATTATATCGATTTTTTTTAGGAGATATTCCACATTTCTATAATATTTTTAGATCATTTTACAATTCTTTTAGATTTTTCTACTCTCAACTTTTATGATAAATGTAAATAAACCTTGACTTCTGAATGATCCGTTATATAAAACCTGTGAAAAAACTCATAGCGTCTGCCGAATTTAGAAGTTCACTCAATTAGCTTCTAATTTAAGAGTGTGCCTGTATTTCTGGTCATTAAAGGTGTTTGACTAATTTGGAGAAATTAGCACCTGGCGAGACTTGGACTTATCTTCTTGCAGCCATTTCTTTGTGATTTCTGATTCTTTGTTCTACATATCTTTTTTTCTTTTGTTTTGGCCGCTTTAATTTTATTTCCAAACCAACTCCAATTGCCGAATTCAAGTTCATTCACACGCGACCCATTAAATGCCCATTACGATTTGCAGCTGGTTATAAAAGCGACTTGGATGGGGCGAAAACTAGTGAATTACGGCGATAAATCTAGCCAAACGCCTGAGACGGAGACAGTTTTAAGAGTTTGGCCACTCCAGATAAGATTACACTGGCAGAAAATCAAGTATTTCGCACATAAATCAAGTGCGAACGCGACCTATGCTGCGATAAGCTGGAAATTACTTAATGCCGCCATTTCAGCTACTTGATCGAAGTGCTATTTAACAAGAAAGTAATCGGGAATTAGAATTAAGGTATGTGACCTACAAAAAAAATTGAATTTTTTAATTTATTGGATTTATTGAAAGTTCCAAAAGAACATGATCTTTTGCTGAGTACTAACAATTAAAATGGGGTTTTTATCGGAGTTTTGGTTCCGAATAAGAGGTTTCAAAAATAACCAAAAATAATGGGATATTGTAATGTAATCCTGAGTAAGAACTGTTTCGGTTATATTTTACAAATAGTTCCAACAAGTTTCTATCCTGAGTTATCTCAGTTATAAAACCGAAATTTCAATGGGAAAGGTGGTATTCAAGCATATTTAACCAAAAACTCACCCTTGGGGCTCTGGGGGATGAAGTCGAGGGTGCGATCCTTGCAGCGCAGGTCCTCACCGGTTCCATCGATCCACACGTAGGTGGCCTGGACGACGTTGTCCTCGAGCGGCAGCGAAAGGTAGCGATCGAGGATCGTCTTGTTGATGCGCGCATTGGGCGAGTCCTCCAGGATCCTAGCGGACATACTGCTCATGCGATTAGGGCACCCAAAAAAAATATATGGAAAGTGGTTTAGAAATAAACAATGTTCGTTTGGCACTCGTAGAATTATTCTCAATTCTTTTTTTTTGGATATGCACCTGATTGATTTTTTCTGTTTTCTATTTATTTATCTGATTGCGTTTTTTGCGGGACGACTGGCTGCGTCCTTTCTGGTTGGGATTTGAATTGGGAATCAGAATTTGTTGTGCGCGGAAGCGTTACTGGAACACGACTAAGCTGGATTCCCTTGTTCCAACTCAATTTATAATGACCAACAACAAACAACAAAGCAAAACAAAAGCAACGCCAGTTGTTGTTGTTGTTGTTGCTGTACAAACTATACTATACGGCCATATACACTATACTATACACTACACTACACACCATACTATTACTTACAACAAACTAGCAACGACGGCGACTGCGACGTCGGCAGAGCGCCATTGAAAACAAAAGCAACAGCTGTTGTCGCCGCCGCGCTGGCAGCGCTGCAGCAGCGCAGTCGCCGCACGATCAACGCCCCCTCCCTCTCGCTCGCACTCGCACCACTAGCTTATCCCCTTGGCCCTCCTCCCACTCCCACCCACTGATTAGACGCTTTGCAGTTTGTCGCCCGACGCCGACGCAGCTTGTCGCTCGCGAGCGGAATAGGGGGAGAGGGAGAGAGAGAGGGTCCCTCTCCCAATTGGATTCCTGGCTGACGCTTCCGGTAACACGGGAAAAAAAATCAACACTACTTCTATCTAATTGGAATTTTCTAGGAAAAGAACATTTTGAAATTGTTAACTAGAATATTATACTTTTCCGGAAAATTTTCTTTCATTTTTTTTTATAAAGCAAGAACTATAATTTATATTAATAATCTTTTTTTCCGGTTTAAGAAAATAAAAGTTATATTTATTAACCAAAAATAATTTCAAAAAATAAAATCCAATCTCACTTTATTTTAAAAGAATTATTTTTGATTCATAGGTGCACACAGAATTCAACGATTATGTTTTCTGTGTAGATTAACAGTTGCAGGTTGAGTTGCCAAATTGTTTTGTTTATTTTTAATTCACTTTTGATGTGCGAGCAAATGCGTGTAAATGAGTAAAAGTCGCTTATCAGCTGGATCGCCAGCAAATGAGTTTTATTTTGTAAAACTTTTTTTTTTTTTTTTTTTTTTTGTTTGACAAGGACAAGGACAGTCGGCTGATGTAATGATGAACAACTTACGCTGAATGCATTTTATTGTGAGTTTTTTTTACAATGTTTTCCGAACTCTTAATCACGCACGCGAACTTTAGGCACTTGAGCGATGATTTTCGTATAATTTTAAGGAACTCTTTTTCTCAATTGCAATTGGGAGTTTCGCAAAGGAGCTGATACAGTGGGCACTTCTTAGGAGCGACTGCGCAGATCCAGCAGCGATTGATCCGCTTTTATAGGCTCTCCGATCCGATCACTTGGCACTCGGACAACTGGGGAGATGTTCGGATGTGTGACTCGATTTTTTGATTATTTTTATGGCGCATAAAGCAAACACGACCAAGTGCTAATTACCTTTTCAAGATTCTCACATTTTTATTATTATTTGGCGTTGTGCTCGCCTCGTCAAGTCGACGAAACGAAAGTAAATATTGTATCGAAAAGGGAGCAATTCCTTTGGTGGGAGACCCCTGAAACCTTACCCCCTAACCAAACCCAAACTCGAACTCCTTGCGTACCCTACACTACACCCTACACCCACGGCAAAATGTTCGTCATGTTTGCCGGCTGGCGAAGGTGTGAAAAAGTTAATTGCAAACGAGTTTCGCACAAAAAGGTTAATTGTTTGGTGCGATTTTATGGCTTCGTCTAGGCGGCCATGTAAATTGGCCGGTATTTACAGCTTATCAGGGCAGTTTTCTAGTTTCTAATATGATATTCCTTAAATGGGATTTAACAATATGTTTCCTAGTTTCTATAAAAGGTGTTGCAAATACACTGGCAAGCAATTGAGTTATTTTTAAAAGTTAAAATAAAACTTTTTTGCTTTTACAAATTTAACAAAAAAAATTATAATTTAAATGACTTTATTAACCTAAGTTTAACACCTTTTTTATAACATTTAAATCCATTAAGTTTTCTATTTCTATCCACCATTTTAGCATAGTATTTTAGTTCGTTAAACCCATTTTCTCTTTGGGTGTAACAAATTCGCCAGCTGATCTAAATTTAAAGGCAAATAAAAACGTCTGGACGGGCAGACGGTCGCAAGAAACAACAACTTAACGTTTAACGTATAGCGTATCAAATAAATTGCGACAAGCTACATTTTATTTCAATTTTAAATGCACAATTAACATATGTGCCGGCCAGTCGAAGACGACGCACAGACAGACATAAAATAAAACAAACAAGCAAACGTGAAATAATTTTCTATTAATCGTCGGCTGCGTCTTCAATTCGGCTCAGTGTTGGCGAAAAGACCAAAAAATAACTGATTGAATTGGGCTAAAATCTGCAATAAATACTCCATATATTCATAATAATTTTCGATTCATAATTTCTTTATTATTCACAAGTCACGTGTGTAAAGTTGGTCAACACTGCGTATGCGTAATTTAATTTAGTCATTTTGTGTCACTTACAATTTCGAGTAGATTAATCACAATGTTATATTTAGCCATGCAAATAAAACAAAGAGAGATACTTTTTGTGTATTAGAAAGCAAATTTTATTGTAGCATTTTCAATTCACAAACTTGGTTGACAGTGCGTATGCGCAATATTATTAAGTCAACTTAAGTTAGTCGAGTTTTCAAGGTGATGCTTATTATTTATTGTAATTATTTGGTATTGAAATAAATTTTTAAATTAATCATTTAATTAGAAAATTAAAAAAAATATAATGATTGATGTAAATTGATTGAAATATTTAAAATTTAAATGTCAAAAATAGATTTTCTTATTTTAAAAATATCAAAAATAATAGAATCTCCTTATATTTAATGCACAATTGTGCTAATTGATTTAGATTGATTAAAATATTTTAAGTTTCTTTGTCAACATTTTTTTCTTAATTTATAAATAAGCAAACAAATAAGTAAATACATTTTTTGGCTTTTTTCTGCCTAAAAATTCTGAAACATGGCCAGAAAAGCGGCTAATTTGTCAACGCTGACTATCTGTTCACGTGAACTGCGCATGCGTTTCCCGCTGCGGTCATCGCCCCCCTCCAACCGCTCCCCCCTCTGGCTGCCTCTGCCTCCGTCCGGCGATCGTCGACAGTCGTCCGTCTTCTGGTGTTTGCTCGCATTTAACGAGGCTTTTTCGCGAGCCTCTCTCTCGCCGGGCTGCATTCAAATTGGCTTAGGCGACGGCCATAAAGCCCATAAAGCGAGCATAAAGCAACAAAAAGCTAAAAACTTTGATCTTCGATAGCGCTGGAAATGGCCAAGTTGGACAAGTTGGCCAAGATTAGGAGCCCAGGAGGTGGCCCGCCCTAAATATCCGGCTAGAAGAAGAGCCGGCGACGCGTGGCGGTGCGATAACCGACTTAATGGTAAGTAGGTGAAGGCAGCGCACCCTAACCATAATATACAAACAAACTTATATACATATATGACTAATTGATTGGCGCAGACTGTGGTAATTGGTGAATTTGAATTGGCATTACCACTTCTCATATTTCGCATTAATTTCACCAGCTTAATTGGCGATCATCAGAGCGGCAATTTATCATCGAGATCGAGATGGAGATCCGAGGCCCATCATCGTCAGGCGCTTGGTCTATTTATAGGCCCCGCGTTGGGCGCCAATTTCCGCGATTGACCAGCGTCATCGGGGTCACTAGTTCGGTTCGATCCGATTCTGCTCTGGATCCCAGCGGTAAGTGATACGCTTTACAACCACAAGTATTTAATGTCACTTTTTTTCCTCTATTACTATCTTTACTATCTATATAGCTAAATATTTATCTTATAGCTTACTGTTAAATTGTTTCATTCAATAATGCAGCAACGTGTCGTTCTGTTTAGTTACAAAGTAACTAATTATATCTTTTCAGAAGAGGAGAATTTAAGATTAAATTCCCGTGAATTCCTCGGCAAAGTTCTAGAACGATTATCAGTAAATCGATGGGGGTCAGCGTAATTTTTGGCGCCATTTTCCATAGATGACTATCGCTCGTTGGCCAATTTAGTTTCTTCTGTTTGGGTTTTGGCTTTCGGCTTTCGGCCACTTGTGGCCCCTCATAAAGTTGCATAATCCGTCGTCCGATAGCCAGCCAGCCAAAAGATTGGAGTTACCACCATCTAACACCTAGAGTGCTTCTGATTCCGTCCCGGGGACCCTGAACTTTGCCAGCGTTACGTATTTCTAGCCGCTTATCTGGGGGATGTGCGTCTGCAGTTCGAAGCGAAAAAAAAACCAAACGACACTCTTTATGCCCCCAATTGGCGTATAAACTCTATTAAACAATTTATGCTCTAAACTGTCTGAATTGCTTAACTTCTTTATGACACTCGCATTCGCATTTCGGCTTTGGGTTCGGGCCCGCACGCTTATTTATTCTATAATAAACTTATCTAATAGTCATGTGCACTATAATATGCCCGCTATATTGTTTTTGGTTTCTGCTTTCTGGTTATGGGGATGTTTGTGCTCTGTGTTTTGCGGTGCCAGCTCAACTCGGTTCGGTTCGCTTTAGATCGGCTTGTCATGAAACAGAAACAGAAACGGAATGAAACGACATGATCGGATATCTCCCGTGCCCCCAAAATGCCCATGTTCCTCTTCCGAATTAAGGCAGCTCTTTCTCCCTCGGTGGATTCAGCTGACTCTTCAAAAACAATGTCAGGCCACCTCAATTGAGCTGAGTGCTGGGAGCTTCACTTCTATAACTATGTACAGTGATGTCTAGTGATAAGTTGAATCCTTGGTGTAGGGTTTTCTTTAGATCTTGGAAACGGTTAAGATAAAAATACAAGGCATTTTTGATCAAATTATTGTATTACAAAGTTTTTAAGTTTTAAAAACTAAAGTCACCTAGACATCAGAAAAAACCATTTAAAATTGAGAAACAAAATTCTAGAAAAATTCTGAAAAACTCTATAATTTTAAAAAAACAAAATCAAATCACAAAAAAAGAAATAAAAATTCCGAAAATAATGTTATAAAAATTCTTAAAATAAATTCTTAAAAACTAAAATTCTGAAAAAATTCTTAAATATTCCCGAGTTCTTCCTAGAGGCTTCACTGTATCTGAGTTGCGTGTTAAGTAGTGGCAGGGGGCGACTGCCTCGGTTGCAAGGAAGTTGCGATTTGGTAATGTTCAGCCCAAAACAAAAAAAAGAGAAGAAAACTACGAAAAAAAGAAAGCAAATCCAAATGCATATGGAAAAGGGGCAACCGAACAATTGGCGTTGATTCAATTTGCTAGCCATTTGCGGTACTCGGCACTGCCGCTGCAATTATGCCCATCAAATCTATCCCAATCCCGCGAATCAAGCAATTTACCCATCATCATCATTACTATTATCATCCAGTGTTTTAAATCAATTTGATGCCCTTGTGTTTTTCGAATGGCGGGGGGTGAAACCTTTTAAATTGGCCATTAATTCGGTACTTTTCCCATATTAACATTATAAATAATTTAAATAGTTATGGGTTTTATTTATCCCATAAAGTTGTCATACATTTTTATACATTTTTTTCTTCAAGTGTAAGTGTAAGTTCTGTGTGAGAACCTTTTTGGAGGCTGAACTTATAGAGTAACCTTATCGCTGCTCAAGATCGACCTTCGCTGTCGTTGCGGCTTTTTCAAACTCGATCAAACACAAAAAATAAAAAAAAAAAGCCTAAATAAAAACCGAAACCCGTGAGCCTCCAGGTGTGTGCGTGCCATCGCTGACGTCACCGGCCGAAGGAACGTGCGCTGCTAATCTAAGTATATATACTACATAAAACCAAAAAAAAAATGGCATAAAAAAGTTTAGACTCGTCTGTGGCGTTGACAAAAACTTCAATACATCAATGGTCGCACTCGAAAACCGGGCACACACATCGGCGGACAGGTTTGCATGATTTATGACTCCGCAGCTGACAGGCATCAGGGCGAACAGGTGCGGATTGGGGGCTAAAGTGCTCTATAAGGAGGGTTAGCCAGCCAATAATCCTGTTCAAGTAGTTGCAAATTAATATACTCAATCACTGTCAACTGACTTGCGATTTTCCATAAATTAGATTTTCTCAAAAAATCTATAAAATCTTGAAAAAAATATTTCTATAAATGTATTTCAAGAAATCAGTTCCTAGTTAAAACCTACACTATTGTTGGAATAATACGTAAAAATATGAACATTGTAGCTTTAGTGGTTTTTGCTCTGCTTTCTACCCCTATATTTTAAAGAGAACGTTTAGATGATATAAGATATTATTACAAACTGTTTTTTACGATATAATAGAAAATATATCTAAAAAATCGCTTTAATCACGTGATTTAAACTCAAGAAAATACAATATCAACATGTTTTTATATATCCAATCCGCTTGGCACTAGATTTCTGCTTGTGATAAGGCCACCTATTTTGAGTCATTACCCCTTATCACTGTGACTCATCAAGGTCATCGATGCAGGTTCCAAGTGATAACTGATAAGTGCTTTACTCGGTGATAAAAGGTGATTACATTTACATTGCATAAATATTAGATGTAAGCCGAGGAAGAATGTGTTTACAAGAAAGTGGATAAGCTGTTTAACTTTAAACCGAAACTGGAAAACGTATGACAGATTGTAATATTAGAATAGCCAAGTAATCTAGCATTAGGTATCCAGAATTCCACGAATCCGTCCCTGAAACCTCATGCTGTGCGTGAGTGGGCTAGAGATTAGTTAAAAACGCACGAGTTTGACGACGAGTCCGACGTCCGAGTGTCTTAATCTTGATTTGTTTGTATTTTGATTACTGAAATTAGCGGCTAGCGCTAATTGATGCATTAGCTCTGATTGCGACTCGTTCCCGGCTACTTGTGCCTGTCGTCGTCGTCGTCTCTGTAGTCGTCCAATCGATTCGATTCGATGTTCCATAAATAAAACAAATGGAGCCTACGATGATTTCCCGGGGATCCGAAAGTCGAAAGGCCAATTATTGGAGCCGCCAAATGGCGAAAGTTACAGCTCGAAACTTTGGCCAACTTTGTCTGAATAACAAGTCAATTATAAGGGTTATGTTATGGCGGCTACACTGTAAAATAATCATGTGTATTTACAATTTATTAATCTGTTTAACAAAAATATAAAAAAGACCTAATATTTTCCTAAAAACTTGTTACATATAATTTTCAAAACTCCCTTTTGTCTCCATAAATTATTAAAAATGTATATTCTTCTGTATAAATCTCTCGTAACATTTTTAATCTTTTTTTTCATAAAATTTTTAAATCTGTTTTTATGTATCGCAATAAATTATTAAAAAATAAATATTCTTCTGTATTTAAACATATTAATCTGTTAAAATATTTCCTTTAACTGTTTATATTTTTCTCTTAATTATCCAAGACTTTACTTTTACGTAGAGTGTATCACTTTCGTTGGAAGTGCCTATATAAAGGGGCTTCCTGGCCAGGATATGCCAAGAAAGCAAAGGTTTATCCACCATGGCCAAGTGGTTTCGCTTCCTGAAGCGCGATCAGCCGCTGTCCGTGTATTTCTTTGCCGTGCCTCGTCTGAGCCTGAGCATAATGGGCTACTGGCCTGAGAAGTCGGGCGACATCCTGCCCTGGCGATCCCTGGCCCACTTTGTGATCCTGGCCATTGGCGTCGTCACCGAACTGCATGCCGGGATGCGCTTCCTGGACCAGCAGCAGATCACCTTGGCCCTGGAGACGCTCTGTCCGGCGGGCACGTCGGCGGTCACGCTGCTCAAGATGTTCCTCATGCTGCGCTACCGCCGCGATCTGGCCGCCATGTGGAGCCGCCTGAGGAGCCTGCTCTTCGATTCGAAGACGGAGCTACCCGATCAGCGGCAAATCCGGCTGAGCCACTCGATTATGGCGGCCCGCATCAACTTCTGGCCCCTGTCCACCGGCTTCTTCACCTGCACCACCTACAACCTGAAGCCAATTCTCATCGCCCTGGTGCTCTTCCTGCAGCATCGCGGCGATGACTTCGTCTGGTTCACACCCTTCAATATGACGTGAGCGCTTCGATTTAAGTTACTCTTGAAATTCTGCTTACTTTCCAAATTAATATTTATTTGGGGTCGTTTTCTCAATGTCCGGTTAGCTTTTGCCATTCAGTTTTTAAATTGCTGTAAAGTTTGGTCGTTGCTTAAATTATCGTCACATTGAGAAAACGAACTTAACTTTGGGTTATGGCAAACTAGAACTTTAACTTCAATCGTATGGTTACAGACTGTTAAGATTTTTCGTTCGTAAAATTAACCTTCCATTGAGAAAACGAATTTAACTTCATGTTAACTTCTTGGAAACCGATAGCAAACTAGAACCTCGACATAAATCGTATGATAATAGACTGTCAGGATTGGTCATTGGTTAAATTATCGTCACATTGAGAAAACGAACTTAACTTTAGGTTAATTCTTCGGAAACTGATAACAAACTAGAACTTCAATTTCAATCGTATGATTACAGACTGTTAAGATTTATCGTTCGTAAAATTAATCTTACATTGAGAAAACGAATTTAACTTCACGTTAACTTCTTGGAAACCGATAGCAAACTAGAACCTTGACATGTAAAGATTAGTCATTGGTTAAATTATCGTCACATTGAGAAAACGAATTTAACTTCAGGTTAACTTCAATCGTATGATTACAGACCCTTAAGAAAACGAATTTCACTTCATGTTAACTTCTTGGAAACTGATAACAAACTAGAACCTTAACCTTGACGTAAACAAGCTGTGTTTCTTCAACAGAATGCCCACAGTTCTTCTAAGAGCGCCATTTTTTCCCCTAACCTACATATTTATTGCCTACACGGGCTATGTTACCATCTTCATGTTCGGAGGCTGTGATGGCTTTTACTTCGAGTTCTGTGCCCACTTGTCCGCACTTTTTGAAGTGCTGCAGTCGGAGATACGTTCGATTTTTAAGCCCTACAAAGGTGGGTTAACCTAACCACTAAAGAAGTTTAATAATTAATTAACAATTTACCAAGATCACTTGGAACTTTCGCCGGTGCAACTGTACAATTTGGAGCAGCGAATGCGGGCGGTGATCATCAGGCACAATGCCATCATAGATTTGACAAAGTTTTTCCGGGAGCGCTATGCGATTATCACATTGGCCCACTTTGTGTCCGCCGCCATGGTGATTGGTTTCAGCATGGTCAATCTGTTGACCGTGGGCAACAATGGTTTGGGCGCCCTGCTCTATGTGGCCTATACGATTGCGGCACTGAGCCAATTGCTGGTCTATTGCTATGGCGGAACTCTGGTGGCCGAAAGTGTGAGTTTCAATGGGTTTTTGTATTGGGTTCTCTATTTTATTGGGTTTCATGGGTTCCTAACATCCTATCTATAGAGCGCAGAGCTCTGCCAAGTAATGTTCTCCTGTCCCTGGCAGTTGTTCAAGCCTCCGCAGCGACGACTGGTTCTCTTTCTGATCATGCGATCCCAGCGACCCATGTCCATGGCGGTGCCCTTCTTTTCACCTTCACTGGCCACCTTTGCTGCGGTAAGTCACTTGCTTCAATTTTAAATTAACTAACTAAATTACTAACTAATAGCTACAAAACCCTTAATTTATCTTGCCCTACTTTACGTACCTTTATTTTTAACCAATTAACAGAACAAAAAACCATGAGAAAAATTCCTATTTGTACTAACAACCAAAATCCGTATTTTCTACGAAAAAATCACTTTTTTGGCCAAAACAAAGAAGATAACCATCCAAATATGGAGTGTCATACCTCGTTGAACTCGTTATTTAATTCCTAATCGATTGGCATTCAAACCTAGAAATTTTCAAATTTTTTCATTTTTTTGCAAAAATTGTGATGTTACCCCTTATCAAAAATGCGAAAATTTAACTAAAAATATATTTCCCTAAAAGTGATGGGATTCATTAGTATAGGTCGTAAGCTGTTCAAAACAGTCGGTCCTTTAGCTGTGGGCCTTGATTTGTCCAAGCTACGACAAAAAAAAACCATAAAAAAAAATGTTTTTTTCATCGAAAATTTTAATCCACAATTTCCTCCCTAAATGATCAATTTTTTGGCCGTAACTATAGAAATATTGATCCAAAAATGGAATGTCGTACCTCGTTGAACTCCTTATTTAATTCCTAATCGATTGGCATTTAAACCTAGAAATTTTCAAATTATTTCATTTTTATCAAAAATGCGAAAATTTATCAAAAAATAAATTTCCCTGAAAGTGATGGGATTCGTTAGTAGAGGTCGTTAGCTGTTCAAAACTGTCGGTCTTTTAGCTGTGGGCCTTGATTTGACTTAATTACGATTCAAAAACCAAAATCGAATCCATATTTTAGCCGACATTGTGCCAAATAGGGTGAGAATAAGGAGTATTGAGGTCATAATTAAATTTTTTCCTTTATGAAACTCTCAATAAATCCCCATAAATATTAAGTCTACTTAAAGAATATATTTAAAATACAATTGATGTCCAATTTATTGATGATAATAATTAAATACTAAATTTCAATTTGTAACTTTTGCAGATTCTTCAGACCTCGGGCTCTATAATTGCCTTGGTTACATCTTTTCAGTAGATTGTAGCCATTGTTACTTTTTAAATAAAAAGGCACCATTATCTAACAATTCGATGAACATTTTTTTTTAGTACCATACGTTTTTTACACATTTTTCTAACATAGATTAATTAATTCTCTCTCGATTTTATTGAAACCAGCCAAGGAGCTTGTATTTTTTCGAGCCTTTCGTATCGGCCATCTCCAATAATTAGGCGCTACCATTCCATAGCCAGTTCACTTCATTTCATTTCCCAAAACACGCGACCTTTCGCTCAGTTTGCCGAGGAAAGTGTAGCAGGAATGACATCGCCCGATGATGAGCGGAGTTTCTGGGAGCGGCACGAGTTCAAGTTCTACCAGTACGGCCATGTGTACGCCCTGATCTACGGCCAGGTGGTGATCGACTATGTGCCCCAGAGGGCTCTCAGGCGGGGCATCAAGGTGCTCCTGATCCTCTACGGTCACCTGTTTAGCCTGCTGCTGATTGTCGTGCTGCCCGGCTACTTTTGCTATCACTTTCGCACCCTAACCGACACTCTGGATCGCCGACTGCAGCTGCTGTTCTACGTGAGCTTTGCCAACACGGCCATCAAATATGCCACCGTGATTGTGACCTATGTGGCTAATACCGTGCACTTTGAGGCCATCAATCAGCGGTGCACGCTGCAGAGGATGCATCTCGAAAGAGAATTCGCCGATGCCCCGCAGGAGCCGAAGAAACCCTTCGAGTTCCTCATGTACTTCAAGTTCTGCCTGATCAACCTGATGATGGCGGTCCAGGTGTGCGGGATCTTTGCCCAATATGGCGATTCACAGAACCAGGTGCGCGTCCACTTCGCCATCTACGCCTTCGTGCTGTGGAACTACACGGAGAACATGGCCGACTATTGCTATTGGATCAATGCCTCGGTGCTCAAGTACTACAGGCAGTTCAATCTCCAGCTGGATTCGCTGAGGCGGGAGGTGAATGCCCTGCGTCCGGGTGGCGGAATGCTCCTCCATCGCTGCTGCGAGCTGAGCGATCGCCTGGAGGAGCTGCGTCGGCGGTGCCGCGAGATCCACGGCCTGCAGAGGGAGAGCTTCCGCATGCACCAGTTCCAGCTGATCGGGCTGATGCTGAGCACCCTGATCAACAACCTGACCAACTTCTACACCCTCTTCCACATGCTGGCCAAGCAGTCGCTGGAGGAGGTCAGCTACCCGGTGGTGGTGGGATCGGTCTATGCCACCGGCTTCTACATAGACACCTACATCGTGACCCTGGTCAACGAGCACATCAAGCTGGAGCTGGAGGGCGTCGCGCTGACCGTGAGGCGGTTCGCAGAGCCACCGGCAAGGGACGAGCGGCTGACCAGGGAGGTGAGTACTTATCAATTTACCTTGAAAAAGGAATTAACTTAGATTTCCCTTGAAAATAGAAATTAGTAAGATTTGCCTTGAAAAGGGAAATTACTTAGACTTCCCTTGAAAAAGGAATTTACTTAAATTTTTTTGAAAAAGGAATTTATTTAAATTTCCCTTGAAAAAGGAAATAACTTAAATTTCTCTTTAATTAAAGGAGTGAATTCCTTAACATCCCATGAAAAAGGAACTTTATAAGACTTGCCTCAAAAAAGGATATTATCTCGATTTCCCTTGAAAAATTAATTTACTTAAAATTCACTTTAAAAATGCAATTGTTTAGATTTTCCTTTGAAAAGAAAATTTCTTAGATTTCCCTATAGAATGAAAATTACTTTGAAAAAGAAAATGATTTCCCTCAAAAAAGAAAATCTACTTAAATTTCCTTTTAGACGAAATATTTAATATCTTTTCTATAAATTAGTTTAATTTTAATGCACCTCAGTTAACTTTTAAAAATAGACCTTTTAAAAAAAATCGATGCATTTTCCCAATGCATAATTCCTATTTTTAGGTCTATGGATTTATAAGAAATATTTTTAATTTGTAAAGTCCAATTCCCATTCAGATAGAACACCTATCGCTGGAGCTACTCAACTACCAACCGCCGATGCTCTGCGGTCTTTTGCACCTGGACCGCCGATTGGTGTACCTCATTGCAGTTACAGCCTTCTCCTACTTCATAACCCTGGTGCAGTTTGATCTCTATCTGCGCAAGAGGTCCTAGTTAACGTGGCTAAAATGAAGGCTAACCAAATCAAAACCGAATTTATAAAAAAAACTATAGGTTTAGGGAGTAAATACATTAAAGTAAATATTTTTTTGTCACATCTAGAATATAATTAAATTATAAAATATATTACTTTAAAATTAATTTAATAATTTTAAAGCACAAAGTGTATTACACTTAAAATGTAGGATCACATAACACCACCCATGTTTGTTGATTGCTCAACAGAATAAAAGATGAATGCTAATGGTTGGTTGGTTTCCTTTGGATAAGGAGTGTCCTTTGAAGATAGCACTTCAATGTTCCGCTGTTTATTTAGATAAGGATTTCGAGGGCTGGGCGTCCGCTTGGTGTATTCCCATAAACGTTGGATCCCTGTCCTCCATTCAGTTGCTGGCCACAATGCGAGCCGAAAGGTTGTGCCGTTGGGCCCTGCGCTGCTGGATGGGATTGATTTTGGTCCTGGGCATGTCCTGCCACTTCTACAGTTCCAACCGCAGGCGTCTGGTCCACTCCCGAGTTTTGCAGGCCTACAGCTGGCTGACAATTGCGGCCAACTTGGCGTTGTATTACGTGTACTATATCTACGCTATTACTTACTTCGCGGAGGGCACTTTTCGGCGGCAAAGATTCGTGATTCAGGTGAGTCCCTATTAATACTTTTACAAATCTATCTTAGGCATTATAAATTATCTCTGACTATGGGTTTCCTAATAACAATATTAATAATAATATTTATAAGAATGAATAAAAATCATGTTTGACCAGATAATCTTTAATATATAATAAAAATAAAATCAAATAAAAATTCTTAATAAATAAATATTTATCATACAATTTAATTGGAAAATTTAAATAAAGCAACATTTAAATGAATTTGTTAAAAAATATCAAATAATCTTGACTAAGAGATCACTATTTAATTTATATTTTTAAATGCTAGAAAAATTACAAATTTATATTTTAATTAAATTACAATACTTTTAGGTGTGCGAATATCATAAATTCAAATAAATGAACATTTTAATCAATTTGTAAAAGTTATCAATTGCAAGAAATATTTTTTAGACATACCTAAATTATTTAATTTATTTTTTAAATGCTACAAAAATTCCAAATTAATATTTTAATAAAACTGCAATACTTTTAGGTGTGCGAGGGCAACGTACGACTGCAGATCGTTATACTGGCACTCCAGACTTTAATGCGGTTGCTGCGGGAAGGCGAGGTGTGCCAGGCATACAACGAGATTACCGAGATCCTAGATGGAGAACTCAGTCACCAGACGCACAGTCGCTTCTACTGCGTGGCATTCCTGGCCAAGATCTTCAGCTTCGTGCACAACTTCAATATTGCGCTGAGCATCCTCATGATTTGGGGCATGCGAACCTTTGGCGTTTCAGACTTCCTGGCCAATCTGTATTTCGTCTACAACTCCCTGGCCCGCGATGCCGTCCAGCTGGCCTACACCCTGCTGCTCCTCGACCTCCGCGAGGCACTGCGTGCGAATGGCCAGCGGCGGAGGGATTCCCATGATTCCTATGGCCAACTGATGGAGCAGTTGCGCCGGCAGGAGCGTCTGTTGGCCATTGGGCGGCGGGTTCATCGCCTGTTCGAATGGCTGGTGGCGGCCAACCTCTTTTTCCAGCTGTACTTCAACACGGCCACCATTTACCTGGGCTACGCCTTCGTCATCCAGCGGCAGGACGCCCTGGGGCTGCGGGTGTATCGCCTGAAGCTCCTGCTCACCGGCCTCATCTTCCTGGTCAAGCTGGGCGACGCCCTGCTCCTGCAGATCGTCTGCGAACGGCTGCTGGCGGAGGAGAACCAGGTCTGCGCCAGTCCAAAGATCCGGCAGCAGGATGGGGCAAATGCCAAGGCAATCCACAGGCAGGTGAGTAAATTAAAATTAATAATATTATATATTTTAATACAATTTTTTAAATTAGAAAAATAGAATAAATAATAAAAAATCCATTTTTTAAAATACAAACAAAAATAACTTGTAGATCCTTCTTAATTAATTTTTTTTTGATTTAAAAAAAATATAATAATATATATATTTTGGAAGTCTAAATAACGATTTTTTTAAAATTTATTTCCAATAAATTTATATTCAATCTAAGGACCAAAAAATAAATATATATTTTCCCTTGTTTTTCTACAAGTGTTTATCTAATTAATTAATGTAAAATTTGTGTATATTTCGCAGTGGGAAATGTCCGTTTTAAGGCGAGCAATTCGACGAGCATCGTCGGAGAACAAAGTGCTGGGGATGTTTCGAATGGACATGCGATGTGCCTTCGCCCTGATTAGCTGCAGTCTGTCCTACGGTGTTATTATTATACAGCTTGGCTATGTCCACAGTTAAATTGGCCTTCGCTTTCGGCCATTCGAAAGGCTATACCACTATACCGCAGTCTAATCGACACTCAATCGGCACTCAAGTTAATTGAAAGCATAATCTAAGGTAAAAGGATCTCTGGCGAAATGAAAACAAGACACGGAACTTATGAACCCATAGTTCGAATGGCCGCATAACTTTAAGGATAAATAAAAATCCAACCAATCATGTTTTCATTTGATTTTTTATTAGTAATTAATTATAAAATGTGATTAAGGCATAAAAATATATTTTCTAAAATTCGCTTTTAATTTGTCAACAGTTTCGAAGGTCCTTCGTTGAGTTTGTTCCTTGATTGCTTTTTCGATATGTGTGAGAAGACATCTGGATTTTCAACGCTGACCATTGGGAGATTGTTGATATCCTTTAAGTGCACCTTCTCCGCCTTCAAGGTGTCCAGACGTCTCTGCTCCTCCTTGATGAGATTGGCGGCTATATTGCGGCATTTCTTGGATTGGGGTTCGGGTTTTCGGGGACTCAGGATCATGGCACAGCGTATTCGCATGTGGTAGGCATGGGCCGACTGCAGCAGGTTGTCACCCAAGGGATTCATATCCGTAGAACGGCCATTCCACTCCAGCTTGGTTTGCATCCTGGACACCTTCACATCCCTCACCTCGCCGTGTGTGAAGGAAATGGCCTTTTTCAGCAGCTCCACTACTGCCTGTGTCTCCAGTTTGATTTTGGTTTTAGTTTTGGTTTGGGATTCGGTTTCCACCTCTTTTTCTAGCCGTTTCTCAAGAAGCTCCCGCCTGGCCTGCGATTCACGCACCATACGTTCCATATTCCTGGTCCTCATCGCATCGATCTGTTGCTGCGACGACATCATGTTGCGCTCCCTTTGGACCATCTCGAGGATTTTGAGCGGTGGAATTGTGGAGCTCCTACTGCCACTCGCATCCTGCTGCGATCGCAGGCTCCTCGCCAGCTGCTCTCCTCTCCTCTGTGCACTGTGCGTCCGCATTGTGGCCGACTTCTCGAATGGCAGGCGCTTCTTTTCCTGCCCTCTGGCCAAGGGGTGGATCCTTACCAAATTAGCTGTGGCAAGGGACGAGGGGTTTTGATATAGGAATATATATAAAGGGGATAGGATTCGTTAGTATAGGTCGTTAGCTGTTCAAAACTGTCGGTCTTTTAGCTGTGGGCCTTGATTTGTCAAATGTACGACAAAAAAACCGTAAAAAAAAAAATGTTTTTTTCATTGAAAATTCTAATTCACAATTTCCCCCCTAAAATATCAGTTTTTTGGCCATAATAATGTAAATAATGATCCAAATATGGAATGTCGTACCTCGTTGAGCTCGTTGTTTAATCTCTAATCGATTGGCATTCAAACCTAGAAATTTTCAAATTTTTTCATTTTTTGCAAAAATTGTGATGTTACCCCTTATCAAAAATGCGAAAATTTATCAAAAAAAAAATTTCCCTGAAAGTGATGGGATTCGTTAGTATAGGTCGTAAGCTGTTCAAAACTGTCGGTCTTTTAGCTGTACGCCTTGAATTGTCCAAGCTACGACTAAAAAACCATGCAAATAAAGGTTGATTTCGTCGAAAATTCGAATATATAATTTCCATCCTAAAATATCAGTTTTTTGGCCGTAACTATGGAAATAATGATCCAAATATGGAATGTCGTACCTCGTTGAACTCGTTGTTTAATCCCTAATCGATTGGCATTCAAACCTAGGAATTTTCAAATTTTTTCATTTTTTGCAAAAATTGTGATGTTACCCCTTATCAAAAATGCGAAAATTTATCAAAAAAAAAATTTCCCTGAAAGTGATGGGATTCATTAGTATAGGTCGTAAGCTGTTCAAAACTGTCGGTCTTTTAGCTGTACGCCTTGAATTGTTCAAGCTACGACTAAAAACCCATACAGAAAAGGTTGATTTCGTCGAAAATTCGCATCTATAATTTCCATCCTAAAATATTAGTTTTTTGGCCGTAACTATGGAAATAATGATCCAAATATGGAATGTCGTACCTCGTTGAACTCGTTATTTAATTCCTAATCGATTGGCATTCAAACCTAGAAATTTTCAAAATTTGTAATTTTTCGCTAAAAATTGTGATGTTACCCCTTATCAAAAATGCGAAAATTTATCAAAAAATAAATTTCCCAAAAAGTGATGGGGTTCGTTAGTATAGGTCTTTAGCTGTTCAAAACTGTCGGTCTTTTAACTAACGGCCTTGATTTGTCCAAATTACAATTGAAAAACCTAATAAAAAGGTGTTCTCGTCTAAAGACTGGCTACTTTTACCTACCATTTGGCGATGCGTTGACCCTGAAGGGCGATTGTCGTTCGGTGTTCACAGGTGGCGTGTTCTGGGGCTTTCTTCCCGTTCTGGAGGATTCATTGCCACCGGAAGCCTTGCCCGAGTTATTCCTGATCAAACGCATCAGGCGCTTCAAGGGCCCCTGGCTGCAGATCCGCGGCTTACCAATGTCGTCTGGAGGGGATACAACATAAATACATTTACTATTTCAGGTTCTGTACTAAAATCCAACTACTGAACCCTACGCATTGGACGACATTGTCTGGTGGAATTGGATGAGTTCAGGACTCTCCTTATCCAGTCCAATCTGATGGTGTGTGCCATGGCCCAAGTCCAATTGACTCCAATTGAAACGCACAAAGCGAAAAAAGGGGGAGAACGGAAGAACAGAATTTAGAGACCGAATTTCACATGGGTATTTATTTAGTTGAGTCCATTACTTAATTTGGGAAACAAACTAAAAATCGAAGGCCTACCCAGATTAATTCGTTTAACATTACTTTTATTCTACATTCCCAAAAAAGGGGAAATAAAACCCTCCAAAGTATGCTACATTATTTATAAATTAAATTTGTAATTAAATTATTGGGTTTCCCCAAATAATTCGCAGAAAATGAAACAAATAAAACGCCAGGACATATGATTACGTATTTTTATTACGGTTTATTTCGAGTGTGTTTTTGGGGTGTTGGGGCGAGTGTTCCATCCGCTGATGAACAAATTACATTTGACATAATACATAATGAAAACGCATTTGAGAGGCCGAATTCGAATTCGAGGTCTCTAATTATTTCTCGCACATGAACATGAGTATTGTACATATGTTGGGTGTACTTGAGTGTTTTCTTTTTTTTCCCATATATATCAACCCAATTCATTAACTTCTTACTTTTCTTTGCTTTCTCTGCACTATCTCGTATATAGAACTTGTGCATATAGCTCTACTGCCGATCCATACGCGAACTTCAACAAAACTGAATTTGATTTACTTTCTTTACTGTCATCGCTAAGGCTAAAGTTTTTCTTTTTCTCCATTTCTTCCATTTTTTTTTTCGTAGGTGTATGACTAGCAAAAAAACCATTGCATTTTCATGGGGGTGGCAGTGGGTTAGGATGTAAGTAGTATGTAAGTGATGTAAACGGGATGTAAATGTGAGCGGAAACCATACGAAAGCCTGCCCGTACATGTGTCTATATGTGTGTGTATATTTTCATCGATATTCGAAATTCCATATACGATATTCGATTCGACAACAACAACAACAAAAAGAAAAGGCACAATTTTGATGAAACGCTTTCCCATGCTTTGTATGCGCGCGCGTATGTGTGTAAGTGGATAGGATTATACATATATATATCATATATCATATATCAGGGGGGACGAATGGGTTTTAGTTTTGTTTTTATTTTAGTTTTCGACAAAGAAAGTCCCCTTCTCAGCAGCGCTCCTTGCTCTAATTTTAATATATTTTCTTTATCTAGTTGATAATTGCTTGATAGTTAGTTCTCGAGGGTTTCATGTTTTTCGTTTTTCGTTTTTGTTAGTAAAATCTAAGGCTAGTTGGAAAAGTGATTTGAATTTGATTTTTCGGTTTTTTGTGTTCCCGAGGTGCAGGCTCTTGGAAAATAGGCCTTCCCCTGGATTCAAGTATTTTTGTTTGAGCGAAAAAAAAATCACTTGCTACGAATAGTTACGAATAGTTGTTACCCAAAAAGACGTGGGGCGCACCCTGTTAAGCGGTTATCTATAGTTAACTCCCCGGCTCGTCGTCGTTTAATGTTAGTTAATGCAATGCCTTTTTCGTATGCTAGTTTGGATGTATCAAATTGATTAAGAGAAGTTCGATTTGCGTTTTTTGTTTGTGTATTTTTTTAATACACTTAGGGTTCCGCAGCTTTTTGCTTTCTTTTGTTTCGCTTAGAGTGGAAATTATTCGAATAGTTTTGTATTTGTTTGTTTTTCATTGTTTGTCCTTTTTGTTTTTAGAATTGTTTATTAAATATAACAATGCTCTCGGCGCATACATTGTGAAAATTATAATCAATTTGTATTCTCTTTATTTCGTACAATAGTTATATGTATATATTTTTGAAATAATATCCATAGCTGCTGCTGCTGTGGCGTCGTTTTTGCGACGTTTTTGCAATATAAAAAAAAAAAATTAAATACAAATAAAAAAATGTTTCAAGTAGTAAGTATGTATGTAAGAAGGGAAGCAAGAGAGACGATGGACAGAGTAGAAAATAATAATATTTTCAAGCATATTCGCATGGATAATAATGTTAACACTCAACTTGAATTTTGCTAAATTTTTTCGAACAAATTTCGAATGTGTTTTGTTTGTTTTTTCTGTGCGTTGGCTATAAATCGTAGATTGGTTTATATAAATATAAATTAATCAGCAAATATATGTATAGTTATCTAGTTTGAGTTGATCTCATCTCCAGCTCGCTTCTTCTTCTTCTTGGCGTCACTTCCGTTTCCGCTTCTGCTTCTTCTTCTTTTTCGCTTTCTTATTTAATTATTTATTTGCCTTTGCAATTCGATTTGTCTTGTGTGTTTGTGTGTATAAAATTAGACCGCAACGGTAATCCATGTATGCTTGTATGGGTTCGTGTTCGTGTGTATGTGTGTGTGTGTGTTTTATCTACATACTATATTTGTTTCATAGATTGTTAAATATACAATATTTTACTCATTATATAGATTTAAATCAACGCGACAACAAATTCCATTCGATTTCTCCACTCCTCTCGCTTTTTTCTCACTTCTTCTTCTTTTTCCTTTTCTCTCTGCACACCAAGTTTACATTATGCGGGTGTTTTGTGTATATTTATATAGTAAAATGACTTTGTTTCGACGATCTCTTGCGGACTATAGGCTAAATGGTACAGATATATATATATATATAGTAAGTAGATGTGTGAATGAATGTCTATGGTTTTATATGCAACTTTTCCGCTAGTTTCTAGTATTTATCATACGCATGTTTATTGATTTCGGTTTAGTTTTCTGTTTTCTTCTTGGTTTTTTTACTTTTTTTTTACTTTTGTGTTGCTTTAGGCAAAGGCGAGTGGGAAAAATTACATACATCTAACAACAAATGCACCAACGTTCTTCTTCATCTCGTTATTAGCTTCGATATTCATCAATATATATATTATATCATTATCATTAGATCGTAATCGTAATCGTAAATCGTTATTCTCGTCATTATCTGACTTTCCGCTAGATCCGCAACCGTAACCGCATCCGCATTCGCATCCGCCTCCGCATCTGCGTCCCGTCATTATCGTCGTCATTATTCGTAGTCAGCTACTAAACATTGTCGTACTTAAAGTTAACCACCAGGCAATACATATTTCATATAGATCAATATATATCAAAAAACACATTATCGTCAACATAACTAACTCGCTATAACTCTTGGCTCTCGTATATAAACATCAACATAAACAAACAACACTCTAGCGCTTAACGAACTCCCTAAAGCCCTCGTCTCCTCGTCTGATCATCTCTATGCTTTTATATAATCGGATCTTAGTCTATATAAGTGGTGTGTATATATATTATATATTTCGCTTCTTTATCTTTTTTTTTTGTTTATATCCAACTTTGTTCTAACTAAAAACTATACACCTTTGTCCGCTTCAGTTTGAACACCCATCTCATCATCTCATCTTCCCTACGTTGCCAAATGCCAAATGCTTTGCTCTGATGTTCGCCCATCCTCGTCTAGCTGCTGGGATGTACGTTCACCTGACCGTACATCAATGAGTGCATCCAAATAAAATTGCTTTGGACAATTTGCTACATTAAGTTGGCTGCTGCGGCTGCGTCAATATAAATTTTACTGTCTGTCGGTTAAGTTTCTAAGTAGTCAGTGGTTCTGTTTTCTGGTTTTCTAGTTTCTGTTTCCGTTTCCTGTCGTTGTCAGTAGTACTGTAGTTGTTGTTGTTGCTGTTGCTGTGGCTGCTTCTGCTGTTGTAGTAGTTGTTGTTGCTGTTGCTGCTTCTGTTGTTGCTACTGTGATGCATCATCAGTGCGGCTGCTGATTTGTTGCTGCTGCCGCCGTTGCTCCTATTGTTGTTCTCGAGACCGGTCGGCATCGAACTCGAGGCGGCAGTGTCCAAGTTGTGGTGGCTGTTGGTCATAGAGATTCCTTGGAAGGTACCCAAATGGTTGGTCCCGACTGGGACCAAATCATCGACTTCACTTTGCTGTAGATCTCCTCGATGGTGTCGCCCTGGACAACGCCTGTTGGGAATGGGAGGGGAAAAGGGAGAAGGTTATATATTAATTGGTCCTTCAAGCCGGATTTACTTAATAGGGGTGATTTTTGATGAATAATTTTAAATTTTGTGTTGGAAAGATTTCTATATATACCAATAAGTAAGTTAAGGAAGGGAAAAAGGGAGAAGGTTATATATTAATTGGTCCTTCAAGCCGGATATTTTGAATATTTTAAAGGGGTGTTTTAATTTGATGAATAATTTGACATTTTTTTTTCGAAAGATTCCTATATATATTCCTTTACTTACCGGTAAAGTATTCGCCGAATTCCTGCTCCATTTTAATCGCCCGCTCGTACGTCTTCTTGGCCTGCTCCTCCGTCATGCGACGATTCATCTCCCTGGGGAAAATTAAATCACTTATTAGCTTAAAAACCTCCAACTAAGCCACCAAATAAACCCACATCACCGAATCCACCGACTTGGGCTTGATGAACACTGCAACGGGATAGAGCTGGGCCACCTGGAGGCGCTTTATGGCATTCCCGGACACGTCCAGGATGCAGTGCTTGCCCTTCTCCGCCACCTCGCGCACACTGGCCACCGATGTGCCGTACAGATTGTCGTTATATTGGCCCGCCTCGATGAACAGATGGTTCTGGATGTCCCGCTCCATTTGCTCGCGCGAGGACACAAAGTGATAGTCCCTGCCGTCCACCTCGTACTCCCGCTTGGGTCGGGTGGTGTCTAAGGGAGGGGGAAAAAGATATTACATGTTGGTATAACAGATCGTAGATACACAGATCAGATTGATATCAAAATGATATGAATAAAGTTTATGTTTATCTTAATTTTACAATATTTCTTCATAAAATACTACATTTGGTATTTTAAAACAGTATTTTTACAACATTTATGAAATGATAAAATATGATGATATGCTTGAATCATAAAGTTGACATTATTCATATCGGCTTCTTATTGATATAAAATAAGGTAAAAATTACCCCATTTCATATCGAATTTGTTTTCTGCGCAGATAGATAGTTATACTTACGTGGCACACAGGATCCAAACTTGTCGGGATACTCCGATATTAGGTCATCGTTGATGCGATCCTTCAGCGGCCCCAGAATAATCACAGGGCGCGTGTAGTTGATGGACAGGCGCTGCACGGCCTCGTAGGACAGGACGTTCTCCTCGGAAGCTGGAAAGTAGGGTAAGCACTCGAATTAGGACCTTCACGTGCAGGTGCTCTCTACGTCATCGCAAAGTGTTTTCTAAATGAGTGGGAATCGGATTGGGATTCGGGTTCGGAATGGAATAGTTTTTTTCTTTTTTTTTTCTTTAGAGAAATTAACTTGGGTACTCTACAAAACAAATATCTATTTCGGTCTATGGATTGCAACTGGATTGGGTTATATTATTATTATCGGCAAGTCAGTTAGAATTAGAAGAGAAGTATACAATTGCTTTCTACGGTTATTTTGGAGGGGGGAATAGTGGAAGAGTTTGTATCTCTAAGTTAGGTTCGTTTAATTTAAGCTCTCGCACACAGAAAAATGTACAGTATAAATTGCAATTTTACTAAATTAAAAGCGAATACTTGTCAAGTTTCACTTAATTCACTTATCAAGCATTCACCGAGGCGCGGCGCAAAACTTATAAAACTCATAATCAAGGCAATAATTCGGGGGTTCCTAAGAAGAAGTCACTTAAAACTTAGGGTATACAATGAAATGATATCAAAACTTAAAAACGAAATCGAACCGAAAAAACCAATGTGAATGCAATATGCGGAATGGTAACTATACTATATACCATATAGACTATATAGGATATAGAAATGATGGCTATGTAGACATATAGAGCAGGCGATCTACGAGCAAACAGTTAACAGACAGTGGGCACACTGGGTAAGGCCTTACACGGTTACATACTACATACATGACATCATGATCTTACATACATACATGGCACACAAAGAATTGGACAACATGAATTAGGAAACTCTGTGTTATGAGTGGGTGTATACGGTAATAGTTATGTTGAGATCATTAGAACTAGCTTAGGTGATTAGATTTTGGCGTTGGATGAGAACCCAGTTATTGGATTTCTTTTTTGGCTTTCCTCTTTACCATTCAAGGGGGAAATTATGGGGTTTTACTCACTTGACGCCTCGTAGAATTTATAGATTTACAGACACACGTACGTTGAGTGCTACGGGTTGGATATTAACAACTGATCGATTAAGGCAAATAAAACTCCCTCGATTTGTACAATTCCTTTATTCAGTAGTTTCATCTTAACCCGCGATTAATTCACAAAATATCTCTGAAGGGTTCTCTTAATCTGATATTATTTTCCCTCTCGAATAGAAACAATTTTTGCGGTGGTTCGGGAGGCGGGTGGCACATGCAAAAGACGCGACACGAGACGAGCAATACATGAAAATCAAACGGCAAACCAAACTGAATTCGAATCGATCCAGTACTCTATATACAAAATCTATATATAGATGTGTGACGGGGCAAAGTGAGTGGGTGTTCTTTGGCTAACTAAGAACTAAGAAGGGGACGGGGACAAACAACTATCCAGGCAGAAGGATCACAAAAAAAAGAAGAGGGTTCTCTAAGGATCTTCGCATCCTTTGGTCAACTTTTCTGTTACTGCTCGGGTGAAACTATGCAATGTGGCAACCAAAAAGAAAAAGAGGAAAAGGATAAAAGTAGAAATAGGCAAACTATACAGATACAGGTGTGAGTGTTTCAGTTGTGTGTTCTTTTTGGTGGATTCACAAAATTATCATCTATCATCATTCGATTCTACGCAACTATCAACACAATTCACAACAGTTTAAGAACTCATAAGCAAACCATGAGGTCGATGATCAACAAAATATTCGGTGTTCAAGTTGTGTGTCCAGGAATTGGTTTTTCAGTTTAATCTTATATAATGATTGTCTTAGATGATAGTTAAATATCAACGAAATTTCTCTGCCAGTATAAAAAATATGGTTCTACTTGCAAGAAGAGAGTTTCAGGCTTATCCTAGGTTTAAACTCAGTTATACAAAATGAAAATAATGATGGAAAGAAAGACAAGATCTACTGAAAGCCTTTCGGAAAGTTACATATTTTTAAAGTTTATATTCTCTAAGGACAAAACGCGATAGAGATAGATGTATAGCAGAGAGCGAGAGAAAGAGAGAGACAGAGAGATGGAGTGAGACAGCATGAGTGAGAGAGACAAAGCAAGAGATAGGCAGAAATCAAGGAAAGAACGAAAAATATAACCAAGAGGAATTGATCTTGCAAAATTTTGTTTCTTTGTTTTCATAACTAAATATTTAACTTTCATTCTTTCGTTTTTTTTTTTTTTTGGTTTTTAGTTTTTTGGTTTTTAAGTAGAAGAAAACATAAGCTTTGTTGTAACTTTCACTAGTATTACAAAAAGAGAATAGACTTGTTTTTTTTTTTAATATTTTGCTGTTGGTTCTTGTGGTTGTTTTTTTTTTTTATTTTTGTGATTGTTGGTTGTTCAGATGCTCGACTTACGATAGTCCGCATCACTATTCTCCAAGTAGATCAGAGTTATCTGCTCCATATCGGGTAACTCCACCCTGTAGATAATCTCGCCTGAGCAGTGATTAGTAGTCGATAGTGATGGTAGCGCAGATTTAGAAGAATTTAGTAGTAGTAGTAGGTTGTTGTTGTTGTGGTCGCAGTTCGTGAGCGCATGGTTATAACAAATATATATGTATACATATAGAGATATATATCGGTGGTTTGATTTGATTTTTTTTTTTTCGTTTTTTTGTTGGATTTTTTGTTTTTGTTTTTGTTGAGAAGTTAAATATTTATATAGAGAGCGATATATTGATATGTGTGGCATGGGATTGGATTGTGTGTATTTAGAACAAGAGAAAGTTTTGTGATTTTAACAGAGGTTTACAAAGAACAAATCAAAGAATGTTTTTGGTGTTTCGGTGTGGTTCCATCATAGATTGTATATATATTCATAAACAGATATATATATATATATATAGAGAGAGAGATGGAGTGACGTTGCGTTTGAGTTACGCACAATTATAGATCGGTAGTAGATATAGTAGCAGACATAGTAGTAGAATAGTAGTAGATTCGAACGGAAGTAGTTGTTGTTGTCGTTGTTGTTGAAGTAGTAGTAGTTGTTGTTGGTTGGTTGATTGGTTGGTTGGTTGGTAGTAGTTGAGTAGTAGGCAAACACAACACAAGAATTCAAAGTAGTTCACAGACACAGGGGTTAAATGTAAAAGAAGAACAAAAATACCAAAGGATTAACAACAAATCGAAATCGAAATCACCATTTACTCATGTCTTGTACTGTCTGTCTGTTGTGACTGACTGACTGTAAAACTAATAAAAAGAGGAGTATGTGAGGGGATTTGAGTTGAGTTCCCTTTGTTATGTATTCCGAGTTGAGAATTGTCCAAGGAAGACTTTCTTTCGGTTTGCCGTGTATCTGTGTGGAATGATCTGTCCTGTTTTCACACCAAGTACGCCATTCATCAGTTACATCTATCATATATGTACATTATAGTATCGCATCGAGTGTGGCAACATTGAAACACGACGTGAGATAAGCGGATAATAAAGGAACAGCAAGTTGAGTTCGAAATGGTTTTATAGTTTTCTGATGTCCTGGGGATCCGGAGTTATATATGTAACTTAAAAGGAGAACGGTGAAAACCCAAAAAAAAAAAAACGGAGACCTTGTCCTCAATACTTGATGTACGGGGGCTCCCTGTACATTAGTTCTATGCACATCTGATGTACGTATCCGATTTTACATCGTCTTACTTTTCCTTTTTACATTTAGTGTACATTTAATGGACATTTACATGCAGATGATAGAGTTAAGAGTTCTTTCGAAAGTTTAACTTGGACGATCCATCGATTTCCGCAAAAGTCTTGCGGAGCGGTTGGGTACATAGATATGGAAAATATCGGGCTATCACACACATATATATGTAAGTTGGAGAACCCTGATGTATTTATAGCGATAGAGGGTGATGTATGAGCAGAGATCGCCAGAGACATGTGATGTACGGATGTGATACGAATGTAAATAAAAAGCACTGAGAGCCCGAAAAACAAAAAAATCACGAAATTACACGTGTGATGTATGCATGTATGTAAATAGGTATGTATGTTATGCATGTATGTATGTATATATGCAGGTAAGTGGTTAATCGTATGTGTGTTCTGCTGCGACTGTGTTAGTAGTTCTTACAGCAAATGCGTTTCTATGGATGTAAGTCGAAAGTTAGCACTTGTTAAATGTTGTTATGTTACTTAATGTATTCTTTATGTTCAGTGGATATACTCAGATATAGATATATAGATAGATAGTTATGTATAAGTTATGTAAGAGATATTCGATATGTATATGTTGGGTAAATTCTTCTGATCGAGTACATACCTCCTTCAGCATTGGCATCGTCTTGTGTGTAGCAAAGCATAAAGGCTAGAAAACGAAGAGAAAACAAACGAGAAACCGAAAGGGAAGAGAAAAAGAGAGAGAACAGAAAAGGAGAAATCGAAAGATATGTTTTTGTCAGTTTTAAACAGAATAGCGGTGGAGATCGGTTCAAGATCATTGGGGTAGACACAACATTATATTATTATATTTGGTTAAAAATGCGATCCCGAATGGTTCTTTCTGCACCGAATTTCCCCGATGAAAAACCCTTTAATTAATTAGTTACATCATGGGTAACTTCGATGTAAGAACCATTCAGGATATTCAAAGTTCGGAGAAACCATCGGAAGAAGGTTCCTTCTAATTCTGTATGTATGATCAAGATGGCGAGTAGTTAAAGGTTTCTCATAAAACTGTTTCTTTTTTTTCGGGGTCATTGTGATGTAGATATTTGATGAAAGCAGCTGGACACAAAGTTTTTCGTTTGATTTTTGATAGAGAGAAGAGCGATAAGAAGATATATATATGTACTGTCAGTAGAGAGTAGCGGGAGGAAAAGCTTTTAAAATGAACTAAAGAACGAAATCAACTTGGTTTCATCTGGTGATGATGATTATGTATCGTATGATGTACATTGATGTAGAACGTGCAACTCTGCCGCTAAAGAACCGTCTTGATTTTCTTTCTTTTTTTTTTTTAGCTTAATCCAAGACTATATACACTTTGATGGCCGCGAGCTATAGAATTCCCCGCAAGGACTAACGGTTAGTAATATCGTGTGACTATAGCTTACGGTCTAAAATGTGTACAAATGTGTGTGTGTTCGTTTACAGGTGTGATTTGTGTGTTAACCAAGAGACTAGACCACCTGAGAAGCCCTGACACCTTGATACATTTACAAGCGGATAGATCAGATCTTCGGCTCCGTTTCGAAACATCGTCGATCGGCACTTACGTTGCGGTTCATTCGCCTGATTGTTGTTGACACTATTGATGTCGAGTTCGCTGGTGCTGCTCACAACTCCATTGGCTAAACATATCAGATCGTAACAAGATAATACAACATCCAACATCCAAGCACATCGAATGGACAGGGACAGGAAATGTGTTAAAATGTGTGATTGATTGTTGATTCGAATCGGTCCATCCAAGAATTGTTGATTTGGTGAATGTGGTTGGTTGGTATGAGTGTTTGGACATCACGGGTTTTGTCGGTGGGTTAAAGTATATATATGGAAATAAACAGAAATGTAAATCATATAAAAAAATGCATAACAAAACATAAAACAAGGTTTGTTTGGAGGAGTCATGGGTGAAACATCTCAACTAGAAACATTAAACGAAACATTTATCTAATTTATTTTGTAACAAATGAAAAAATGAACTCGGAAAATAATACAATACATGAACAACGTTAAGCTTCTGATGACAATTCTTGAGAAATATTTGTAAATAGGTTATCCTTTCATGCCCTTAAGTTACAGGGATTGTAACAAATACAAAACTGGGAAAGTTGAACACACTTAATGCGGCATGAAAGGCCCAACTAAGAACCATCACCATTGGCTGGTAAAACGGGACAACAGGACGTCGAGTGTGAGGTTTTTTCGGTGCAATCTTGGTGCTTCTCAACAACATTTCTATCTTCTTATCGTAGTCAAAACAAAAACAGGCACACACTCGCTCTCTCGCAAGGCAATCAAACACCCGCACACACGCTCTTCATCCAGCCAGTCAGATATTCAGTAGAGAAAGCGACAGAGTGAAAGTCTTGGAGCCTTAAGGACTAAACCAAAAACGCCTTGAGTTTGGAGTTTTGAGTTCTGAGTTGCTTGATGTTCTCCCATTATCTCCGCCATCATCATCATCATCATCATCTCCGTTGAAAGAGCGAACTGAGCGACTGTCCTCTTCCCTTTGACTTGGTCTACTTACGCTCTTGGTCGCTGCCATCTTCATTCTTCTCATCGCGACTCTTCATAAACGGAAATTTGCGCGAGAATGTGAAATTCTTTTTCTTTCGATCCAATGTCGATTGCTGGAAAGAGAGAAAAATCTATGATTAGTTATATAATATAAATAAACTGTATCAAAAAATATACACCCAAAAAGAAAATCAAAAATATACTAGATAAAGTATAAAAAAAGTGGTATTGACCTGATACTAAATAGTACAAATTCTATACTCAATAGTATTAATTTCATAAGAAATATTATAAAGTTAATATTTTGTAGCTTCATTTCTATACCGAAAGATTAATTTTAATACTTTTGAAAGAATAATATATAATAAATAATAATATAGAATTCATGTAACAATAGTTTCGTTTTTATAACTATTTTTTTTGGGTGTAGTTATATGAAAATGTATAATAAATAAATATATAAGGCATTCAAAATTCTAGAATTTGCTTTAAGGCCTTCAAGATAACCCCACCCACCTTATCCACATTATTATTGGCTGCCGCATGGCCCTGGAACTTGACGCTGCGATCCCGAGCCCGCATCTTGCGCTCCCAGCGCCTCTTCGACGGCACAATGCCGATCTGCTCGTCCTCGTTGTCGCCGAGAACGCGTCGCGCCTGCCACCATTCGTCGTCGGAGGCATTGGTCACGTGCAGGATGTCGCCGTGCTTGAAGGGCAATCCCCGCGAGGGCAGGCCGTCGTCCCGATTGGGATCGTAGTCGAACAGGGCGCGCACATAGAGCGATCGCTTCTGCGTGGTGCGCAGCAGGGTTCCCGATCCGCCGGCGCCGAGGGCAGCCTGCTGTTTCAGCTCCTGGATGCGCGCCTCGAAGCGGTTGTACTCCTCGGGTCGGTACTGCGCCAGCAGGGTCACCACGCCGCCAGAAGTCTGCAAGGGAATCATTTGTTAGAATCATTTCACGTAAATTCGAGGGATGTCGAAAATATATCAAAATATCAATATATCGATTTTTTTTGCGAAAAAGTAAATATTTTTATCGTGATATATATATTTTTTTAATAATTATCAGGTATCATCGATTTTTGATAATTTTTAATTTACATTTATTTTTTGGCAAGTGAAAATGCATAGCATAACATTCAGAATCCAAATAAACAAAGTAAAAAAAATGCAAAAAAATCCCGCGCATTTTATGAAGTACTTGATTTGAATATTATAAATAGAAGCAAAAGAAAGCAATAAAAATAAATACTGTTTATTTCCATTTATTAATAAATATAAACTAAAAATTATGAAAATATAATTTAAATTCGTTTGTGGGTTAATGTTTGCTGGTTATTGCTTATGGAGTTTAAAATAAAAAAAATAACAATAAAAGAAAAATATCTGATAAATAGATATAATTTCATTTTAATTTTTTTTTGCACTAAAAAAGTATTGATGATATATTTATTTTTAAGTATTTCGACATCCCTAGTAAATCCAGGGCAGGATTAACTCACCTTGAGCGCCTGGGCCGCCTCCTCGTGGGTGGCATGCGTGAGATTGACATTGTTCACGCTGAGCAGCTGGTCGCCGCGCTTCAGCTCCGATCCGAGATCGGCTGGACCGCCGGCCAGGATGAAGGACACATAGATGCCCTGGCCATCCTCGCCGCCAACGATATTGAAGCCCAGGCCCTGGGGTCCCTTCTGTATGGTGATGGTGCGCGGTTCTCTGTGGAAATTAGAGTTTTTTTTTTATAATTTATAGAATGCCATTTATGTAGAGATTAAAAACTCACCTGGTTATATCCTCGGTGCTGACTGCGCGCGGAGTTCCTGGCGGAACGGCGGCCAGGACATTTGTGGAGGCATATCGCGAGCCGGGCTCTAGGTTGTTATCAGAAATTTGTGATTTTGGTTTAGGTTTATCGGTCGTTTTTGTTTTTATTTTTATTTTTTATTTGTTGCACATTGAATGGGAATTAATTATTGAGACATGACAGAGATAGACAGATAAAGATAGACAAAGAAGGAGATAGAGAGACAGAGAGAGATAGAGCGGTTAATAATGCTTTGAGAAATATATAATGATCTCTTGAGACCTGAGGAGTCCAGGCAGCGAGACAGATAGAGACAGACAAACAAACGCAAAGGGGACAAAGAGAGAGAGAGAGACAGCAGGCACCGTCGAGAAAGAGAAAGAAACTGCTTGAAAGAAAAAGACTGCGACAATAACTGAGGAGAGAGAACGGAAACGGAAGACAACAGAACGGAAACTGAAGATTGTATTGTGATTTTTGATACGCCCCCCACAACACGAACGAACACAAACTCAGGCACACACTATATACACACAGGCACACACGACACGAACCCAGGCACACCAAATGTATAACGCTTATTAAAACACCTTAAAATACAGCACAACAAATCAACAGAGATCTTTTTGGGGGCACGTAATCAGGAGGATATATATATATCACTCTGATCTGTAGAACAGGCACAACTCTAGTGGGCGGTGAGGGGGGACTGACTACTAGGTATGGGGTATGGTAAGGCGCGAGCAGCTTCAGCTTTCAGCGTGTGACAAAGTGATCTCTCTTTTAGGGGCCTCGAATTAATTGGCACAGCAGCAATAGCAGTAATTGGGATATAGATCAATCGGGAGAAGAGGTTTGGAAGGAAGAAACATGGGTTTAAGAGACCTCTCAAGTGTAAGCAGGTCTCAAAAATCATAGAATTAAATACAGAAAATGCAAGAAATAAGCTTAGTGAGATTAATTAAGTAAGGAAAGTAAAGTGTTATAATGGAAACAGAAATAAAAGAGGAAAAATATGCATACACAAATAAAATACAATAAATAGAATGTTATAGAATATAAAATATCATATAACTGAATACAGAAAGTGCACAAAATAAGCTTAATGAGATTAAACAAGTAGGGAAAGTAAAGTATTATTATGGAAAAATATGCATACGCAAATAAAATACAATAAATAAAGATTAATGTTAACAAAATGTTATAGAATATAAAATATCATATAACTAAATACAGAAAATGCACGAAATAATAAGATTAATGAGATTAAATAAGGAAAGTAATGTGTTATTATGGAAACAGAAATAAAAGAGGAAAAATATGCATACACAAATAAAATACAATAAATAAAATGTTATGGAATATAAAATGCCCGAAATAAGCTCAATGAGATTAAATAAGTAAGAAAAGTAAGATATTATTTTGGGAATTAAATAAATAAAAGTGGAAATAATACAAAAACCAAAGATACACAATGGTTAGTAAAATAAAATATTATAGAAATGAAAGGAAACAAAGAAACAAATCAATGATGGGGCCGCAGCACAAGTGCATTTATTCGAGGAGATCGCAGGACCTCCGATAAACACCCTCGACTGGGGAACATTGATGATACGATATAATATGATACAACAGAAGATCGGTTAAATAACAATAAACAAATCAATCGCTTACGGCGCGGCTGGGGTGATTGGGATCGGTTGTTTGTTTGATTGGATTCGACAGGCAGGGCGGGCATGGAAGCATTATTGTTATAGAAGGAGGCGGGTGGAGTTGCTGCTGCCGCTGTTGCAACAATTGCCGTCGTGCTGCTGCTACTGCTGTTGTTGTTGATGTTATTGCTGTTGCTGTTGCTGTTGCTATTGCTATTGATATTGCTATTACTGTTGGCGCCAATTAGCAAAGGCGGCAACTTGCTGCTACTGTTGGTGGCTGTGACTGTGGTGACTGTTGTGTTGCTTGCAATGACTGATGCAGTTGCTGCTGCTGCTTGTGGTGTTATTGGTGATGGTGGAGAATCGACAACCGTATGTCCCACACTATTTAGCGCACCTGTCGACTGCGAATTGACCATCGGCGTCTGATGCTGCTGCTGCTGCTGGTGCACCTGACTTTGGCTCTGGCTGGTGGCCAACTGCGACTGCGACTGCGACAACTGCTGTCCGGATGAGAGGCCTCCTCCTCCGCCGCCAGACGCACTGGTGGTCAGGTGCTGCGTCTTCCCAATGATCAGCGTCACCTTGTCGGTGATCGATTTTAGCGTGGCCACCGCCAGTTCGTGCGTTACGTTCTCCAGATTCTTTTCGCTCTGTGTGGGGGATATATAAAAATACCAGAATCAGTTACTCCATCAATTAAAAGTCTTAACTTTAAGGGGGGAGATACATATAGAACTTGTGATTTTTTTAACCAATAAGGAATTGTTCTGGGATTTCCTAACTTGGCATGTTGATAACATTGTTCTTATATCATTTTAACCAATTTTTATTTTGTTTTTATCTTTCAAAATGGCAGCCGTGGGAATTTTTTTGTTAGGCTATATTAAAAGGATCCGATTTTTATGAAACCAAGTTTATTTTGTTAAGAAATAATGTAGAAACTGTCTGAACCTAACGTACATAATATATCTCTATTTCTAAGTCAAAAATCAATTTTTTTCATAATTTTTTTGTTGTTTTTGGTTAACAAAAACTACCTAAACGTAGAAATTTCTACATTACTTTTTGAGATACACGATCCGCAGCTGAGGAAAACGTGGTTTCGAGAAAAGGGTATTTAAAGTAATGAAATAAATCTACTGCATAAGTCGAATTTCTTCGTGAAACTTTCATGACACATTTTAAAGGAGTTATACTAACAATTTAAGTAATACAAAAATGGAATTTTTATTTTTTCTATATGTATCTCCCCCCTTAAACACTACACTTACCCCATTGGTGCGCACTGCAATGAGTTTGTCGCCGATATTGAGACGTCCGTCCACCTGCGCCGCTCCGCCGTCCATCAGCTTGGTCACATAGATGCCATTGTCGCCGGGGATGTGCTGGTTGCCAATGCCGCCGGCAATCGAGAAGCCCAATCCCTTGCCGCCCTTGACCAGATCGATTTCCATGACCTTGGGTCCACCATCGCGGGCATCTCCAGCCGCCGATCCTGCGGCCGGAGTGGTGGCCGCCGTGTCACGTTTTCGCTTCACATGCAACTTGACCACATTGCCGGCCTTTTTCAGGGCATCCACGGCGGAGGCATGCGGCACATCCACCACGGACACCTCGTTCACCGAAACGATAATGTCGTTGATGCTCAGCCGTCCATCGGCGGCAGCTGCTCCGCCGGAAATTAGCTTGGTGATGTAGATGGAGGTGTCGGTGCCGATGTGCGGATTATCCGTGCCGCCGGCAATCGAGAATCCCAATCCGGAGTTGCCGCGCTCCAGCTGAATGTCCTCGTACAACCAGCTATCATCGCCGTTTACCTGGATGGAGATTACAAAAGATCGTCAGTTTATATTATATTATAGTTTTGGGGGGTTAAAAGATGATGGTGTGTAAATGGTTTAGTGTTTTATGATGTGAAAATGTAATGAAGGGTTTAAAAATGTATAAAATGGGTACAAAAATGGTTAATTTATTTTATTTATGAATTTTTTACAACTCCAATTGTATATAAATATTAAAATACAATCTTAATCAGGTCTGTTTTTTAAGATTATATCCCAAAATGCTCCCAATTGCTATCGAAAATTGATATTATAATATTTCCGCTGATATATATATTCTTACGAGCTATGTATTGTATACTTTTAATGAGATTGCTATACAATGTATATATATATATGACCTTGTCAGCTTTTTCAGTGATTTGTGATGTCATAGCATGGATAATTCAGTTAGGCAGCGAATACATAAAACAACATGAACAAAGACGAACACACGACGATCACACTGGTGATGCAAATGCAGTTAAAACGAAGACAAACAACGTTGATTTTGTTTCCACTTTCGATTTCTACTATATTTATAAGGAAATTAAAAAATTCTATCTAAACAATCAAAGTATATTAAAACTTTTAAATTAAATTAATATTAACAAATGGAGACAATTCAGAGATAAGAAAACAGAATCTCTAGAATAGAATATTATAAAAATTCCTTATTTAAATTAGGGAACTTTAAAAATAAACAAATAATATAATAATTAGTAGGATCAAGGTATTTAATTATTTTTTTAGTTTCCTGAAAAATCAAGTGAATATCGACAGTGGCAACAGGTTTGTTTTAGGATCGATCCATCGGGAATGGCTTACCTTTGCCGACGACGCCTTATGGAGCTGTAGAAGGTGATGAAAGTGAAAGAGGAAAGTTTAGAGAGGATCCAATCTTTTGAGTGACTAATAAATATACGGATTAACCCTACAAAGCCCCCTCGCCAGAGATGGAGATGGGAAATCGTGTCAATGGCGACTCGACTCTTGAAATATCTTGAATTAACTGGGCCGTAGCCAAAACTCTCGTTGCAATTAACAGGCGACCAAAAAATGGAAAACCAACAACAGTGCGCTAAAAATGGCAACAAAAAAATATACGAAAAAAACTAAAAAACAAACAGCTTGCACAACTTAAAGGGGAGGTTAAGGAGCGGGGGTTACGGACGGGTTATGGCATCGTTAAACGAGTTCAATTGATTAGCAGCCCAGTGTAAATGAATTCATCAAGCGGCGACGACAGCAACATTAACCCTAAGAAGATGTGTGCAGTGCAAAAGTGGGCGTTGCTTCTTAGCCCCCTTAACCCCCCACAGCCCCCAGTACACATTATCGAACGCCCTAGTCTAGCGAAAAATTGCCAATTAACCCGGGGAGTGGGTCAAGTCAAGTATACGCCTAGGGAACCTAAGTAGGCGGGCTAAAAATATTAATATGCTCTTTGGGTTAATCTCTGGAGGATACTGAGTGCTGCTGCTACAGTGGTTAATCGCTAAGTGGGATTTCTATAGCTCAAGGAATATAATTCCGCTATTAAATGTGAACAAAAAGATATATTTAATCTATTATTCTAAAAAAATAATGTAAAAATATTAAAACAAATTTTAAATGCCAATTGTTAACGGAAACATAAGATACATTGTTTAAGGGCATTATGGGACCTGTTTCTTACAAAGCCAAACATGTAATTATGGCTATAATTACAAATAAGACGTGTTACATCTTAAAGAATCCATTAGCGAGGTAACACTGTACCTGGCACTTAGGCTAACAGGTTCGTGCCGCTTTTGCTTCCGCTGACAACTCTGGTTACACTCTTTTTTTAACCCAAAAAGAATTATAAAAAGGAGAAAAATTACATCATAAAGTTAACAATCGGAACTTACTTAATAGGAGCGGGCGTGTTTCGGTAGGTAATGGGGTAAAAATGTGTGGACGGGGGTGTTGGGACAAACACACACACAAGACTTTGAGCCAACTAAACCCCAAGAAAAAAAGCAAAAAAACAACAACAGCACGCTATATTAACGGGGCCAACGAGCTACAATCGGTTTTTTTCAGTCTTATTCTCTTTTTTTTTTTGTAAAGTAAAGTTAAGTTGCACACCCTTGAAATTAGTAGCTGGCACTAAAGCCAAAGCGAGAAGCCAAATCATATCATATATAGAGCGCTTATCTTATCTATGATAAACATATGCTTGGGGGCCACAGCCACAAGAAACCTGAAAATGCGGAAAACCGAACCGCAGACGATAAAATTCTTAAGCTTTTTGTAAGAAACTCTGAATCGGAATTCTAAATTCCAATGCACATTGGGATATTGTTATGGAACTATAATAGAGATCCAAGCCCTCAAATCGAATGAGTCATTAAATTATACTCTATTTCAAGTAGCTATTTGCATGCAAAGCGGGAAAATGAAATTTAAAACGCAATGTATACTATAAAACTGTAAGTAATTCAACAGATACAAAATAATCATAGGTAATAACTATAAGGAACAAATTCTGATGATCGTATTGGGAAAATTCTCATTTGAAGCAAGGAAATTTAAGAAAAACCGAATTAGATCATAAAAATATATAGCAAAAACGTATTATATTTGGGAAACAGAGAGAAAAAGATCATAAAGACTAGAAAAACAAAAGAGACAAGCTATCCAAGATAAACAAATATGAGTCATTGGAAAATTGCGTGAGATATCGTGCCAAAGAAGTCGAGACTATATTGATAGGCAATATAGGCCATAAAAAAGTTGAGATTAATGATATAATATATAACTTATTAATAAATCCAAACAAACAGGGCCACCCGAGAAATTTGAATGCGTCAAGCTGCGTTGCACTTCATTGATCAAATCGTATATAGAAATGCTGGCAAAATGCCCAGGGGCTTACTACTATATATGAGATCGGACGAGCGATCGTGGTCGAGACACCTGCGAGAAACGCCGCAATCGAAACGGAAACCCAAAGCCATTATTCCATTATTCCGACCCAAAAGGTGGCGGGGGCGGGGGAGCACTAAAATTATGGTTCAATATGTAAACTTGTCCTTCGCAGCCATTTGTTGTTGCCTTTTGCCGACTGACGCGTGATTTGTTTATAAGTTTCAACGAAAAATGGACTGATCCATAAAGTTAAGCGCCTTGGTTTTGTACAGTAAATATTGTGCAAAAACTAATTTCAGTGTTTTATATGTTATTATTCCTTCTTTGTAAAAATATACTAGCATTTAATGAGTATTTAAAAAATCTCAGTTTTGTACAGTAAATATTAGGGAAAAACAAATTTTAATTTGGTAAAAATATGACAGCATTTAATGAGTATTTAAAAAATCCTAATAAAAAAATTTATAAAAGAAACTAGGTTTTATGAAATATTTAATCCCTTTTTTGAAATATTTTTTTAAGCACAGCTTTCTCATTTAGCCAATACCCACTGTAAATTCCTTTGTTTTGTGGGTGGCAAGAAGACACGAAAATAAAACTATTTCTGGCAAAAAGCGAGCGAGAGGGAAGATCGAATTGGGGACAACAACAAGTGCAGTGGCTACGCCTGCGCTGAATATTAAGGGCACCAGCAACAACAACACCAATAACAAAACCAACAAAAGAAGAACCGTTTGTCGAAGAAGCATTAGAAAGAGACGATGAGAGTTAGAAGCTAAAACGATGACAACGCACCCAAATGTGCGAGTGTGAGTGTGCGCACAGTGAGGGGCAAAATTCTAGGCCCACCTTTCGATATAAAATATTTAGAAAACATTTCCAATAGGAAATTAGTTTTTGAAAAATGTATCATACATTTCACTCCAAAAAACTTGCGTTCAAAGATGAATAATTTCCGTGACAAATAAATGCCAAAAAAAAAAAACAAGAGAGATGATTTTCATAGAATTTGCCAAAATACGCAATCAGAAGAACACTCTTTTCAAGACGTAAACAAAGTCCCAACCAAGTGTAAACAAATACTGGAAATGCTTAGGCGGCAAGCGGTGAATAAACAAACTCTTTGATGACTCGAATCGAGACCAATTGAACGGAAGTAATAAAAGTGATTTTGGCACTAAAATTTTGCCCGCAGCTGTTCGCACACTTGTATATATCGCTTTTGAATCGAGGAAAATCGGCTAGCTTTCAGTCCGTCTGCGAATTTGATTTAAAAATAAACCATGGAATCATCACTAGCGCACTAAAAACACACTATATAGAGCGATTTTCCACCCGATATACTGGTGGCCATACAAATAGAACCCAATCCGATTTTTACCGAGTCCAGATTGAAGAGCGACGAGACTTTCTTGATGAATCCGCCGCCGCTGCCGCCGCCGTCGCGCTTCTTCTTCCTTGTTGTCATCGTCGCTTCGGCTTTTATTCAATTATATTTGTTATTTATATTTCCACTTTTATGGGCAGTTCAAGGGTTAAAGAGTGGCGGAATGGCCACACACACACACGCACACGCGCAGACACCAACACACGGACAAAAGCCGGCGCTGCTGCTTCTTCTTCTTCTCGGTCGCTTCGCTTCGTTACTATTTTATTCGCCTTTTGCCCACTTTGCCGCCAGTGGTTATCCAACTTTCTGCACTAGATAAACAAAAGTGCACACATTTCGAACTTAGCATATATTTAAATCGCACGCACGGGCGTGTGTTGTTTGTGTTTTAGCGATCGGGGAACTGAGAAAAGAGGCCGCCGAAACAACAAACACAACACAGTAAAAAAAAAAAAACCAATCACACACACACACACTGTGCGAGAGAGGGAGAGCGAATTTTTTTTTAGGTATACTTCGCTGGCATTTCTGCCTATCGTTATCGCTCGCGCTGGCAATGCTCGCTCTCTTTCCCACACTCCAGTTATAAATCACCAATTTAACAATATATGCCAGTGACTCATGGACGATGCACGCAATTTGATATACTTGTGTTCACATTTCCGTTGCACCAAACCAAACAAACAAACAAAAAAATTGCATTTAAACGAACGCGACGACGAAAACAACACACCCAAATAGTCCGACTATCGATAGACGAGAGTAGGACCGCAGAGCGATCTTCGAACGAGACCAAAAAATACTGCAATCTAAAATACTGACAAGGGAATATTTGGGGTATTCTTTTTTTTTGTACGTTGTAATGATCAGATTTTAAATATTAAATGGCAAAATATAAAGTAAATACAAACCATAAATCATCATAGCAATAAAAACGAACAAACATGTCAAAAAAGAAGCGCAAAGGGAATGTATATTTTTTAGGGTTTCACATGGTATGTTTCTTAGACTAAAATAAAAACAAAATCGTGCACAAAAACTTAGGCTAAAATTATAAATAAATTTGATCAAATGTCTTTATTACAACAAATTAAACGGAATCATGCACTAAAAACTTAGTATAAACATCGTAAGCTTTAATATAAAGAAAATCTGTGACGCCTGTTGGCCATTTTCCCGTTTTCATTTATTTTCTAGCTACAACGACGAGCGACAACAACAACGGCGCACCGGAAACGGAAATGGGCGACGCTTGGCCCACAAAAGCGAGGAGGCCGAGCGCCTTAAGCGTCTTAAGTAAGTAACGATTCGTTAAAAAGGCAGCAAACAGGGGGCAAAAAGGCGGATAAATAGAGGGGGTTTAAAGCAGGCGTGCTCCCAATTACATTGGCTTTTCCATTGGCGATTTAAAGTTGTGGGCGTTTGAGAGCCCTCTGCGCTAAATGAATAATTAAGGCGAAATTGCGGTTGCAGTTGCAGTTGCAACAACTTAAACAATAGAAACGAAGACAAATTCCATCATATTTGCTAACTGAATGTTCAATTAAATCGATTTACTACGAAAAAATCTAGAGCAATGCCCCGAAAATAGTGATATGGAAACTTAAAAATCGATAATATTTATAGTTTATATTAGTTATATTAAATTCGATATTAATTTTAAAGAAAGCTTTAAAAATATCGACATTTCGTTGATTTTCGATATTGTGAAAATATCGAAAATATCGATAATTGTTCATCTAATTAATTAATTATCGCCGATAGCTTTCTAATTTGTTTGCAAGACCGCCGACAAACAAAGTGCAAATGGGAGCAGCCTTGGAACTATAAAACTAATGAATTCTTTGAGCTGGAGGCTAATTACACGGCCTGATGTTTCCACGTCCTCAGCGTGTTCTTTGGCCGCTTGTTTCGGTCCTCGAGGACTTTTCCCAGCCGGAAAATGTGGCGAAAACTAGGTGGACTCGAAAGCGCGCTTTAGCATTTTAGCCTGATTGCCGTTGTTAAGGCGAAGTTGGTAATGGTGTTGGTTTCGCTTTGGGTTTTCGTTATGGTTTTGGTTTTGGCTTTGATGTTGAGCTTGGTTCTGATTTTGATTTTGATTTTGATTCTGATTTTGGTGTTGATGGAGGCTTACGAGGATTCGCTTGCGCTGGTGTATCTGTGTGAGTGACTGTATCTGAATCTGTGATTTTTGGCATGGATTTTCAGCTAAGGCCGTTGGCACAAATGATTAAATTGCAGCAACTTACAGTCTGCGACCCGCTCCTTGACTTGGATCCCAGCTGCTGTTGCGGCTGCTGTTGCTGTTGCGGCTGCTGCTGTTGCGGATTCTGCTGCGGGGAGCGGGAACTGCGCTGCTGCTGCTGCTCAGCCGGTGGCTCCTTCGCATTTTCCGTATCCGACTCGATGCGCATTCGCTGATTCTGTGAAGGAAAAATGGAAATGGAAAGCGATCAGGATTAAAAGTAAGTAATTAAGAATTCCCTTTTTCTGGTAAAGACATTGCAATTAAAATCCTTTTTTTTTAAATAAATTTTAATCTTAAATATACCTGATCAGGTGGGAACATTAACTAAAATCCCTTAGGTATTTATTACAAATTCTTAACACTAATACAATAAAGTAAAGAAATGAACCCGAAGATGAATCAATTGATTTTAAAATCGATAAAATAATTGAAAGAAATTAATCTTAAGGTGATTCAATGTAAGCATAAAATGATTTTAAAACCGAAATGGTTAAATGGTTAGATTTTAAGCCTTACAAGTACATAAGACGCCAAAAAAGTAATGGCTTCTTCGCAAATTCTTGAAACTTATCATATAAAGTAAAAAATTAAAGCAAGTATAAAAAGATTTTAAAATCGATACAATTGTATCGAAATATTTATCAAGGATATGATATCGCAGCAGCCCGCATATGACATACTTATAGAGAAACGATAAAACCGATAAATGTATCGTTTATCGATGGGATTGCTGTAATCCTTATTGCGAACCCTTTATCCTTTTCCCACTTACGTTGGCACAACAGCAGGCATACCGCGAACCGCCCCCCGAATCACTGTCCTTGTCCCTTTCTTTTTCTCTTTCTATTTCCTTATCCTTTTTCTGACGATCCCTGGATTGATGTTGCTCCTGCTGATGTTGTTGTTGCTGCTGCTGCTGTTGCTGCGGCGGCGGCGGCGCCGTCAATTGACGTCGACGTCGACGCATTCGCACCGGCGACCGCGAGCCAACATAATTTGAAAAGCGGCGCCTCGAGTGCCGCACTATCGACACCCAGTCAATCATTTCTCACAGTGTACGGATATGTTTTCGTTATTAATTATTTAGGTGGAATAAAGCTCTCGTTTAATTTCAATCAGTGGGTCTTGCTTTCAGTTTTTCACTTTGTGCGTTTCATTTTGTCTTAAAAATACATATTTTAATTAGTTACAAAAAATATTTGTTGTGTTTGGTTCACAATTCGCTTATTAATTTCAATTACTTTCCGAGAACAAAATAAATGATGTGAATATTAGCCAGACAACATCAAGAGGATGACAAAATTCCCTTTGAAGAGTTGCGATAGCAACAAGTTGGGCGCAAAAAGCCGGAAAAGCCGAAAAGCTGGAACGAATGGGATTGAAATCGGCAACCTCCTCGCTGTCTTTGTTTGTTTTCCACCGGTTACACACACAATTACAGATGAAAATTGGTTTGCCATTTCCATTCTTGCCACTCACAAATTAAACAAAAAATCATATGAAGTGAATACTTTTTCAAAAATGAATGCAGAGAATTATTTAACCGGAATTAACCGATTCCGGTTGGTAATCTCTATATATTTCTTAAAAATTTCAATGATTCATTAATCATTTTTTTATTTGCTGTGAAACTCGTTTATTTGGTTTGCATTGAAAGAAAATTGATTTATTTACTTATGATTTCTAGCCACTTTGCATTTGAATATTATTAAATTATTCGTACGTTAATATGATAAAATTATTTATCATTTATTTCCTTTTTAGATTTTTATTAACTCAAATTGGGCAATGATTTTATAGAATGACTACTTCTTTTTCTTATTGTTTGTGAGATTTTTATAGAGTGTGTTGTGTGCCAAGGTTCGAAAAACGAATACTTTTTGTTTACAATCGGTGGCGGAGAAACATGTGTTTCTATTTTTTTTTTTCTCATCTGCGGATGTTCTAAATTCGAAAGATTCTTGTTGCTGTACGAAAAATTTCTCTCGAAATTAGCAGCGGAAAATCCAAATCAAAATCAAAATCCAAACGCTATTTGGCATGAAAAGAAAGGAACGCAAGAGAATCCGAGCGTTGCGAGCTGCCAAAATAAATAGATTGATATATTGCTCGTCTTCTTCTCGTTTTTCTTGTTGCTCTAACGAGCTTTTCCAATGCCAGACGGCCATGAATGAAAAACTCAACGAGAGGCTGAGAGAAAGAACGGAAAATAGCAGGGGAAAACTGAAAGGGCTGATTAAGTTGAGGAAAATGTATTAGAATTTTCTTAATTTATTTTATTTAGATAACTCTTTGGTTATTTATTAATTTATTATTTTTTAAGCACCACAGTTAAACAGTATATTTATTTAATTAAACTGTAGTTTGAAAACCAAACATTCTTAGCTATTTCCTTCGGAATTTCAACACTAAACACTAGAAACGTGTCAAGCATATGCTGTGAATTATCACGATTTCCAGCAATTAATTAAAGTAATGGCTCAATTAACTGCTGTGCAGGTTTAATCACTTTTAATTTGCGCCACCTGGTTGGTGGTGGTGCTTTTAATTGGGCGGGCACGTGGGGGCGTATACGTAATATTTGGAGGTCTGCCCGTTGCTCATCCGCCCCGTAGTTCACCTCCTGCCACCTTGTAATGTTTTCTTTCGTTTCGTTGCGTTTCGTTTCTTGTTTTTTGTTTTTGTTGTTTTCTTATTTGATGTGTACATTCTGTCTTACAATTATGTAAAATGTTTGCTTTTTTGGCGCCAATGGAGATGACTGATGGACACGCATGTGTCAGGGTAGCACGAAAAAAAAGGAAAAAAAAATAGAAACCGGCCAACGACTGATAACAACACTAAGGAAATTCTGAAATAGGGAGGAAAAGCACGGTATATCTCACACAGAAAAAAAAAAAAATACAAAACCATGTTTTCATCTTTAGAAAAATAACATTGTTAATTCTTTTAAGAAATTGTCTTAAAAATCCTTTGAAAAACTATTTATTTATTACTTTATATCTATAATAATTAAATTGTTTTCCGTTTAAAATATTAAAAAAATACATTTTTAAGAAATATAAAAAGAAAAACTTAAATTGGCACTTATTTTATTTTATTATCAATTAATTTACAGTGATTAGGAGTAAACAACAACAAGCACCCTCTAAATTTTAGTTTAAAATTAAAAATCAATTTATTGGTATTAAACACATAATTATTTTATAAATTTTTGCATTAAAAAGAAATAAACAAAATCCGGCGAATTGTGAACCACAAGTGTTGAGGGCTTTATTTATTTCTTGTTGTGTGCCTGAACGCTTAACGAGGGTTAAACAGCGTCTGGGGGGGTTAAAGGGTATTCCCCGCACACCCACACACAGGCACACCTTACACCCTACACACACACACATTCAAAAGGCAGACAGTCACGCGCCGCTATGCAAAATTGTTGTGCGACTCGACGCGTCAACGGCACGACTGTTACTACCGCCTTTGCCGTTCCGTTAGCCGCTGCTGCTTTGCCATACGGAAACACACCAACCACCCCCCTCGCCAGAAGCACCACCCACTAGAAGCACCCACCCACAACCCACCACCCCCTTGGTAGAAAACCAGACCACACCAGACCCACCAGGTCCATGTCCGTTCGCCAAAAACCGAGAGCGTTCGTGTGTTACCGCCTCTGTCGACGTCGCTGCCTCGGCCAAAAAAAAAAAAAAAAACAAGAACAACAACAAGAAAACTGAAAACAAAAAAAATGGCAACAAAATACACACAGAGAGCGCCAAAGAAATAAGTAATGGAAACCGAAACCTTGGGCAATCGTTCATTGGTTAGCAACTGATAACAAACATTTGTCGACATGCCGGCAGCATCCTTCAAGCCAAAGACAGATTTTTGACGGGCAGTACAGTGAAGCCTACGTAAAAAAATTACCAAAATAAGAAATAAAAAACTCCTGTTTGCGATTCTAAGCGATTGCCTTTGAAATCACTTTTAAGGGCGTCTAAAAGTATGCTATAATATATTTTTAAGTGGGAAGTCTGATGATGATTTCCAAAAAAAAACAAGAGTTTAACTCAGGTGGATTTATTAATTAATTTTAAAATTATTCATAAGAATCAATTTATTATTCATATTAATCCTTTATTCTTTATTTTATATGAGTAGTTTTTAGAATTAATCCTTTACTTAAATATTTATCAAAATATCAATCTAATTTAGAGCGGTCTAAAATCTCTTATTATACCCTTGTAGAGGGTATTATAATTTCAGTCAGATGTTTGCAACGCAGTGAAGGAGACGTTTCCGACCACATAAAGTATATATATTCTTGATCAGCACCAATAGCCGAGTCTATCTAGCCATGTCCGTCTGTCCGTCTGTCCGTCTGTCCGTCTGTCCGTTTCTATGCGAACTAGTCTCTCAGTTTTAAAGCTATCGCGATGAAACTTTCCCGAAGGTCTTCTTTCTATTGCAGGTAGTACATATGTCGGAGCCAGCCGGATCGGACCACTATATCTTAAGGCTCCCAATCAAATATAAGAAAATTCATTGTAACTTTGTAGGAAGTAGGCGTTTTGATTCTTGACTACTTAAAAACAAAATTGAAATAAATCGAAACGCTGAATCTGGAATCCCTGGAACTGCACCGAGTGAGTATTCTTTTATCTACAAGGGTATATAAGCTTCGGCTGGCCGAAGGTAGCTTCCTTTCTTGTTTTTATTTTGTCATTTATCATCGAAGCTACTCAATTAAAAATCATACCCAAAATTAATCATAGCATACTTTTAGACGCCTTCAAAAGTGATTTCAAATCTGATCTCAAAAACCAAAATTAATAAACCCCAGCTTTATCCATAGCCAGAGCCCACTGTAGCCGTCAACAGTTTACCGTTCGTCTACCGCCTATCGTTTACCGTTAGCCGATTTGTGACGTACCACCGTTTCGCTATTTCGCCGTTCCGATTTCACGATTTCTGAATTTCACGACTCGACGACTTGACGACCCTCCTCCGATTTTTTAGTACGCATGTCCCAGGCGACAAACAACAAAAGCCAGCAACAACAACAACAAAAAAGCGCGAAAGGACAACAAACAAAGTAAATTGCCGAGCGGGCCGGTTGTGCAAGCGAGACGGCTGCAGTCGGCGAGAGCGAGACGGCAGGATTGAAAGCGAAAGGTTGGAAATCTGAGCCTTTGTGTCTGCTCCTGTTTTTCTTTTTTTTGTATTTTTGTTTTTTAATGTGTAGGTATAGTATAGTACAGCGACATCAATCACCTTAAGCCGAAAAAGGAAAATATTCGACAGGGGATTACCCCTTAATAAAAAAAAAAGTTATATTCTAATAAAATATTAGAAACTTTCAAGTGGTTAATTGGGCTGTTTTAGTAAAATTTTGAAATAGATTTTTTTTATTTTAAATATATTGTAGGTTTTACTGTATTCATTTTTTTAAGTCACTCCAATTTGAATATTCACTATCATTAGAAAGTTATTAAAATTTCTTTAATATTTTTAACTCATGTAATAATTATTTTTGTAGTTCTTTAAATGTTTTTCAAAGGGTATTGTTCCCCAGTTACCGAATCTATTGCATATTTAAGTGCCCCGATGAATGGAAATGGGAATGGGGCACACCGGTCGTCATAGCCACTTAAGCCGCAGCAATTTTTAGGGGACATCTGGGCGCAAGGACATTCAACCGCCTCTCTCACGGATCGAGCACCACTCCCGCCCATTTCCATCCACTCACCACGTGCTTGGGTCCCCGGGACATGTTCGAGAGATTTCAATTAGCTTTGGGACTCGTTTTCTTGTTATACCCGCTACTCGTAGAGTAAAAGGGTATATTGTATTCGTGCAAAGTGTGTAACAGGTCAACCACATCTTAAAAGATTTCGGAAAAGTATGCAGGCAAATGATGTTGTGTTTAGTAATACCTATCGTTCATTAAAAAGTTATGACCAAATAATGAAATTGAGTAATGGGTATCTGATAGTCGACTATAACGTTCTCTTGTTTTTTTTTTTTTGCGTCCACTTTAATGGGACGGATATTAACCCATTTATTCGCATAATTGAGATTTTAAGAACTGTAGCCCAGGTTTAGAGAGTCTCATATGTAATGCTTTATGCTTTGCAGATCGAAAATCGAATGCTGTGTTCTATATAGCTAAAATTCTTTGTACGATTAGCGGTTTCAGCGGATGTGGTCTTACACCAAACAGATAACAAAATAATAAATAAATCCATGACACTTTCCGGGTGATCTCGAAAAAATAACATTTTGGCCAATTTTCAATTTTTTTATAATCATGATTTTTTGCGAAAAATGTCAAAAAAATAAAATGTCCAGGTTTAAATGTCAATCGATTGGAAATTTAATAACGAGTTCAAAAAGGTATGACAATCCATACTTTGAATCAGTATTTGCTTTGTTTTAGCAAAAAAACCGGTTTTGTTTTTTTTTTGGGAAATTCGGGATTTCAGTTTTTGACAAAAATTGGAATTTTTTCTTTTGGTTTTTTTGCTGTAACTTGGCCAAAAATGGTCCTACACCAAAAATACATACTGTTTTGAACAGATAACAAAATAAGAAATAAATCCATGACACTTTCGGGGTGATCTTACAAAAATAAAATGTTGACAAATTTTCAATTTTTTTATGAGGGGGTACCCCATGATTTTTTGCGAAAAATTAAAAATAAATAAAATGTCAAGGTTTAAATGCCAATCGTTAGGAAATTTAATAACGAGTTCAGAAAGGTATGACAATCCATACTTTGAATCAGTATTTGCTTTGTTTTAGCGAAAAAACCGGTTTTGTTTTTTTTGGGAAATTCGGGATTTCAGTTTTTGACAAAAATTGGAATTTTTTCTTTTGGTTTTTTTGCTGTAACTTGGCCAAAAATGGTCCTACACCAAAAATACATACTGTTTTGAACAGATAACAAAGTAATAAAAAAATCCATGTAACTTTCCGGGTGATCTTAAAAAAATAAAATTTTTGCCAATTTTCATTTTTTTTATAAGGGGTTACATCATAATTTTTTACGAAAAATGGCCAAAATATAAAAAGTCCTGGTTTAAATGCCAATCGATTAGAAATTTAATAACGAGTTCAGAAAGGTATGACAATCCATATTTGGATCTATATTTCCTTTGTTACGGGCAAAAAACAATTTTTTTTTTGTGAAAAATTGGGATCTGGGTATAAATTACCCATATCACCCCCGTGGATCCGCGCATGCAGGTAATATATAAGTCGGAATCAACTTTTTAATGAATGACCCGATTTCAATAAATTACCTGTCGCTTGGTATTTTATAAATTAGTTTCAGAGTTTTTCAGAATATATGATTATGGTCTTAATGGGATGTATGCAGTGTGTTTCTTACCAAGATCTCTTCCAATTCACTCTTAAATGTTCTGCTGAGGGCTTCGGCCTGCGCCTGAGCGCTGACATTATTCGCGATCTGATTCTGATTGAGTTGATTGGCTGATTGGTTGGTTTGATTGGATGAGGCGTCGTTGTTAAACTCATAGGCGCAATTGCGATTTAAATTTGAAGTTTTGATAAACTGTGCGATTTTCGGGAATAGTAAGTAGTAGTAGTAGTAGTAGTAGGCGTGGAGTGGAAGAAGAGAAGAAGAGAGAACAGTATAGAGTAGAGCAGATCGAGTGAGATGGGAACAACGGCGAAAACAGAAGATGTTCTTGAATCAATATCTCTAATTATTTAGAAACCTTAGAAATGGCTTAAAAATATGTCGCAATATATTTCACATGGTTTTTTCCGAATTAAAATATATCAGTGCATACTTTTCGACACTTTTTCAAGTTTTTAAATCTCCAGAGATTTTACTGATCCACTAAATATATATATAGAATTCTTGGGGGAACAGGCAAACAACAGAAAAGTATAGAATATAACTTTAAGGAAGAGCTAAATATTTATATATATAAAAAAGGGAGAAAAATATTTATATTGTACTAATATCGCCTTTGATTCAGTACAATCCAAATAATATTGGTCTAGGAAAGATAGAACGTTAAGGAAAGGAAAAAGATTGATCTAGGGACAGAGTATTAAGATGGGAGTTAAAAAGGGGCCCTAAATTATCAAATTCGAAAGGAGCAGGCGAAAAATAGTAGAAGGAATGGAATATGGAATATTATAATACTTTAGAAGAGATCAGTCTCAAATTATAAACGAATCGATAAGGATTAGTAGTATTCCTAATAGACAATAGTATTAAATATAAATTTAATAAAATAAAATACTATATTATCTTGCATTCCAAAAGCACAGAGGGTCAAAACAGGAATACAATAAACAGTAGGGAGCTTATAGAATATAGGAATAATAACCCATAATAGAAATTCAGGTCAAGAAGAGAGATTATAACAAAACATTATTAAATAGAGAGATATATTAAGGTACAGGTATATAGCTTATCTTAATACGAAACAAAGAAACTTAAGTACTTATAAGAAAGGATGAGATCTTAATAGATGAATTAGATGGAAGCTATGATGATGTAACGAAAATCTAAAGTCGCTCTAAGCGTAAAGAGTTATATGGACTAATTGGGAATACGTCATCATTCACATCTTCCCCAAAACTATATTTTAAAGTACTAATTCTCTATATAGGCTAAGTGAGCTCCCCGAGGATCCTACTCACATCGGCTATTTTAACGGCCTGTCCGTCCTTCTCCCATTTGGTTGCAATTTGCAAGGTCTCCGCTGTCTTTTGCTGTATGCTCTTCGAGTCATCCAATAATGTCAATTCATAGAATTCTTGTATATCTGAAATGGAATAAAAATTCTCAATTAATTATGGTACTACTTTGAACGATCTTAAGACTAATTCACAACTTATTTTGTAGCATATTTGATTTTAAATAGAATACATACACCGTTCAGATTTAATTTTACAAGTCCTACAGAAATTTATAAACTATTTAAAGTGACTTGCAAATTAAGCCAAGATTTTATTAAATATGCTATCTTATTCTTTCTAAATATACAGAAATTTTGAAATAAATGAAGTGAACTATTAATGGCTTATTAATTATTCAATAAATTAAATAATTGTTATTATTTTGCAATCAATTAATTGAATGTTTATCAAATTTATAACTTTTAAAGTTATTTCAAAGTAATTTCTTAAAAAGACTAAAAGATGAATTGGCCATTTATCATAAAAGAAGTCCTCCTTTCTCACGCTCCAAATAAAAGTGGCAAAGATTTTTTCATGAATGTTCCTTATAGTTATACCAAACCGTCCTTGAATTCTGAAAGTAAAGTAAATAAAATAAATTAGGCACTTTGACTATTTAAAGAGAAACTAAATCTCTTACCTCGAATAAAGCCATTTAAGCTTTAAAAAATAATCACTCAGAAGAAGCTCGGTTTATTTTTGCAGCTGCTGGTTTATAATCCTCTTTTACGGACATATCCGGTCCGAGTTCTTTCGTTTGCCATTTGCCTACTCAGCGGAAAAGAAAAACCAACTCAAGCCCGAGAGGCAGAGATGAATAATTAACTCCTTCGCACCAGAAAAGAGCAGAGCGAAACGAAGCGGATTCTTGGATTGTGAAAACAACAAACGGGGAATAAAAGTGACAGTGCGGTTAATAAAGTTGAACACATTGAATAACGATAACGAGCAACTGGAGTGCAGTCGAACGAATAAACAAACGGATCGAAGACTCAGCCGGGATTTTGTAGTTAACTTGTTGTGAAGGAACACTGGAAAAAAATGCTCAAAAAAATAAACAAGTTCAAAATGCGCAGAAAAATCAATTTCTGTCCTTTCTGTCATTTAATTTTTGTATGGGTAATAACTAAATAATATACCAAAAAAATACAATTTTTAATATTTATTTTTTGTAATAAAATTTCTTTTGTTTTATTAAATATTAAATATATCGAAAAAATAAACCGCAATTTATAATATTTAATTTCTGTCCTTTAATTTTTTATGGGTAATAACCAAAGATTAAATATTAAAAAAAAAAATATCACAATTTATAACACCAGTTTACAAAAAAAAATCGATGAAATATACCATGAATGAAACCTTTATTTTCCGGTAAGGTACGTCTTCCTAATTAAGAAAATGGCACTTAAAATTTTTTTTATGGATAAAATTTTTTTTAAGTGTAAAAAACGTTTTTGACACTTTTTTAATTTCTAACTTGAGTTGTGGTTAACCGATTTCAACCATAAATAACTCATTTTACAGGTAATAGAATGCCCTCCAACTTTCTTATACACTGTACTAAGTTCCATTCATTAGTTTAGAAGCTACACTTCGTCAAAGTTGTAAAAGTGAGAAAAATTGCAAAAATGGTGGCATAAATGGCATCGTTAAAAATACACGCCTAAAAACCGAAATTATTTTTATAACTTCTACTGGTAGAAGGTGCTTTGACAAAAAAAACAAGCTATTGATCAATACAATCCACCAGCAAATTAATTTGATATGCATTTTTGAAGCTTGCGACAACGGTGTTTTTTTGGCCGTTTACAGCTGTTAACTGACACAACAGGGCTCTAACAGAGCTGTAATACCCGTTTTTCCCAACGTAAAAAATCGATATAAAATCGAACTATTGATTGATTTTTTTGTTGATGGTCTTGTTAGTTGACTGAAAGATGTATCTTTAAGTATAAGTCATAAAACTAATTTCGGTTTTTAGGCGTGTATTTTTAACGATGCCATTTATGCCAGCATTTTTGCAATTTTTCTAACTTTTACAACTTTGACGAAGTGTAGCTCCTAAACTAATGAATGTAACTCAATGCAGTGTATAAGAAAGTTGGAGGGCATTCTATTACCTGTAAAATGAGTTATTTATGGTTGAAATCGGTTAACCACAACTCAAGTTAGAAATTAAAAAAGTGTCAAAAACGTTTTTTACACTTTAAAAAAAATTTTATCCATAAAAAAAATTTTAAGTGCCATTTTCTTAATTAGGAAGACGTACCTTACCGGAAAATAAAGGTTTCATTCATGGTATATTTCATCGATTTTTTTTTGTAAACTGGTGTAATAGTCCATTACTGTAAGAAAATGTCATTTAATTTGTTTCATGGGTAATTACCCATGTTAATTTCTGTAATAAAATATCCTTTAATGTGTTCCATGGCCTATTATTAAATACCAATAGAATATCCAATAGCAGCTAAGCTTTAAAATTCATCAATTATTTCAGTGTAAAAGAGGCTTTAATTCTTAATTTATTTCAGTGTCATACAGTCATTGAACAGCTTTTGCCCGAGAGAAGAGAAGCGGAAATCAGAAACTGTCAGAATGCATCTCAAATGCACACATTTCAATGCAAACTGACGCCGCCACTGACAGCGGAAGGGGAAGTAGAGGGGGGGCGCTTGAAAAAAGGGGGCGTGGGCCACACTTATGTATGAAAACATATATACCCATATGCCGCTGCTGCCAATATGTTTCGCTTCAGCGGCAAGTCAAGTGGCCCAAAATGGGGGGGAAACTAAAATCCAACTGAAGCTTGGAACCAAAAAACTGGCAAAAAAATAAAATTCAAACGAAATCCATGGCGCCCATTTAATTTCCTGTGCCCGACAGACCCCCCCTGAAGGAGGAAAAGAGAGGGCAGGAGCATGGAATTCCATGGGGCATCGCTATGCCACCAATATTGCATGGAAAAGTACGCGCAGTCATTGAAATGTGTGTACATAAAGTACAGCTCCCTCGAAAACTAATGGTTTCCCTGGGGAAATTCACCAGGCACTTTGTAAGAAAGTATTAAAAATATATCTACAATATATCTACATTATATCTACAATATATCTACACGGCTCAACAAAAAGCAGCGTATAATAAAGAGTTGATCGACATAATATGAATATTAAACATGGAAATTGTATAATTAAAATAATTTTAAAAACAAAAAGCCTTTTAAATTTTTTAATAAATATTTCCAAAAAATTTTACATTTTAACTGATTTTATTTGGTTTCCAAGCGCTTTATTTAGCCACTTTTAATTGGTTTCAATTTTAAAACCCCTTAAGAGAGGGAAATATATTTGCAGTTCCTTTTTCCGAGGCACCACTGTATGTGGCACATAAAGACTGGCATTTCTGTGCGTTATGCAATCGATTTGGCCACTTGAACTTAAAATGAGTTATCGAATGCCTCGGCATCGGAATGCTTCCTGTAAATGGCTTCATAAGCATTGTTATTCTTCCCTCCATTATTATTGCTCCTTCAATTTGTGCTCTGCTTTGTTTCGCTCGGCTTTTGTTTTTATTTTTATTTTTGTTATGCCAACATTTTTTAGCTTGGCTCAGCTGAATGCCGAATGGCGATGGAAAAAAAGATATGCTAAACTTCAGGTTACGCCATCATTCGCTTTATCTCGCTGAGGGGAATTCCAGGAAATCGATAGGACCCCTTAAAAGTATCCACATTATATCTGCATATGTATTCAAATATCAACAGTGGCAGGAGAAATACTAGTGGTTAATTTTTAAAAATTGTATTAAATGGTAAACTTTGAATTAGGTGCAGATAGTTTTAAAAATAAATAACAGACATTTTTAATTATGTTAGTTTTTTTTTAATTTTTAATTTATTTCCCCATATTGCTGCCATTATTTTTACCGCAATTGTGTCACTTTTATATGTAAATGTAAGTGTGGTGCACATGATTCGAATTCTAGGCCAATTAAATTGGGATTTTGGCCCGCACATGGCTCTTCATGACCTTTCGCACCCCTACAGAAACAGAAACCCTGGCGCATCCTTATCTCTATCCTTCGCTTCAAACTTGAGTGCCATTCGCTGTGCCCGTATAACACTGAAAGCTAAGATTGTGAAAGTGCTATAAAATAAAATAAAATAAAAAAAGACACAGAACCAATTGTAAATATAAAACAAAGTTTATTAAAATTTATTACTCATACGCAGTGTTGGCCACACTAATTTTTGATGACTAGAAAAATAAAGTGGGCCAACACTGCGTATGAATAAATAATTTTTGGGGACAATGTTTCTTACAATTAGTGTTTTACAAACTCTACTGTAGGCCAGTAGAAATAATTAATCATTTAAAATACGATTAAGTAAGTTTCCGTGTCATACAAGCACGACAGAGATTCAATGCAAATATTTCCAACAAAAGCGGCAGATAGACAGAGAGAGATAGGTAGAGAAAGAGGAAGCGAGAGAGAGAGAGAGACAACCTCAAGTTTAACATTATACCCAAAACACACCCACACACTCACGTGTTTCGTGTGTTGGGATGCGGCTAATACCTTGTTAATTATTTCACACGCACACACACACACCTCAATTTCAGAGGGTGGACCTTGGTTGCTTACTTAATTCAGGGTTATATTCTCATTGCCTGTAGATTACAATTTTAACAAATTCTGTCTTTTTAATATATTCTTGACTTTACTCAATAGCTTTTTAACCTCTGCAGTAATCGATAACTTATCGTTTTACTACCCTGCAAACATGACTGATCACGTTTGGTGGCAGGTGGCAGTGTGACCATGCGGCTTAGTTAATTTTGGGTCCACCCAAATGCTTAGCCATACAAAAGCTCCTGTTCTCAAACGTGTCACGTGTTTGGCTTGTTTGCATTTGAGTTTGTGTGTGCTTGTTAGCCGTTTAACATTTCTGACACGCCAAGCGCAGCCACTGAAACTGTAACGGTAACGGTAACAGGAGAAGAGGAAGCACCAGCGGGATAGAATAAAGAGGAAGACGAGGAGAAAGAGAAGTAGAAGAGGACTCTGGCGAAATGAAACGAAACGAAAAGGATTATGCAACTGCCACCGACAGCGGGCCACACATTTTGCACCCAGGGGGCCAATAGAAAGGGACGGGGGCACACGGAGCGAGCGAAAGAGAACGCGATAGCGAGTTAGAGAGAGACAGGGAGAAAGGGACGCGGCACAGAGCAGAACTTTTGCAAATTATATACACAACAGGCCGAAACCCCCCGCAAAACAGACAACTGCAGACCAACCGCCCGTCTCGAAATGGATGGACAGAATGTATGGACAGGGAGCGAAAGCGTAAAAGAAGGGGATACAGTTGGGAAAAAAGAATTCAAGCAGCGGGCCCAGCAAACAGTGCTGCCAAGCATCGGGAAAATCTCCAAAGAAAGCTAATCAGTTTTTGAAAAGTATTTTTAAAAAATATATTAAATTCACTTTCAAAAAATCCCAAGATCTTTAAATTTTTGAAAAATATATCAAGATAATGGATCCAATGGATACTACAGATATCTTGATCTTAAAATTCTTGAAAAAATATATTTAGATAATAGATACAATACTAAAAATATTTGAAAACTGAAATCAACATAAATTATCAGTTTTTGAAAAATATTTCAACAAATATAGAGAATGATTATTTACTTTCAAAAAATACCAAGATCTTAAAATTTTTGAAAAATATATCAAGATAATGGATACAATAGTAAAGATATCTTTATCTGAATCCCAAAATCAATTGTTATCTCGCTGGGATCAAGATAGTTAGGATTCCAAGCCACAAGATCTGAAAAACTCTGATGCAAATGAAATGGAAATCAGCCAGATTTGGTGAAAAACGGCTGAATTAGCCGCATTACCATTGGACGCCTGCTGTTTCAATTGCTGCGCTGCCTTCTGCTTCTGCTTGTGCTGTTTGACCCAAATCTCCTATGCAATATTATCGTTTTACTGTCGCTGTTTTGCCGTTCCCTTTGTTGCTGCTGCTTGTGTTGCCGCTTGTCAAGTGAAAATAATTTCCAGCAGGAAAATAAAACAGACAACAAAATCGATAGTCGTCGATAGGCAACTGTGCAGATAAGAACTACTTTTCAAGGATCTTTCCGGCTCATCAACCACTTTCTAACAATCTTGGCCCGAAAGTTTTCGCAACTTTGTTTAAAGTTTTTCGAATCAATATGACGATGATGATGATGATGATGAGCTTGGTTAACGCACTTTTTATATTGTACTTGGGGTAAACATAATTATCACAAATTGAGGAAATAGTTATATACTGTTATAATTTTCATAGCTATATCATTTTTTAGGCTTTCTTAAAAATAAACTTAATTATCGATTTTTGTTATCGATTTTATCGATACGCTTGCGATATAATAATCTAGAGAAATTAACTTATTCTTATATTATAATGTTATCGATTTTATCGATACATTTTCAAGTCGATAACTCACCTAACAGCGCTTGAAACAAGCGAGATTTAAATATGCGTATAACGCGTTCGATTGCAATACGCAGTGCCCGATCCTGGGGCTCCGATAGCCTGGCGTGATAGTCCTCGAGCAGCTCGAGAGCCCGATGAGCTTCTGCAATAAATAGATAATAATATTTGTTGTAATATATATTTTTTATAAAATATAATAGTTTCTAAAACTAAAATATAGTAATTCCTAAAAATTTCTAAGGGTTTATTTCACAGTTTTTTTTACTTTTAATATCCGCAATCCGCTCGTCTTCATCCTGACTGATCTCCAGACCCGCCTGTCCGAAGACCGTGGACCAGAAGCCCCTTTCCATCTCCCTTTCGGAACCCTGATCCGAACCACTTTCCCCCGCCGATTCCACCTGCAATTGGGATCTCTGCCTGGGCTTCGGCTTGCCCTTGGTCTTCTCGAGACTCTCCCGCTCGAGGGTTTCGATCATGGTGCGGAAACGACTCAGTTCCATTCGCAGACCCTCGGCACTGTGTCGGCTCGACGAGGAGGAGACGGGCGAGAGTCCCGAAATGCCGGACAACAGACGACAGCGGGCGGCGCCCAGCGAGGAGGAGGACGAAGGAGGTCCACCCTCATCGCTCTCGGACTTCTCGAAATACCCCGACTCCACGTCCGGCGTTCGAACTATGGAGCCTCCGGAGGAGGACAGCATATGGCCATATTCCAGGAGATCCTGGGCGGAATAGAAGCATTCAACGGACTCGCGGACACTGTCGTGTTTGAGGGGTGAGGGTTCGGGTTCCGGATCGGGTTCCCTTTCTTCTTTAATGGGTAATGTCACCCGATCGATTTCGATTTCTTCAGTAGGTTCTTCTATGGCTTCCCCCGAACCAGACTCAACCAGAACCACCAATGGCTGAGCTTTCTTCTGCTGCTGCGGCAGCAAGGACTCCTCACCCTCGGGCTCCTCCTCATCGTCGGCTGGGGAAGAGTCCTCCTCCTCGTCGTCATCGTGAAAGGTCTTATCATCGCTGCTCAGCAGACCCTCGTTGGGATCGCTGCTCTTCTCCCGTTCCGAATCATCCGTGTCTGAATCCATTTTTGTGGTCCCCAAGTCTACAAGTCCCGTCGCTTCCAAGTATCGCACTCAACTGGGCCCCCGACTTTTGAGCTTTATAATGAATATAACATCGCTCGGGGGCTGCTGCTCTACGGCCGATAAATCAATAAAGATTGACGCTTTTTAAACATTTTTCTAGTTCTAGTTTCTTCCCTTTTATGTTTCTGCCACACTTTTTCTGGTACACTGAGTGCAAAATATGTAAAAATATCTAATAAATAAATGGATAAATTTATAAAATTACTTAGTTAATTGAATTAAAAAAAAAACATTTAATTTGAAATTATTTCATTTTAATTTTTCGTTTTGTTAATAAAATTTCAACTCTAATCTGTAATTTATCTAAAAATTGTATGGATCAATTTATAAATTTACTTAGTTAAATGAAAAGGTAGTTTAAATTTAAATTAAATTTTTAAAAATGGTATAAAATTCCATACTATTTTCGTTTGTCATTTTTGCAGCGCGATTTGTTTTAGTACATAGTTTGTTGTACCCTTTCGAAGAGGTCAGGGGTCAAGTCCCATCCTGTCGCTGGTTCGTCTGATGTTTGCCAAAAAATTAAACACATAATTTATTATTATAATCGACTCGCATTGTGGCCCCAAACAGAAACACACACAGATACAGAGGCAAACAGACACCCTAAAATATATATATTTAAACCAACAATGTATCTGTGCCCGCAGTTTGATGTCCCCAGCACGCGTCAAACGCCGACGATGACCTTCACTGACCATTTGCGAGGCTGCTGGCATCCCCCCATAACCATCCCCATATCCCCATCCCTTATAACCATCCACCCATCCCCAGAAACATTTTCCCATTCCAATTTTCCCGTCTTTTACAGCTTTTGTGCCGCTCTGCTTTCGGCTTTTCTTTTGCTTTTTGGCCATTTCAGTTGCCCAAATATGATTTGTATGTGACATAATCAAATAAAATTCTTTGTCTGCATTAATTTAGTTTTTTTTAGAGCTTCTAAAGCAGTAGAATGCACATTTTGTATATGGCCAAAGTCGCAAGTTTTGGCCACCGAAAAAGTTAAATGATTTACTAAAATTGCAATTGAAGAACTGAGGCCAAACTTTTCATTTGAAAACTTTGTATGGTTACTATGTATAGTTAAAAACTCTTTAATAAAAAATCATAAAATATTGGTGGATCAATTTTCAAAAAAAGGTGTCTAAAAGTATGCAACAATATATTTTTAAACAAAAAGTGATACTATTGGACTCATATTAAATTAAATTTTATATTTTATAACTTTTTATTAAATGCCATTACCTTGCCTATTCAACTGTAGACAGTTCTCACTGTACCACCATTCATAGGACGGCCAATTAAATGGATTTCCACGTAATGGTGAAGAGTGATATACGTATAGTAGAAACCCAAAAAAAAGGGGGGAATAGATAGACGAATAAAAGTGCAATTTTTCGCTTACCTTGCTTTTTCACTGGCATTCTGTAAGCGGTGTTTCTGCTACTATTTATGGTGGTGCTGGTGGAAATGGCAGCGGAAATGGCGGTGGTGCAGCAGCTTTGATTGTGGTTCAACGCCGCCGAACTCGAAAAAGCGTGGGTCGCAATTTTGAGAATTTACTGGAGTCGCTTTCGAGTGGAAAAATGCGGCGAAATCGCTTTGGCTTTAGTTCGTCCTTTAGTTCTGCGGGCACATGTATATATATATTTAAAATATATATATTCTATATTTTATATACAAATATTGTTGTTGCTTTTTTGGCTTTCGAACGAAGTTGGAGATTTGTTTTTAATTTTGCGCTTTTAGTTTTTTTTATTTTATTATTTTTTGGGGCAGTTTTGTGGTTACATTGACGTGTGCGTTTTCTCTCGATTTCTTGGCGAATTTCACATTTCAGTGGCTCCTCGTCTACTTCCGGTTCTATAGCTTTTAAATTGCACTTGAAATTCGGCTGTCATCGAAATGTCCTTCGTCTTTCTTCTTATTCTTCACAACACAACACCAACACAAAAAAAAACTCTGATCGTTTTTTTCTTTTTTTGTAAAATTTATTTTTTGTTCACATTTAGTTTATTCTATAATTCCATCCACCATCTAGAAGGCGAAAGACAAAATAGAACGGTTGAAAAACAATGCTTCTTTGGATTTGGATTTATTCATCAAAACAAAAATTTTGTTGTATAATCGTACAAAAAAAAATAATCATACGAAAATTGCAGACACACACGGGCGCAGTCAAATACGCTTCCGATTGCAACGAAACGTGTACAGTGGCCACTCGCTAAGTGCAAGTATTTTTATGGCCATTTTATATAATTTCAGTTTGTACATATAGAAAGATCTTAATCACTTTTTAATGCGAAACTTGACAAAAAGTTTTGGAAATTCGTATTCTTTTGTAGGACATTCAATTTTTATGTATGAAAAAAATTTTTTTTTTTTAATTAAAAGGTAAAATAAATAAATATATTTGATATCAAATACATATTATTTAAAAGAGATTCGAATAAATATTTAAAAAATACTCAAACTAAGTTTACCTAATTTTTGTTGGCTTTCTCGAGTGACCACTGTGGCTGGTTTTTTTTTCTCAGCCACTCATATTTTTGGGAAATACGAAAAACTGAAAAGGCAAAAACAAATAGCGTCGCGGCGATGTCGAAATGCTCTGGCTGTCTGGCCGTTTGTTTCGCGATCGCTATTGTCGAGCTGATTTTATTTACATATTTTCGCCAGTCTGTGTGAGAGTGCTGGCTGCCTTTTTTGCTATTTCAGCGAAATGTTTTTTTATGCAGTTGCTCTAGTTTCACTCACACACTCAAAAAAAAAAGAAAAGAAATGAAAAAGCCAGAAGGAAAAAAGTACAAAGGAGGTAGAGTTGAAATGTCAAAGTTGGCTTGATTTTATTTCGGTTTCTTTAGGTTTGTTTTTATTTGGCTCTAACTTGATAACTTGTTACATTGGCCAGGTCGAAATTCCGCACACCCGCACCGCACACAGACACACGTCCAACTGAGGCAATAACGGTGCTCTGCTTTTGGCCCTCAGTTTCTGTCTCTCTTCTTGGCCACCTTTCTTTCTCTTTCCGACGACCGAGAATCCCGAGCAGCGATTCTCAGTCGTCGCTCGACGGACCAACAATTAGTGTTTGCATATACAAGATACAAGATATATACTATATGCTATACACAATCCATCTGTCGGATGCCTTTTTTGCTCCTTTCAAAAGTTGCCAACGCGAGATAATCAAAAATAACTGAAGCGCCTCTCGCCTGAGTTCTTAGTTTTTGGTCAATATTTGGCCAAATAAACGGGAATGCGGCCCACGTGTTTGGGATGCATGTTTTTCACACCATTATTACGTGGCCAACTAATTATTAGCATAATATATGAAGACCCTCTACGCGAAATAGAGATATTTAACCTTTTTTTTTTTAATTTCCATTTATAATTTAAAATAAAAATAGGTTTTACGAAGCTTATTCACTTAAATAAAAATAAAATGCAAATTTTCTCGAATAAAATAAAATATAAATGTATAAATAATACATATAAAAAATGTTATTTTGAATTTAAACCTAGAATTTACTTTACAGATACAATATATATCTATAAACAATATTTAATCAAAAAAAATAAAAATGAGATAACAGCATTTGATCAAGTTTTCCATTGCCTATCCGCTATAATAAAAGAAAACTATAAAAAATGTAAGCTTTTTCCTAGGAATGTTTATTCTTCAGTGCTCTACAAAAACCTATATATTTATCCATAATTTCTAAACAAAAGAAACGTGCACAATATTATTAAACTCTCGCCAGTTTGTTTATACAGAAAATAAATAAAATTCACCACATAATTCGGAATCGGTTAGGGCAGTCCCGAAATTGGCAATTAACAGGTAACCGAATCATAATAAATTTGAGATTTTAGTTTTAATTGAAAACACGATGAGTTTTAATGTGCATTCTGATCATATAATTTAAATATAGCCTTCAGTAGCCCCGAGTAAACGTGTAATTTTGCTCGAAATAGCTTGTTGGCAACAACAAAGTTGAGAATTATTAAATAAATTGCCATAAATAGCTGGGAAATGTCTGAAGCGACAATCCTAACTGCCGGGAACCCATTTATTTTGACAGACAGGACGGGATCCTTGGGATCCCTGGGTCTCTATTAAAATGAAGCCCATCAGGCAAAGTCACTTTGATTAATGTTGTGGACGTCGTCAGTGACGCGAATTACTTAAAAAGCAATTGAAGAACTAGACGGGTCAATACACAACGCCCCCAGACGAAAGGGGGGAGAAAGAGGAAGGGGGCGATGAAAAAAGTAACAAAGGGGAGGCCAAAACAGTGCTAACGACTGGAAACTAGGAAACGCGCTTCGAGAAAGATAATAATAATAATAATAATAATAGTAAGAGCAACAACATGAACAGGGCTAAGGGCTAACGAGGGCCTGGGTTCAATCACCTTTGGGAATTACGTACCGGTTATTACGGTTATTATTATTATTATCCTACCCGGACAATTCTCAACAGTAGTTCATATATTTAAGCCTACACACAAATGAAAAGTTTCGAGTGAACAAATGGGAATATTTAGATATATTTTAACCTCTTGAAAAACTATAAAAAAATTTTTTTAATAAATTATTAACTTATGCTTCCATTAAAAGAACATTAGTTAAATATCTGCTTCGGTTTCTCAATCGGATTTGGATCTTAGCAGCCTAATGTCAAGGTTATTTTTAAATTGCCGCCCCTATTCTTTCGGTGTACCTACGCTTTGTTTGATTTAGTGTGCGAGTTGGATTTCTATACATTTAATTTATGTGCGTCATTTGTTTCCTATTTTTAATGTCTTTCGGCCGCTTGAAGTACTTTTTTTTCTATTCTATTCTATTTTATTTTTCAGGCGCACACACGTCGTATAATTGATATGCACACTCTCACACACGCACAGTACAATTGTATTGCCTATTTTTATGGTCGCCGAGTCCTTTTTCGGTGTACATGTGTGCGAGAATGTAAGAGCATTGGTACAGTGATCACTGACAAAAGGAAATTCTGCGGGTGATCATGGATTTAAAGATATAATTTAAGATTAGCTAATGAAAATGAATTTCCAAGGAATGATCACTATAAAATTCAATTTTATTTTAAGCGAAATGTAATAAAAGGGAAATATTGCAATCGAATCTTTTATGATATGACCTTTTAATTAGATATTATTATTATTAGATATTATTATATTAGATATTATGAACATATTAAAAATCGAAAGTTGAAATTCTCGAATTTAAATAAAAGATTTAATATATTGATTATGAAATTAAGTTTATCCCATTTAGCGAGCGGTCACTGTACCCACATAAGTACTCCAGCACACACACACACACACACACGCACACTTCGATTCACCTGCTGCAGGCGCGAACCCAGGCCCAGAAAAGTATGCAGCGAAAAGGAGAGCATATGCAATAAACCCCGCACTCAGGCACACACACACTTGCAGCGAGATATTAACCGTTACGGATTGACGTTTCGGATTTTTGACCTTGACATGTCGCCCGTGGTTGTAATTGTAGTTGTTTTCGGTGGACCGGAGTGTGTCAAAAAAAATAAAAAGAAAAACTACCGAAAAAAAGGGGCAAATTGGAGAGAAATCGAAGGGGGAAGCGGTCGGAAAACTGGGTCGCAGCAGATAGGAGGTGATTAATTATTCAGCCACACAGCATAATTATTCGAGCGTTGTGGTGTGCGTGTTATTTATAGACTAGCCGAAAAAAAAAACCAAAAAAATGAGAGTCTACTACAATAAAATAATACACACCGAATAAAACGGGGAAAATTCGCACACACATTACTGTATTACTGTAAATTTCCCCCCATTAAAAAAAGGGATGCTGCGAATTATGCATCCTCCACACTGACGCACACACACACACCGATACACACCGCGGTTGCAACTGCAGTGCTACACACGGAAAAAAAAATCAGCTGGTTGCTGTACCGTTACACACACACTCACACACGTGTCTCCTCGGCAAAATTATTTGATTTTTCCTGTATTTCCTTTATATCATCTGTATTTACAACAACATCCCTTGCATACACACACACACACACACACGGGAGACAACCACCACAGACACACACACACAGGGACGGCAAAAAAAAAGGGAAAGAGGAAGCACCTTAAAAAAATGTTTAATGTCCCTTTTTTTAATCCTGCAGGCAAATCAAGGTAAATTTTCACGCTCTTCTTCACTTGATCCTTTTTTCACTCCTCTCGCCTGCGAACATTTCTTTGTATTTTAGGCTCCACGCGCACACACACACACACACTCACTGGCAAAAAGGACATGCGTTTGGCACAGCCTTCGGGCATTTTATGTTTAATATAAATAGTAGCGGCAGCACGTTGGAGAATATATATTACGGTTCGGTTTTCTGCTCTGCTCACGGGAACACTAGTTCTGGTTGGAAACAGTGTGGCCAGAGGCGCGCCCAGTGCGAAATCCCAATTGGAAGTCCTGGGCGAAAATTCAAAAAGAGCCCGCAAAGTTGTTGGGGGGTTTAAAAAATATGGAATTTATCTGGAAAAATAAGGGAAATGGAAATAAAAGATCTCGAAAATTGTTAAACTCATAAATTTGTAATTATTGCGATTTTTACAATGATTTTTGTATCTCTGAAAAAAATATAAAAAATTGTATGGCAACTCTGCAATTCCAATTGGCCCCATTTTAAATTCCAGCCAAGTGGCAACGCTACTTTTAAAATTTACGACAGAATTTATATTGAAAAAATAAACTACGTTTATTATTTCGTTCTTTGACTATTTTTGTCTTTAAGCTAGTATTTAATAAATAGTTTAAATTATTTTATAAATTGCAAGCAAGTGGCAACTCTACTCTTAAATTTACATTAGAATTTATATTGAAAAAATAAACAACGTTTATTATTTGGTTCTTTGACTATTCATAAATAAACAGTTTAAACCATTTTTTTAAATAATAAAGAATAGTTGAATTAAGAAGGTTTACTTTTAAAAATTAACTGGTCTAAATAGGTCTAGTTATAAAGAATCTTTATTATATTCTTTACATAAAACGAACGTGTGTTCTAAATATAATTTTAATAATTAGTTTTTATTAAAATAACCCTTTTTTAATAAAAATTAAAGCAAAACAAGTTACAAATGCCAAAAAGTGGAAAACTTGCGGAACCTGAAAACATCTAACTTTAACTTAACATTATGAAAGATTCCTAGGATATTACAAAAACCAAGCTATTCATTTTTAACATACAAAACGAAAGGTTGTATTTATTTTGGATTCGCTAGCGTCGGGCCGTCAAAACAGTAGAGTTATGGTACAGGATATTTGTGGTTTTTCCTTGTCCAGAGGGCCGGAAACATCCGAAAATCAGATGGCCGCGGAAAAAAAAGGTGCTTACATGATAATTTGTTTTTGTTTAAAAGTAGCTTTAACAGTAGGACAGTGGTGGTGGCGGAAGCTCCCCGGATAATCGGATTCCCCGGATTTCCAGATCCCCAGATTCCCCGGATTCCCAGAAGATTTGCCCCTTTTACAAATCGCCGCCGCCGCGTTTTTGGAGCATTTGGGCGAAGCGCTGGGTGATCAGCAGCGAGGTGTCGATAAATCGGTCGACGCAGTTGCTCAAACACGTCTCGGTGGCGTGGTCCAGCTTGGTGCTCGGCTTCCCGATGCACTTCTCCCAGCAGATCTCGTTGAATTCGTGAATCTGTAAGTTATTTTTATGACTTAACTGCCTGGGAAACCCATGAAATGGGGGAAACTCACCTGCGCGTTCACCTGGGCCTTCTGCTTCTCGATCATGAGGAACTCCTGCAGCTCCTTGTCGTTTCCAGATAGATTCTCAAACTCGGACATTGTTGGTTTTTCTGGTTTTCAGTGAACAATCTACGAATTAGCCGGGGAATTTCTAGAGTTTTAAGGTTGATTTTTAGGTTATATAAATTCGGACAGCTGGTGCGTAGTGTTGGCTAACGTCGAATTTTCGATTAGGGATGGACAAGCTGCCGATAGTAAGCGATAGTTGGGTGATAGTTTTAGAGATAGCTACACTGTGCTACATTTTTATGGTTTTGAAATGTAACTGTTTCAACATAATTGGATATGTTGGATATTTTAGCGATTTAACAATTTTAATTATAAATTGGGTATATTACAGGAGTATTATAGTAGGATTAAAAATGCTAAACAACGTTTATAGAACCAGTGCAGCTATCGTGAGATAGGCTTCAAAATGTCGGGAAAAATACCAGATTTTATTTATTGTATTATAGTACCAAATATGTCTACGGTTTTATATTTACAGTTTTCTCCAAATTTAATGACTTGTTGTACCTTTGAATTTCTTTACCTATATATATATATATTGCATTTATAAATCAATTTCAATAAACAAATTCAAAATGTCGGGAAAAACACCAGATTGTATTTATTGTATTTTAATACCAAATGTGTCTACAGTTTTATGTTCTCTGTTTTAACCCAATTTAATGACTTGTACCTTTGAATTTCTTTACCTTTATTCGACCCACCCTAATATATATATTTCATTTTTTACCAAATCGCTATAGTTTAGTATTTTTAGTATACGCCATATAAATACTGAAAATCCCCCGATCCCGAGAATCCCCTAACGCCCCTGCCACAGGGTGCCCCCTGCATTTCTCCGACGGAATCCGAGTCGCAGCTATTCGTGGCTTTTTTTTATTTTTCGCAATTGCAATTGCCTCGGCGGTTCACTCGCCCACTCCAGGCCACTCGAGATCTCGGAGGCGACACTCAGCCAGGTGCACATCCTCGGAGGAGCCATCCCCGAAACCCCGAAAGTGTTTGCAACTCTCTCGCTGTTGCTTTTTTGGGTGTCTTATTTCGGGGGAAAGGGAAAAGCGAGAAAAGCGAGTGAATTTCTCGCGAGGATTGGAGGAGGAGCAGGTGGATTCCATGCCTGCAAGAGGCACGGGTAAGAGAACCACCAACGGCTGAAAACTGGGACTCCAGGAGGCGGCGGACGAGGAGCACCAGCTGCACCGCCGACCAGGAGGAGCACTTCTGATGGCCCTGGAGCCACCAGGCGCCTCCGCCGCCGCCGCCGCCATGGACGACAGCAGCAGCGGACGCACCTCGCTGGCGGACAGCGCCAGCCTGACCAACTCCTCGCTGCGCAGCGGCTGCTCCTCGCAGAGCATCAGCGCCTACGACGGCACCATTAGGATCTTCAATCTGGCCACCAAGGGCTACGAACGCTTTCCGCCGCACATGAACTGCGAACAGATCTGCAACGAGATGTGCAAGCTCCTCTGCATTGCGCCCACCGCCCAGCTGCTCTACGGCATCCGGGAGCACTCGACATCGCGTCGTCCCACGCCGCTGATTCGTCTGGAGCTCACCTGGTCGCTCCCAGGCGAGCGACTCAACTGCCAGCTGATCTACTGCTTTCGCATGCGTTTCCGTGTCCCCGAATTGGACAACCAATTGGAGTCCATCGACGGGAGGAGCCACAAGTTCCTCTACTTTCAAATGCGACACGATTGGCTAACCGAACAGATACCAGAGATTCGCTATCCGGAGCACAAGGACAAGTCCACGGGACTGGCCGTGATGGACATGATGATCGATGCCCAGGAGCAGACCGAACAGGATCAGGCTTTGCGGGACATTGAGAAGTCGTACAAGACCTATTTGCCGCCCAGTTTGTGGCGGGCGCACAGCTTTTTCGTGGGCTCCAAGATACGCGAGGTGTTCAGGAATCTAAAGGCCAACGCCCCGAGTGTTGAGCGTTTGAAGTGGCACTATGTCCATCAGATCTCGCATTTGGCGCCCTCGTACCTCACCGAACAGTTCACCTGCACCGTGCAGTATCTGCCCAATGAGGAGGTGACCCGCGGCGGAAGCTCCGGCATCGTGGGAAGCCTCACGCAGGCGGTTAGCAAGTCCACCTCCACGCTGGTCAGCTCGGGATCCACCAACACGCTGTCCACTTTGACCACGAGTGCTCCGCAAGTCGGCAAGAAGGGCAAACGACGATCCGCGAGCGCCGGAATCGATGTCTATGTGCGGGTCTTTCCGCACGACTCACTGGAGCCGGGACTCAAGGTGGCCAGGGTCACATCGGAGGCCACACTCAAGGTGAGTACATCATAAACTACTCCTTTTTCTTCTTAGAACCTTTATCGGTCCTTTGCGGAAGTGAATCAACTTAAATTCGCCTTCAAGGTTTCCCAAAATTCGTCTTAATAGCTCTAATCCGTACTTCTCCTGATAAAGGGAATGTGATTTGGATTTCTTTCTATATGCTACTTGTTTTAAGACCCCTAATCGTAGGGTAAAAGTATGTTAGAGTATGCAACAGGTAGAGGGAGGATTTCGAAAAATTGTTAATGCAATTTTGTAGACTTTAACAATACCTATCATAATGTAGAAGAAATTTTTCAAATCGCACCATTCATTTAAAAGTTATGAGCAAATAATAGAAGAAATTCTTCAAGCAGTGCAAGCAGTACATGTTTAATTTTACTTTTATATCATTTATTTGGCCACTTTTGCGTACGTGATTACTATATTACGCATTATTTTTTCATAATTTTGGTATTGTAAATGCTATTTTGTTGAGTTTATCAATACCTTTCGAAGTGAAGAAGAAACTGCTCAAATCGGACCATTCATTTAAAAGTTATGAGTAAATAATAGAAGAAATTCTTCAAGCAGTGCATGTTTAATTTTACTTTTATATCATTTATTTCGCCACTTTTGCGTACGTGCTTTTGGGGATATTTTTTCATTAATTATAACCCTATATTACGTACTATTTCTTCTTAAATTCAGGAGAGTCGTCCAAAATAACGCGATTGTTGATAACCCGAAAGTTGTTAAAATTATGAACTTGTTTTATAAAAAGACGGGTGCTTAAATGTTAAGTGTCTAAACTTAAGATTGAATAGCTCTTCGTTTCCTGTTTTTTTTTTATTACCATATTAATCTCATCGAGGAAAAACCACCTCCTCTTTCAATTCGAAAGCATTACACAGGAACACAAAATTAAACTTTGTGAAATTTCCACGAACCATTTCAAGTTTTCCATGATATTTGGGTGCTCCTGAGTAAAAGTCCCATACAAAATTATTTTCCATCACCTACAGGTTCCGCGGTATAGCTAAGAATACAAAAAACCGATGTTTGCCGACATTTTGAATTACGTGGCCTATATAATTGGACCAACCTTTATTATTTTCGGTAGGACCTACTCTCAATACATCAAGGCATTCCTAAAAAATAGTCCCCATTGTGAACCATTGCCCATGTCTTTGGAATTCGACGCCAAAGTTGAAAATCCCAAAATTGTAGAGATTTTTCTGATGGAAAAACAATTCTGTGGATTAAATCTTGAATGGAAGTAATTTTAACTATTCATTGTATCTATTGTTCATTGTATGCTTTAATTTCGGTTTAAAGCGTTTTCATGAGAACATTTTATTGGATTTCTTATACTAATAAAACCGATTTTTTTATTTCATTATCTACTCCTAAATTTTGTCAAATTTTGAATAAGTCATGGCAACCTCTAGAACTAAGAAACTAAAATACGTTCACTGAACATACACGGAGAAATGTAAATTTTTACTCCCATTCTGTAGGATGCCTTGACTTTTTTAAAATTTGACAACATTTAGGAGTAGATAATGAAATAAAAAAAACGGTTTTATTAGTATATGAAATCCAATAAAATGTTCTCATGAAAACGCTTTAAACCGAAATTAAAGCATTCAATGAACAATAGATACAATGAATAGTTAAAATTACTTCCATTCAAGATTTAATCCACAGAATTGTTTTTCCATCAGAAAAATCTCTACAATTTTGGGATTTTCAACTTTGGCGTCGAATTCCAAAGACATGGGCAATGGTTCACAATGGGGACTATTTTTTAGGAATGCCTTGATGTATTGAGAGTAGGTCCTACCGAAAATAATAAAGGTTGGTCCAATTATATAGGCCACGTAATTCAAAATGTCGGCAAACATCGGTTTTTTGTATTCTTAGCTATACCGCGGAACCTGTAGGTGATGGAAAATAATTTTGTATGGGACTTTTACTCAGGAGCACCCAAATATCATGGAAAACTTGAAATGGTTCGTGGAAATTTTTGGCTGTGTACCTGTGTTATTATTGATTTCCGAGTATTACAAGTAAGAATGCGTCTTATCGGCGGTGGCAAAGAAAGTAAATAAAAGAAAAGAAAAGACAAAACCAACTGATTACAATGTTTTCCCTCTGCCCCTTTTCAGTGGAATCTGGTGGGCGCCGTGGAGGGAATTTTCATGATCTCCAAAATCAACGAGACCTCAGTGAGGCTCGAAATCGTTGGGTTGCCCAAGGGCTACGAGATGCAGTTCCAGACGGACAAGGAGATGAAGTCCTTCATCTCCTACCTGGGCATCTATATCAGGTGAGTTTTTGAAGCTCATTAGAAATATTTGTAATATTTGTTAAAAATATTTGTAATAGTATTCACTCTACCATTAATTTTTTGATCACTATTCTGTATTTTTAACATTTGTATAAAATCAAGCAATCGTTGATTATTCTTTTTAAATAGCTTTAGTTTCCTTGTTTGACCTTTGTTGATTCCCAGAAGTAAGCGGAATCCGTAAGGAAAAAGTAAATTCTTCTGGGGTAAACATAAATAAATAATTCCTATTAAAAACTATTCAACAGTTGAATTGAGCATAAACAAGAAACTTGATAACACCGCTTAAAAAAAGAGTTTGATATGCCTCCTTAAAAAAAACAAAAGTTGTTTTGAATGTAATACAAATAATAATATATTTTTTTTGTTTTTTAAAGCTACATTTGGTTGGTATTCACTCGAATTTTCGCTCTTTCTTATCAACTTGGAGCCAAACATACAATTTTGAATTTTTTTGTATGTTTTCAAATATAATTTTTCAAACAAAAACTGCGAAACTAAGTTTATATAGCTTTGGTTTCACGGAATTGATAAAATATAACGAATTATAATATTTAACTACTATTAATTATTTTTTAGGAAATTATTACTTTTTCTTATTCAACAAACCTTTTATTTTGTGCCTTATGGGATATGAGTGTATCTATTGAATATAAACATTATTAAAAGCAAATATTTATTTATTTAAAATATATCTTAACATGGAAAGGATTTACAAGTTAAAAATTAATTAGGTTCCATAAAAAATATGAAATCCAAAGTTATTAACTCGAATTCTCTTCCCATTATCCTTGCAGATTGTCCAGCAAATGGATGCAGGACCTGTGCCACTCCTACCGCACGCCCTCCCTCGAGGAGCTGGGCGCCCTCTACTGCCACGGACCCATCGGCGGCGCCTATTCGCTGATGAAGCTGCACGAGAACGGCGACAAGTGCGGCAGCTACATTGTGCGCGAGTGCGACCGAGAGTACAGCATATACTACATCGATATCAACACCAAAATGTGAGTGCCCAACTGCCTGGGTGCCTGAGTACCCCGCACGCGCCCGTTTAATCAGCAACTTCCTCCACGGTCGTTATCAGGCTTAGAAGTATATTGTATGCGCTACAAAAATAGCCATTGTTCCGGTCTCCGTTTTTCTCCCTAATAGCTAAACTCTTTTCACAAAGTCTGCGGCCAGATGCAAATGTCAACAGCATTTTCCATGAAATTATACACAAAAAAACATTCGATATGAAATAGGGTAAATTCTGCTTAATTTCATAGCAATCAAATAATAATACTATCACATTTATGATTCAAACATATCAACTTGATATTTTATCATATCATATGAAATACTTTTTAATATTTTTTGAACAATTAATATAAAATAAGATAAACATAATCTTAATTTATATCAAAATGATATGACTTGATCTTTGAAAATATAAAATTTGCCATATAAAATTATAACTTTAAAATTCGATATGAAATTCAATTCAATTCTACCTTATTTCATATCAAAATAAATCCGAAAATGTCAAATTTATGATTCAAACATATCAAATGTAGTATTTTTCAAACAAATAATGTAAAATAAGAAACATAATCTTAGTTCATATCAAAATTATATGACTTGATTTTTAAAAATGTAAATTTGACCTGCACATATTTTTTTTTGTGTATATAAAATTAGAACGTTTTTCTCCTTTGCATTGCATGCGCAAGTACGTCACAGGCTGCGTTGCCATGCCAAATGATGCCGCCGCTATTCCCTTTTTTTAGCGCAAAATCAGAGATTATAATATGTTTCCCCTTCCCCTTTTGCAGCATGGCCAAAAACACCGACCAGGAGCGCTGCAAGACGGAGACGTTCAGGATCGTGCGCAAGGACTCGCAGTGGATGCTAAACTACAACAATGCGGTGCATACGCTCAACTCGCTGCACGAGGTGGCGCACTTCATTCAGGCCGACAGCCCCGATCGCTACCGCATACCCGCCTCCAAGTACGACAAGCCGCCGCTGCTGCTGCTGCTGCTGCCGAAGAACCTCAAGGCCAAAAAGACTGACCTGCAGCTGAGCGAGGCGGAGCTGCAGCGGCGCAATCCGCAGATCTTCAATCCGAAAACGGATCTGCAATGGTATCCGGATTCGATATCTCTGAGCGACGACGGCATGATGTTCACCATGCGTGGCGATTGGCTGCAACAGAGTCCTGTGAAGGATGTTTCGGTCACAATGAAAATGCTAAAAAGCGACGGCAATTTCATGGAGTTCTTTCGACTGGCGCAAACCTGGAGTCTCATCCAATCGCCGCAGTTCCTCAAGCTGTACGGCCTCACGCTCGCCGATCCCTACACCATGGTCATGGAGTACTCCAAGTACGGGCCACTGAATAAGTTCCTGCACACGGTGCCCAATGTCACGCTGCACTGCCTCCTCGATCTGATGCACGGACTGGTGCGCGGCATGCACTATCTGGAGGACAACAAGATCATACACAACTACATCAGGTGCAGCAATCTGTACGTGACCAAATACGATCCCAATTCGTACGTGCTCGATGTGAAAATCAGCGATCCCGGCTATCCGCGTCCCTACCGAGAATCCGAGTGAGTAGTTTTAGATCTCAGAATTCTGAATGTTTATACACAGAAAATATAATATTTTTTAAAGATCAAGTTATTCATATCATTTTGATATGAATAAAGATTATGTTAATCTTTTTTTATATTATTTGCTCCAAAAATACTAAATTTGGTATTTTTTATGATATGACAAAATATCATGTTGATATGTTTGAATCATAAATTTGACATTAATCATATCGGATTTTTTTGAAATATGATAGAATTGACCCTATTTCATATCAAATTCTAAATTAGAGAATCTTAAATTTGACATAAATCATATCGGCTTTTTATTGATATGAAATAAGGTAGAAATAACCCTATTTCATATCGGTTTGTTTTTTTCCTGTGTATATATAATTATGTGATTTTCATTATTAGCTCACCGTGGGTGCCCACCAAGTACTACCGCAATCTGCAGGCGGCCAAGCTGGATCAGTACACCCAGCTGTGGGCCTTCGCCACCACCATATACGAGATATTCTCGCGCTGCAAGGAGGATCTGCGCAATTTGAAGCAGGAGCAACTGCTGCGGCAGCGGAACACCGATGGCAACATACTCAAGATGCTCGATCCGGACTTGTGTCCCACGCTAATGTTCGAGACGATCATGGACGGTTGGTCCGATGACGAGGAGAAGCGCTTCAGCCACCACGACATCTTCTCGCGCCTCAACACGATGAAGGCGGAGATACTGCCCAACTATCAGCCGCCACCGGTCGCAACGAGTGAGTCTAGTCGTGTCTCTAAGGGATCAGTGATCTACACAGAAAAAAAATTGGCATATGATCAGATTGATATGAACAGGTTTATTAGATCAAGTCATATCATTTTGATATGAATTAAGATTATTTTTTATCTTATTTTACATTTGGTATTTTAAAACAGTATATTTATGATGATTGAATGATTGAATCATAAATTTGACCTTTATCATATTGGCTTTTTATTAAAATTTTCAATTTTCAGGTCAATTTAATATTTTTTAAAGGTCCAGTTATTCATATAATTTTGACATGAATTAAGATTAATTATATATTATTTTACATTTGGTATTTTAAAACAGTATTTTTATAAAACTTTTTAAGGAAATGATAAAATATCAAGATGATATGATTGAATCATAAATTTGACATTAATCATATCGGCTTTTTAATGATATTATTATTTCAATAAGGTAGAAATGACCCTATTTCATTTTGAATTTTTTTCTGTCTAGCTGATTTGAATCGGAAATCAAAGCCATTACTTGATTTTCATATACCTTATATCACTAAATATTTTTCTAGATGGCGCTGGCGAGGAAGAGGAGGTGGTGGAGAGGAGCGACATGCCCCGCAACTATCCCTTCCCTCGTTCGAATATGCTGATGGCGATAACGCTGACCAGCGAATGCCGCGTCATCTACAACATGGAGAACATGATCGGCCAGGGTCACTATGGCACCGTCTTCAAGGGCCACCTGGAGTTCAACGACAAGGACCAGCCGCGCGAGCAGGTGGCCATCAAGATGCTGAACACCATGCAGGTGTCGACCGACTTCCATCGCGAGATCGGCATCATGCGCTCGCTCGTTCATCCGAATATCGTCAAGTTCCGCTACTGGGCGGAGAAGTCGCACTGCATCATCATGGAGTACCTGTCCGGCTCCTTCGATACCTACCTGCGCTTCGAGGCGCCCAATCTCAAGGATGCACGACTGGTGGCCTTCGCTTTGGACATTGCACAAGTGAGTGGGTTCGGTTTTTTGACTTGAAATTGGGAGAAGAGCTCCTTAAATGTATATATATTATCTTAATCCGCTGAGATCTCGGCAACTATGAAAGCTAGAAAGTTGGGATTACCCACACATATTCCTGGGGTTCCTACGCAGCGCAAGTTTCTTTCATCAGAGTGCCACGCCCCCTCTTACGCCCACCATCGCCTTACACGATCTGGCGCTCACATCTTTAAAGATTTAGGAAAAGTATAAATGCAATTTTGCTGTGTTTATTTATACCCATCGAAATGTAGAAGAAATTTTTTAAATCGAAGCATTCGTTAAAAAGTTATGAGCAAATAATGAAATTTAAGCAGTGCAAGCAGTTGATTTACTGCAATGTAATAATGTTTTTTTAATTATTTCCCAGGGCATGAAATACTTGTCCGGCATGGGACTGATCCACAGGGACTTGGCCGCCCGCAACATTCTGGTGGATCACAACGGCGATGGTGATTGCGTCAAAATCTCAGACTTTGGCCTGGCGCAATTCGTCAATTCAGATGGATATTACTACGTGAAGAGCAAGCGAGATATTCCCATTAAATGGTGAGGGAAATCGAAATAATTTTTATGAGGGATGAATAATAACATTTGCTCCCTTGACAACAGGTACTCCCCGGAGGCCATCTCCACCAGCAGATTCTCATCCTACTCGGACGTTTGGAGCTACGGCGTCACGCTCTTCGAGATGTTCACCCGCGGCGAAGTGCCCAATTTGGTGCCGATGCAGACCTCGCAGGAGGACTTCCTGAATCGCCTCATGAACGGTGAACGGTAAGTGGGCTCGAGATTATCGCCTAAATTAGCTCATAAATTTATTTTCAATTTTTTCTGACATTAATTTGTCACACGAGTCTAATTCATGTTCGAATATATGTTTTGTTATTCACTTCAACATTTTTTTGGGACCTTTGATAACCTTTTCATAGAGATAAGCCTTTAAATTTATTTGGGCTGCTGTGTGAATTTGTATGGTTCTGCTTTTAAATCTTTTAAACAATTTACATGATTTAAGGAGAGTTTATTCAAAGACTTTTAACATTTTTAGAAAGTAAATATTTAATATTTATTTATTTAAAAATGTATAAAATATTTCAGAAACTTTAAAGTTTTTGATTAGATTTTAGGTTTTTTGAAAAATATAATTGTGTTAAATATTAATAAAGCTTAGCGTAAAATTTATTTAATATTTTATAAGAAGGTAAATATTTATTTAAATTAAATATATAAAATATTTCAGGAACTTTAAATCTTATAATTGTATTTCTTTTCTAGTTTTTGATTACATTAAAGGTTTTTTAAATTTATAATTGTATTAAATATTAATTAAGCTAAGCGTAATATTTATTTAATATTTTATCGTTTATAAAAATGAATGGAAATACTCAAAAAACTTTCCCTATAATTGCAGATTAAATCGGCCGGCCAGTTGTCCGGACTTCATGTACGAGTTGATGCAGCTGTGCTGGCACGCCACGCCCCGTTCGCGGCCCAGTTTCGCCGACATCGTGGAGATGATCACCAACGAGGTGGCCACCAAGATTTCGCATCCGTCGGATGGCCACCAGCCGCCGCCGGAGGCCGAGTGACAGGAGGCGCGAGTTGCGAATCCGAGTTCGCAATCAACAGAATGATATACACATATTTAGGCATAAGTTCGTTCTTTTAAGCTGTTAGCATTTAACCTGTACGTTTTTAAAACAACACAAGCGAACCCCAAAACCACTTGACGTCACCCCCCAAAAACCCTTAAAGCTTAAAGCGCTTTCGGAAGAATCACAAAACACTTAAAACGAAAAAAAATCAAAAAAAAAAACACCCATCTGTAATCTGTAATATGTAAAATGTAATATGTAATCTGTAATCGGTAACAAGCCCAAAACACACACACAAAACACAAACACTCACGCCTTCGCAAGCCTTTTTGGATTCTCGCCAGACCTTAGTTTTATTCTTGTGCTCACCACTGGCCCCCTAAAACTCGTCTCTAGCCCCCTATTAACCCCCCTCTCTTGACTAAGCGGAAGACCCGACTTTACATATATACGCATATATATTTAAACAAATTCTCAACCTACTTTGTGTTATACATTTTAGCCCACTTTGTTAAATATTGTTAAGCTTGAGCTTCAACCTTTTGTAATGCCCACGCATAAACACTAAACTAAATACTAAATATAAAGTGTAAATAATAATTGAACTACTAGTTAAGGGTTTCAACGAGAACGGCAACACACGGTAATTTACACGAAACTTGGACTAAGATTAATCTACGAAATACGAAAACAAACATGTGCACATATAGTCCTAAGGTATGTCAATTAATGTTGATCAAATGCCATTTTAACCTACAATACTTCGAACCAGAAACGAATTATATATTTACAAGCTATACAGCCACTATACAAGCCGGTATATGCACAACACGACACACCCGCAGGCACAATAACTTATTATTGCTGTTAACGAGAATGGATATTTCCGAAATAAATCAATTTTCTTACGTGTTTAAAGGCGAACGTTTTATTGAGTAGTACATATGGGGGTAGTACAAATTTTTTTTCGTTTGAAAAACCTTTGATTTTATAATTCTAGTGACCTTACGATTAAATACACTTTCTTTAGCATCTATATAAGATCTTTATTTCAAATTTGAATATGATAACTTTTCAGTTTCTTTGATTCAAATCCATACAATGTACTTGATAGATTATTATCTATTATTATTTCCAATTGAACAGGATATCTTTCACGAACTTTTTTATTATACATCTTAACGAAAGAGACGGCACGACTTCTATACTTATATTACTAGTTTCTATTTCATATTATATTAGGGATACATTTATTTAATTATTTGGAATACCTGTGTCGATTTCAATAACTGGTACTTACTTTCGGACACGTTTATAACAGCTTTTTGTGAAATTCAGTTTTTATTCGTTATATATACAGATTTTAGCCTATCTTACCTATACCTAATAGCTATGAACTACCATCGAGTTCAGTATATTCTTAATGGGCTATTCTTCAAACGGCGGTTTTTAGGCAATATTACGGAGAATATTGCCATTGGCGAAAAGGTAAGAACTTAAATATAAAGTGAAACAGAAATATATGTCCTAACTACAAGCTACTCTTAAAAATAGGTGCTTATATACTAAAGAGTATTTGAAACTTCTTAGGACTACTTAAACTACTCTTAATTCTAAAGAACAGGCTGTCTCGCTTACAAGTTACACAGAACTTGCTTTCTAATGGAAAACTGAACTATTAAAGTTTAAAATTAAAGTTCCTACAAGCCTAACTTAAGTATAAGTCTTATATCTTAAGTATATAAGGAGTAAGTAGTGTATCTTTACTGTGTTTGTCTACGTTTTATCGATTTATATTGTGCTTCTACTAGTTTAGGACCATTTTCTAGGCCCTTTGTTAAATTTAATGTGGGGTTTTAACCTTGAAATCGTTTGGAAAATCAGAGATTAAAACTTCCTTTAAATTTTGAAAGGTGGCAAGCTCTTCTTTGCTACCAAACTTCGGGGATCTCTTGGGATATTCTTAATTTAATGTGGAGTGATCCCAAGAGGGATCTCCAACCGGTCCGATCCTTAAATACTAAAACATTTCTTGTTTGTCTTAGGTATATGTGGTGTAGTATAATTTTAATGGGTTTGCCAGGGATTTTAACTACGATTTACTAAGTTAGTAAGTGTGATCTTAGGCTAGATCAAAATGTTATACGAATAGTAGCATTCCTGGCTGCCAAACTTGTGGTATTCCTTGGAAGACTTCCATTCTTTTGTAGAGTGATCCTAGGATTCTAGACTTAAAGAACTGATCTTAGGCTAGATCCCTGGATCTAGATCAAAACTTTGGCGGGTGCTAGGAGCTCTCGGCGTTCTTCTTCTTCAGCGTCTCCATGACGCCCGCGAAGTTGGCCGTCTTCTTCTTGGCCGACTTGGGCGTGGAGGTCTGGCTGCGGACGCGCATCTGGGTGGGGGCCACCTCGTCGCTGAAGTCGAAGTCGTTGGCCTTCTGGGGTCTGTTTATAAGGAAGTTAGGATGTTCCCAAGAGATATGATTTGGATGCACTTACTCCTGTTCGATGGCATCGTTCAGGGGCTCCAGCTCCTTGCTGTTGCCACCCGATCCGCCCGAAGCCTCCGGCGAGGGAGCCCTGCGTCCCGGGAATTGCCACTGGAGCTCCGGAATGCCGCCCGCGTCCAGTTGAAGATAGTAGCCCTCCAGCTCCTCGGCATTAGCCGAAAACTTGTCCGCCGTGTTCGCCGCCGGCTCCACGTCGGTTGCCATCGCGGATTTAGTCTATAAGTTTAATTAAATCCTTAATTTGTTACAGTTTTAGGGAATTTCTTGGTTTTTGTATACGATTTATGGGCAACGTGACGTCAGAACGTAAGTGACATTTAACGTAGTGTCATTTAACGTAAGTTGAAAAATCGATAGATCCGCTATCGATTGGCGAATGACATTTCTAGAAAACTATCGCACTGGGCGGGCACATTTGAATAGCGGGCGCCGCCGCCCAAAATGATCTATAAAAAATCTATTTATAGCCTGCTTGCTTTCTTTATGCACTTGAGTGCACGCCCATGCTACGGAATATGTTCTCCGTTGTTTGTTTTGGGGGAAAAACAAACTCCAACTCGTTAAAAACTAAACTTTTCAATGGAAAATAAAAAAAATCAACTTCTAGTTGTATAGAAAATCTCCAAATTTCAAACCAGAATAAATTAAAGTTAGAATAAAATTTAATACCATAAAAAACAGGAAAACTGAACTGAATTCCGGGGGAAACTTTACTTTTAGTTTACTTTAAGTGGCTTAAAATAGATAATACACCAACGGCGATAAGAGCCTTAAAAAAAAGCCATCGATTATTCATTTTATTTGTATTTATTTACTTTGTGATTACTAAATTCTTAGAACTTTATTCAAAATCATGCCGCCGCCGCTGCTGCTGCTGCTGCTGCTGCTCCATCCGCTATATATCATATATCTCAGTTGATCTGATCTGATCGTCTCTCCACAACCGATTGACGCGGGATGTCCCTGTGATCTGTGTGTTCTTGCTGATCCTCTGGCTTTTCTTTCTGTTCTTTTCTATGACTTACACGTACCATACATATACATAAGTATTATTTTAATATTATTATTATAATTATTATTATAATTATTATATTGTGGTTTGCTGTTTGCTTTTTGCTTTTTGCCTTAGCTTTTGCTTTTTGTATACTCGTATATAAAAAAGAATAATCGTACATATTTAATTTAATTAATTAAAAACACAATTTGATTGCAAAAAGAGAGTGGGGTTCGGGGTTTCTACAATACGTAATTAAATACGGATACGTCCTGATCGTTGGTATTGTTGCCACCGCCACCTCCTCCACCTCCTCCGCGATTTGAAGAGCCGGAGGATTTATTGGAGCCATGGGCGATGGTCAGCTGATTGGCCTGATGGATCACCGAGGTGATGTCGCTCTGCGACGCCGAGATGTCCTTGCTGGTCAGCACATCGCTGCTGCTCGAGCCAGAGGAGATGTGCCGCTCGGCGATGCCGTACTGAATCGGCTGATAGCCGTGACTTGGATTGTAGGTGGCCGAGTATGGCATGTAGATGGGCGGGTTCGGCAGCGGCCCAATGTCGCTGGTGATGCTCTCGGTGTCCGCGTGGCTCATTCCGCTGTGTCCCAGTCCCTGCAACTGATGGGGATGCAAATGGCCCGGTTGTCCGCGATTCATTAGCAAATTTGGGTTGCGCTCCTCGTTGACCACATAGTAGCACTGCTCCGAGAAGGTCAGCTTGTTCACGGTGTGCTTAATGTAGTTGCTCCGCAGCATCGCCGAGACAATCCTTCTTGCCTCCCTTCGATCCTGCACATCCTCCACATTCTCGAGCACCCAATTAACCGCATCGGCGCCTATAAACGCATTCGGTATGGTTATCTTGAGCCACATGCGATCCCGTATCTCCAAACCGCTATCCGGCTTCGTCATCGCCTTCACGATCTCCTCGAGGTTATTCTGGTCCAGTCGCTCCTTAATCGGCTCCGCTATATCCGCAATAATACTGTCGTGCGAGGTCAGCGCTTGGGTGTGCGCCACCCAGGCGCCGGGATCAATCGGACGCACTGGCTCCGTGCGCGGAATGGTGAAGTAACCCTTGGGATTCGGATCCCAGCACTTGGCCACCACCAGTTTAATGGGCCCTGGCTTTTGCACCACCTCCCTGAGCACTCGCACCGCCTCGTCATTGGTCATATTCTCGAAATTCACATCGTTCACCTGGAGTATCATGTCGCCCGGTTCGATTCGACCATCCAAGGCAACCGCTCCTCCTTTCATGATGCTGCCCACATAGATGCCGCCATCGCCACCGCGATTCGATTGACCCACAATGGAGATGCCCAGAAAATTAACCGCTTCCATGTTAATAGAAACAGTGATAATATTCAAAGACATTGTGGAATCCGTGATGGAGCTGTACGAGGAGGTGCGCGACATGCTGGGCGCCCGCTTTTTGCGACGCTGCGGCTTCTTGCGCACCTGCAGCCGCTGGACGCTGCTGTAGTCGGTCATGTCGCGGTCCAAAGTGAGCTCCGATTCGGTGCCAAAGAGGCTCGTGGAGTCCAGATCGCTCGAGAGCACCGAGGCCGATTGATATGTTAGCGGTGGCGGCTGCAGCAGCGGATTAACCATCATTTTCTGGTGATGCTGCTGCTGCTGAACGTTCTGCTGTTGCGACATCTGCTGAACGTTCTGCTGTTGCAGCTGCTGTGTGATCGGCTGTTGCATCTGAACGTTCTGCTGTTGCAGCTGCTGCACCTGCTGTTGCTGCTTCCTAGTGGTTATGCCCAGTTCACACTCGCTAACGGGCAGCTCGGAGCAATTGTCCGACTGATTTGTGCCGTCGGCGGAAACCAGCCAGGAAACCACTCGACCATTGAAGCAGGGCAGGATTGTGGAGTCGTCGGCTATCTCCTCCTTGACCACACCGAAATCCGCGTCCATCGACTTGAAGAAGTACTTGTAGTTGTTGTTCTGCTTGTTCAGCACCAGCTTGAAGTCGCGCAGCGTCACCTGGGCGGAGGGAATGGGGATCTTCACCAGATACGGCGTCGTCTCATCGTCTATGTGGTAAATCACCTTGGTCTCCTGCCCCCCGCCACCGCCGCCCCTGTCCGCATCCATTTTTCACGTCTCTCGGGGGGAAAACCAGGCAAAATCACTGGAAAAATATCAAAACTCGACGCTTTTACGACAAAAAAATCACTCGATTTTTGATTTTTGCTTTTCTCCTCCCTCTCTCTCTTTCTCGCTCGCTCTTTTCTTTTTCTTTCTCCTTTTTTTGGGCTGGGTGTTCGGTGTTCCGAGTTCGCAGTTCTCGGCGTTTGTTGTTAATCCCGCTCCATTGCAGCTAGCGCGTTAACATACGTTGCACGAACATCCAGGGGGGCGAGACGAGCATATTGCCGTTTAATAGCGCTAGTTTACCAATAATTTTGTTAGAGTTTTTGAGACTAAAAAAAACTGACCGACCGTGATGGAGATGGCACTGTGATGGAACTATCGATAGGTTCGAGTACGGTCATGCTAAAGTGGCCAGCCGAGGCGGTCGGTGTCCCCGCTGTCTTAGCCGAGTCAACAACCGGGCGTAGCGTTTGGTATATTTTCGGTATTTAAAAAAAAAATTATTGCGTCCTTTTGACGAACTTTTTTAAAGCGTCATCCACCTTAACAATATTTTTTAAAACAAGTGCTCTAAATATAGGAATTTTTCCACTATGAGTTTTTTTTTTTTTTTTTGGTATTTTTGTGATTTTTTTTATAGACAAAGCGATAGGCAACCGGTTAAAAATTTTATTTCTCCAGTATTATTCTGGTATTCCCTAGAATGTACCAAAAAATACCCCTATGAACGGTCCACCTAACCTGTCAGGTGCTGAACTCAGCTAGGTTAGCGAAGACACCCTCGTGGATTGTGCACTCGCTAAGAGGACAAGTTTTGTGTTCTATTAAAATTACAAGTAAATATCAGCTGATTCTTGAGTTTTCTATTTATTTTTGGGCCACAGAAAGGCGCAGGCGAAGGCGAAGGCGGCGGAGGCGGCAAGTAACCGAGTAGAAAATAAGCAAAATCCAAAAACAGAAGCAGTGCAGAGCCAGCAAAACACGATGACGAGTCGCCAGCGGACGGTGATAATATTCAAATCGGAGTCGGAGAGCAGCGATTTGTATGCGGAAACGCTGGAGAAGCACGACTTCCAGCCGGTCTTTGTGCCCACGCTGAGTTTTGGCTTCAAGAATCTGGAGGAGCTGCGCGGGAAGCTCCAGAATCCGGACAAATATGCCGGCATAATATTTACATCGCCGCGTTGCGTGGAGGCGGTGGCGGAATCCCTGAATTTGGGTCAACTACCAGGCGGTTGGAAGATGTTGCATAACTATGCGGTGGGCGAGGTGACCCACAATCTGGCCACGAGCACCTTGGACCAGCTATTCACCCACGGCAAGCAGACGGGAAATGCCCGGGCCCTCGGCGAGTTCATTGTGGACACCTTCGATGGATCGAGAGAGCTGCCGCTTTTGCTGCCCTGCGGCAATTTGGCCACCGATACGCTGCTCTCGAAGCTGGCCGAGAATGGCTTCTCCGTGGACGCCTGCGAGGTCTACGAGACGCGCTGCCACCCGGAACTGGGTGCCAATGTGGAGCGAGCTTTGGAGGCGTATGGCGAATCGATTGAGTTCCTGGCCTTCTTCTCGCCATCGGGCGTCAATTGCGCCCAGCAGTACTTCGCCAGCCGGCAGATGTCGTTGGACAAATGGAAGCTGGTGGCCATTGGACCGAGCACCCGGCGCGCCTTGGAATCGCAGGGACTGAAGGTCTACTGCACCGCCGAGCGGCCGACGGTGGAGCATCTGGTGAAGGTGCTGCTGAATCCACAGGACAGCCGGGAGCGGCTGCTCAAGGAGCGCGAGCGGTTGGCCGCCCTCGAGAATAACAATTAAGATGTGTAGTCCTAAGGATTTAGCTATGTCATCTAGAAACCATAATGGTGATGTTAAGGCCGGAAATTTGTTAAAACCCCCTCGAAGATATTGTAAACCTAAGATCTATAATATTTATAAAGAGATCTTAAGGTCTTTGCATGGCCTTTGATTTTGCCCAAAATTTCTAGTTAATATTTTATGATTTATCCCTAACTTTATTCTAAGATCCTAAATTATTGGAATTGAAATTTGTTAAAACCCCCTCGAAGATATTGTAAACCTAAGATCTATTATTTTTATCTAGAGATCTTAAGGCCTCTGTATACTTTTGATTTTGCCCAAGATCTTTAGTTGAATAATTTTATATCCAAATTATTGGAATTTGCGGTGGGAAAATCGCAGGATAAGTAATACTACGTTCCCCGAATGACAAATGTAACGAAAAAAGACTACAACTCTTGAGTTTTTTTCGACTGACCTCCGAGCGAGTACAAAATTAGCGGGCATCAAATGCCGACGTCTTTATTTTCTGTTTACCATTGGATTAGGCTCAATAAATTGTTTCTTTTCTAAATTTAGTTGGTCGTCTTTGTGGGTCAAATGGGAGGTGGCAGCAGACTAAAGTAGATTTAAGTAATTATCGAAATTATTTGTTCTCAATAAGATTACATATTTGTTTTATTTTCATTTTTTTATGGGAAAACGAGAATGAAACTTCATTTCTTTATAAATATTTAATTTGGCTCGCATATGAACGAATTAGTTAATTATAATTAGTAACTTCCGTAATATTTATTATAAATTTGGTGAAATGAATGGATAATCATAAAAATGTTAAATATCATTTTTGTTAATAACTAAGTAAAGTAAATTAAAGTAAGTAAGTAGTAAATTTTTATCAAAATGGTCAAAGATTCTATTTTGAGAATATTGCAACAAATTGTATTTACAATAAATAGGAGGTCAAATAAAATATTAAGAAATTAGGCAACATTTTCGAATTTAAAAATATCGATATAACTAAAAATATCGATATAATATATTTATTTCTAGTGAAATACCGATAGAAATATGTGTTTTCCGATAAATATCGATAGTACCAATCTTGCATATTTTCACATCCCTAACCTAAACCTTTTGTTTATCGTTTTGGCTCTTTTTTTGCGTTTATTTGATTTTTCCTTTCGTTTGCGAAACAACAAGAAAACAAAGAAGCAGGAGGAAAAGGCGGAAAACACGCGGCAATTGGAATCGAAGCGAAATGTAAGTGCAAAACCAAATAAAAGTTCGAAATTCCGAGGCACAAGAAAAAAGCGCAACAAGCGCACACACACACATGTACAGGTACGCGGCTCTTTCACACACACACACGCATACTTTCACACACCGGCAAAAGTTGAGCGTTGGAAAAAAAAACGGTTTATATATTTTTTATCGTGTTGTGTTTTGCCTAACGACAAGAACTCAATTTTTTTTCCGTGTGTGTGCAAAATATAAATAAAACGGTAGAAAAACACCAGTTTTTCCTTTGCCGGCAAGCAAAAACAAAAAGTGCTTTTGCATTTGCCTGCGACTGCGATTGTGTGTGTGTGAGTTTAGCGTAATTTAACTGTCTTTTTATTTTCTTGTACTCTAAATAATAAGAAAGAAATGCGAAACAAACGAAGAAGGAGTGCAAAGCGAAGGCTGAAATACCGATACCGGTATGTGTGCGAAAGAGAGGGAGAGAGCCGGAGATAGTGTGAGTCATTAACCGGCATTACAAAAAAAAAGCAGCTAAAAACGCTTAAAATTAAATGGCAATTCAAGTTAGTCAACAAAGATTACAAGTAAATAAGGAATATTTGAAGGCTATCTTCTCTCCCTCTCGCACGCGCACAGAAAGCTTCTTCCGAAAGTCAGTTAAAAGTAATTCGGCGTTAGAGCGAGACAGCGCCAGAATTTTGAAGTGAATTTTAATTTTTTTTTTTGGGCAGCTGCTCAAAATCATTTTGTGTGTGTGTGTGCTTAAAGCGTGTGAAAATTGCAGCCGCCACTCCAACCACCGTTTTTCCCAAAGTTTTTCACCTTCTTTGTCTCGCCTTCGCCCTGTCCCTTTCGCACCGTTAGCCCATTAGCATTAAGTCGCATTTTGCCTAGAAACTTAATTCGACTAAAAAAAAAATCAAAAGTTAATACTTTCGATACAACATCTCTGGTTATTTTGCTTTATCTTTAAAAAATAATATCATTTTTTTTAGGTCAGTAAAATACAATCTGAATCTTCATAAAAGCTTTTAAATTTTCTAAAAAATAAGGAATTATTGAAAAAAAAATTTTAAAAAAATCCATCTTTTAGTATCATCTACTATTACTTTACAATAGTTTATAAAACTTAAAACTTTTGTAAATTTTTTTAAAGATCAATATTAAAGATCACTCCCCAGTTTGGTTTGCAAAAAAGCTTCCATCACTAGTCTCTGATATCATGGCTAACTTAGGATCCCAAGCTCATCGCTATTTGGTGGCCCGCTTTTAATACGGGTTCGAAGAGCTGTTAGAATTTCCCGCTCTTCCACTTCCCCCGTATATTATTATTTATTATTATTGAACCGGGGCATTTTCAGGCGGTTTTTTTTCAGCCTGTTGCTCTATGCTTTTGTATGCTCTTTTGTGATATGTCATGCACTGTCAGGGTCTCACCATAACCATATAAACTGTGAGTCACACGATCTGCACAGAGAAAAAGATAGCAGATTCTTCGAGATCTTAAAGTAAATTATAATACACTAAACCGATCCGAAAATTATGTCAAAATTTCCAACCGAACAGGAAAATATGCTAAATGAATAGGTGTGATCTTTTCGTAACTGGTTCCCAAATGATCATTAATTTTTCCGAGTGTCCCCCTTTATCCCCATCTGCCTCTTTTCTCACATTCCCCGGCCAATTTGTAACGGTTTTGTGTGGCACTGAGAAAGCGACAAAGTTGTCAGCTTCTTCATTTCTCAAATGAATGCTGTTCAATAAGCCGAAACAAGTTGCTGGGAATCGATCGAGACCAGCAAACAGGCATAGAAATTTGCATGCCGAACTTGATTGAACTATCGAATACCCTAGAAATGGTGTAACAGTGTCAGTTCGCACTTAACCGTTTCAAACCCGATTCGTAAACGATTTGAAACGCTTTTGAAATTTTATTTGCTTTATTTTTCATGAACGATTAGTGAATTATAAGGGTAAAAAATACTTTTAGATTATTTTTTAGATCTCTCCAACATATGTAATGGTTATCCTAATGGTTATATACCCCTGATACCCCTTTTTTTCGCATCTGGCATAACTAGGCTAACGACTGTCTCGCTCGCACCCACACACTGTCATTGGCAGCGGATGCTGTCCGCCTTTTTTTTGTTTACACTCGTCTCGTTCTGGCACTTGGATTTGTTGCTCGGCCATTCATTACTTGATTTATAGTTTGGAAAATGGTCAACTCTTTCTCCATTAGCTCAATTAGCACATTTGTATTTGACTGGAAACGTATTTTTCTACGTTTGCATATTTTTTGATGCGCTCACAAAATCCAATAAATAAAACTAATAAAAAAAAAAAAATGTGGAATACGAAAAAAAAACCGGTTTTAAAACGCCAGTGTTGCCATTTTGGTTAGTGGTGTCTTCTCCTCCTTTGCCAACCTCCTTTCTTTATCGCTGTGGCAGGTAAAAAAAAGCACCCAAAACTTTGAATCTAAAGATGGTAGCGTGAGGATCTAAAGATCAACTAATGAATCACAGAATGAATCAGGCAGTTTGGAGTCGAATGACAGACTGGTTTTGATGCCTAATGATTTACTTTAAATGATTAGTTCAAATGAGTTTTTAGAATGGTTATATTGTTTATAAGTCTAACGGGTATAATTATTTCAAAATTAAAAAAAAATAATGTAAAATAATAATTCATTCAATGAATATTCATATAAAAATTCATACCCGTTTCATAACCGATTCAGCTGGAAAATAATGCAATTTCTGAATTTGCAATTCGAGATCCACGTGATATTGTCGACTGATTCTTCCATCCCTAAACGCACCCACAATTGTCTGGCTGGGGTTTTTGCTTTTGGGGATTGGGAATGGCTATGGCTTTTGGCCGTGTTTCGGGCCATGGATTTTGACATTGAATACACAAAATTTGCAACGAACACAAAGGCGAAATGCGCGCGAGACACCGAAAGCCCCTGACGTCATGGTTGCGTCTGTTTGCCGCCCAAGCAGCGTTCGTTATATTTGTGTTTATTTATTCACAAAAACAGAAGGGCGCAGACCGAATGCTATCGAGGTACAGCGATCGCTAAATATTTTAGATAATGTCACATTCACGGGAAGCATCAATCGCCATCGGTAACCGATAATGTACTATTGGGCATTTGGGATTCCCCAATATTAGGGGATATTAAATGTTTAAGTGCAAAAAAAAGTCTCAAAAATACCCAAAAAATATATTTTTTTTGTATCAAAAATGCAAGAATATTAGAAGATTTACAGAATGTTTTTTTGAAATTATCAATATTATTTTTGTACAATGCGAGGTATTACTGTATCTACAGGCATTTGCTTATTTTTGCAATTTTCTTGCATTTTTTTTTCATAGCTGTCTGCGAACTTGAAATTTTGCGATAAAAGGAAAGGAACTTCCTCTCTCTTTCTACCACTCTCTCTCCATCTCTTTCACCAATTCTACCGCTCTCTCCCTCTCTCTGGAAATTATCTCTTGTGTTTGCTCAGGCGTCGGCTTTTCAGTTTTCCGTACATTATTTTCCTCTCTCTCTCTGATTTTTTTTGGGTGCAACAAGTGTGCGGCGTTTTGTTGTTTTTGTACCGTTTTTTATGTTAATTAACCAAAACGAGTTGTTGTTTGTGTGTTTGTTATGCTTGACTAGTTAAGCGCGTAGAGAGCAAGAGAGATGGCGAAAGAGAAAAGGAGAGAGAGAGAAGATCATTACGCAATGGGGAAAACGTTGCTTTCAAATTTCCCAGTGTTGCCACCTGATCAA